GCCATCATGCTCTAAAACTGCTTAACAAATAAATCAGAAAAAAAAAACAGAATTTTGCTTTCTTTTCTTAAATTAAGATCACCTCTGAACACACTACAACGGTATTTTGTGATATAGGTGTCCTGTGCCCCCTCCTTTGCACTGTGTTTGGTGAAACTGCAATGCTCTTTATATTTAACTATGTGCCTCCACATTCAGTTTATCAAAGGCTATCAAATTCTCTAATGAACTAAAACAGTAGAGACTTTAATTTGTTTATAAAGTTCATTACTGCATGCTCATACTTTAAAGTCCTTTATACTTTTATTACCTTAAACAGTGTTTAGTCTGACATGGTGTAGTCACTTGCTTTGTCTCAAAGAGGTCCATCAACAACACATTAGCCAACATAGTCTAGAGTTCACTAAGATAAAAAAAACTTTAATGGATGCCTTTGATGAACAAATTTGTCCAAATAAATTGTTATTGTTTTTGTCGCTAAATATCTTTTATTGTCATTAAAGTAACTTAACTGCTAACTATAATGTTTCACAGTTCCTTTATACATAGTGGCTTTACTGTTTATTATCTATAATTAAAATATTGGAATATAAATATGTAATATAAAACGTAGCCTGTGCAAAAGTTATGGCATAGTTTATACTTCATATAGATGTTTTTTTCAACATGTTAAGCTCAGCAAATAAATAGAAATTGTTTACTAAAATTAGCAGAAAAACACTTTGTTTAAGTTTGTTATTTGTAGATGATGTGTTGACATATTTTACTCTCAACAAAATATGTCATTTGACCAAGGCTGTGTATGCATGTGACTGTATATGTTTGTCCAGAACATTATTCCATTAATCACTGTAATTACTGATCAGTTCTGGGATTCTTTTTCTCTGTGTCTAATGTCCACCACATTCATTAAAACAGCAAACTGTGCTGGTTTTAGACTCTGGAGATATCAGAGCATAACTATGTTTGTGCTTTCAGACACTAAACTGGGAGGGTCTGTGTGTTACATCTCATGAGCTTACTGTGTTTTTCACATTGCTTACCTGAAATTGTTCATTACCAAAGTATGCTGAGCCTCATTTACAAGAAAAACACAATGGTGATGTGGCAATAACAGGTGTTCTGCAGACTGTGTGTACCATTATGGGAGAATTGTGAATAAATCAACAAGCAGCAAACTAACAAAAGTGGAAAAATCAAAGTGGAAAACTACAGTTCTCCTTAAAACAAGATGTAAAGTAACTATATGAAAGCCAGAGGGCTACAATTGTGGAGGAGTTGCATGCAGCCTCTGTTGCTCTGACTGGACGTCAGTCATGAAAATTGGATTAACATTCATTATGTTCACCCTGAGTTCATGTGACTTACATGTTCAGTTCTTGTAAACTCTGTATTCATACAAAGAAAAAAGTGTTATTTAATTACTGAAAGAAAGAAATACACCCTGACGAAGCTTATTTTCTCCACTTTCTCTTTCTTTGTTTGTATGTCTAACGACATATTGTTTAAATGTTGTTTTTCTTCTCTCTTGCGTACGCTCCCACTTTCTTCAGTTTCCTTACTCTCCTGTCTCTAACAATCTTCAGGTGTTGCTGCTGATGGAGGTGCAGTGGCATGTGCTGATTGGCTGTGCTGAGATCGGGACAAAAGCTTATAAACCTGGTGGTCGGCTTCCTCAAGGCTCCTCCTTCTTCCCTTGTTGATGGTTCTGCCTGACCAGCTAGACAAAGAGTTTCCAACACAGAGTAGCTGGGCCTACTTTCTGCGTAGTTGCTAGTCTACTGTGATATTTTAAACTGTCGACTTTGGTGGTCTGTGAAACCTTCGGACATTTGCTGAGTTGAACAGCTGCCCGTCCTGTGAGGTCTGATGCTGTGGCTTCTTCTGCCTTGGTCAGGTGCCCACTGTTCACCAGTCTTCATGGAGGTTTGACCACCATGGAGCTTCTTGCTGTACAATGCTGTGCAAACCTCACCTACATGAACTGACCCTTCTGATGATGCTACTGCTTCTGCTGCTGCAGCTGCACAGACTTAAACTATCTAATTATAACCATTGCTTCACCTGAAAAAAAAAAAAAATTAGGTCCACTTTTTTGTAAAGATGCTGAAACGTATCACCAGTTCCAGCTGCAGCAGTGCAGAGTGACTGAGGGAGGTTTTTGTACGATGCTTTTTCACTGTGTGAGCACTGGGCTACCACTGATCTCATGTACAGTCATACAGTAATAATCTCCAGCATCTTCAGCCTGGACTCCACTGATGGTCAGAGTGAAGTCCTGACCATTCCCTCCAGATGAAGGATGACCTCCACCACCACTGAATTTAGAGGAAACTCCAGAAAATCTCTCATCAGACAAATATATCAGTAGCTTTGGCTCTTCTCCAGGTTTCTGAAAGTACCAGGATGTAAAATAACGGCCCTTGGTAGCTGTCAACTCCTCATTCCGATACACTACATTGTTGGCTTTGCAGTCAATAGTGACTGAATGACCAGGCTGAGCTGATTTAGCTGCAGTCTGAGTGACCACAACCTGCCCCAAAGAGCCTGCAGAGATAAAGGAACAGTGTGATTATAAATCTTTAGTAAAATAACTACATGTATGTACTTTATTTGAAAATGCTTTGAAATATTAATCATTTAAATATTAAAACATAAAACAATGATCAAATGGAACTGATTTCTTACCAATAGTAGATGTAACAAGCATCCAGATGAAGATGGTGATTAAAGTCATGATGTGTGATCATGTAGATCAGCTCTCAGTCATGAAGTGTTAAACTGTCAGAGCTATAAACTCTCCCAGAGCACTGAAGCATGAGCTGCTAATGCAAAGTATCTTCAGCATGAAAATCATCTTCCTGAAAACAGACTACATCAGAAAACGACTACTATAAACAATAAACTCATTAGAGGGCAAGTACACACCTGCGCAAAAAATAGGCCAAAATGGCAAAACATTAAGCTTTTAGTGGTTGTAACAACAAATCATTAAACAAATATTTTGTCTAGCAAATTCACTGTAATGCCATCAGGTCGGCGTTATATCGTGCCACTCAATAGAACAAATCGCCATTCCATGTCTTTTATTCCTTCTGCTATCGAGCTACTAAATGTGGATAATAGTCTTTTTAAATGATTGTTATAGCTTTTTGTTGACTCCTTGAATTGACTCCTTATTTATTCATCTATGTATGTGGATATGACGTCTCTGACATATATAATATATATATAATATGTACATACATACACATACACACACACACACACATATATATATATATATATATATATATATATATATATATATATATACATATATATATATATATATATATATATATGTGTGTGTGTGTGTGTGTGTGTATGTATATATGTATAGCTGTGCTTATGGACGAGGAAAGCTGCAAATGAATTGCCCTTTTTGGGATTAATAAAGTACTCTGAACTGAACTGAAATAGAAGACATAACTTAATATGGGAGAGCTTTTCCTTTGACTTCTTTAGAGGTTGAAGTTTTGTGTGTAAATTTCCAGAAAGAAGAGTCAGTTTTGTTCTCCTCAGCAGTGTTTAAATAGAACATGTGAATAAATGTGTTGTCTGTACTGTTTTACATTGAGATCACAGTGGAAACTGATCTGGGAAGTTATTCTGGATGAACAAGCTGAAATGTAATCTTACTTTGATGCTAAATAAACTACAAAACTAATAAACACTGAACTCTCTCATCAGATGATGAGACAAAATGAATTACAGTAATGATAAAACAAAGAGGCTGCAAGATATTTTAAATATGTGTGTGTGTGTGTGTGTGTGTGTGTGTGTGTGTGTGTGTGTGTGTGTCTCTGTCTCTCTCAGGTACTAGCATCGATTGTCATACTGCCACCAGTGGGGTCTCTTCACTCTCCGTTCTCCTCCACGTCTCTCTCTTCCTCCATCAGCGTTTCTCTCTGTCCGTGGAGGAGTGGACTCCTCTAGTTTTTCTCTCTCTCTCTCTCTCTCTCTCCTGTCCTCCATGCTGTGAAGGAGTCTGTCACTGCATTAGTTCTTCTATGTGTCTGTTCCTGCACTCGTCTGGGACTGAACTGCCTGGGTTCATCACCCCAGTTCCTTCTGTTGTTCTGGACAGAAGAACCTCTCTGAACAAAGCCTTGTTGAGTTCTCTATATAAAAACACATTTAATAGTTTAGAGACCATGACTAGGACTAAAAGCTGTAACCTGTACCTGATCTCTTTTCCAGTGAGGATGTTCTCTCATCTCCTCGTGTCTCTTTGTCGTCTTCTGATGATGAGGATGAGTTTTGGGTCTCTGGGTCTCTGGTGGGGTCTCTCTCTTTTCTTGATGATTTCTTCATTGACCCCTGAACCCCTCTGCTCCTCCTCTGTGTGCAGATACTTTGCTGTCATTCTTGTCTTCATCTTGTTTGTCTTCTGCTGGTTCTTGGTCTTTTTTATAGTTGATTATTCATCCTTGGCCTCTTGTTCCTCTCCTGGTGTTTCTCTTCTGGTCTTCAGCTTCTTCAGGCAGGTCTTTCTTCTTTACATCCATTTCAGCTACAGAACAAAATTAGATAAATCAGTGACCAAGCTTTTCTCCAATAGTCTAACTTGGAGCACAGATAAAGTAGCCAGTATTTAAATTACATTTTGTTTTTCAAATTAATTTATCTAAATGTTATATTTACATTTATTATAACTCATCCTGCAGTTTTTAAGAAAACTCAGCATCAAAATGACTAAATAATGTTTACTATGATTGTGAGAGTTGTGCTTTTTTAGAGCTTTCAGATTGGACACACAGTTGCTTAGCAATCATCATAGCAATCCCCTAGCATCCACCAGAGGTTCCATAGCAACTACACAGCAACTCCCTAGCAACAACCTGGAATACCATTAACAGATAAACAGCACTCTAGCAACAATCTGGGATAACACAGCAATGGCCTAGCCACTCCATTGCAATGACCAAAACACTATAGCAACAAAATAGTAACATCCTACAAACTATTTTGGACACTTTAGCAACCCCTTGGCAACACCCTGGCTACTATTTAAAATATTGTAATGTTTAATCCTATTGAAGGAGACACACAACTTATGCACAAGCTTTATTAACGGGCTGTATGCGGCCACAGCCACACAATACAATAAGCAAGACTTTTAGCTAACAGCCAGCTCTACACTCAGCTCACACCAGCACTCTATCAGCGCTCAGCTCTGACTGACACCCAGTTGCTGTCTGATCTGACACACAACCACCCAAAGATGAAGTAGCCCCGCCTTCACATTAATAGTCTTTGTCAGAAAAAACAAAAAAAAAACAGAGAATAACTGTAGAAGAACAATAACCCAGAATAAACATGCACAACATTTATCGAACTACATCATAAAATCATTTAATACTATGATTTTATCATCTTGTATCATTTTTTTGTGATAAAGATAAAATCAGTTCTTTGTCTGGCTGATGCACAGCCCAACTTTGCAGGCTGTGCACATCCATTTTGTGTGATGCAGACCCTTCGTAGTGCTGCACTCAGCACATTATCTTGATGTGCTTTGCACTGGGAGATGAGCAGCTTCAGATTTATGTTTCTCACTTGAAATGTATGGTTTGTAGTGTGGGAACTCAGCCTGGTTTGCTCTTCTCTCAGTTGACAATCTTCAGTCTTCATTAGATCTTGTCTATTAGGTTCTAGAAGTGTGTAATAAAAACTTTGGGCCCACCATTGGGTAATATACTGTAACATATTCCACGCAGCTTGCCTTCCAGCCTCTCCCTACTGCTCCCAATTCCACCTGTTTAGCAGTACAAAACCCAATGCTCCACCTCTTCTGAGTATTAACACCTGGATCTCGTTTACCTGCCTATCACCAGTCCTCTCTCTTTCCTCTAATTTCCCTCACACAGCACTGTACTACTCTGTGCGCTTTTGTTCCATCATATTCTTCCTCTTTATAGCCTGGTTCTGTGTTTATTTCTTGTATTTACTTGATTTGTTTGCTCATTAGCAAAACATGTTTGTACTTCCAGGTTTTTGCTTTGTTCATTTCCCAGCTGCTTTTTATGTCCTATATTGCTCTGTTTCTACTCACATTTTGTTCATGGCTTTTTCTTTTGTATTTACTGTAATAAGCTGCTAAAATATCCATACCTATCAGTCCTTCTCTCCAGCATAAAAGGACAATGCGAGAAGGGAACAATTCAGGCCTTCAAAAAAGGCCTAATTATTACAGGAAACTAATAAATGCATGTCTGTATTTATGTCCTGTATCTAATAACTGCATGTCTGTATGCATGCCTTGTATTTAAACTCAGCAATTATTACAGTACTACAGTGTTACAGTACTAAGGGTTACATTTTTGAAATACCCAGCAGAATATTGGTCAATCAGGAATTGTTTTTATGTGTGGTATGCAGGTAGATATAGCTAAATAGCTCCACTTAGAGCTCCCCTAATGGTTAGGACTTCAAGAGCAGAAGAGATTTGACATAATTCCAATGTCACAGAGGATTCAACCAATGATTTCCAATAGACTGAACCAATTTCATGAGAAAAACATCACTCTAAGCCTTCTCAAAGTCCCAAATATGTCCCTGACTGTGAATACGAGCAGCAGCCTAGTCAATGTGTTAATAGAAATGGAAAACAGTGGTGGCAGCTCTTCTTCTGAAAGACTCACTGTGAAACTACTGTAAGGTAAAATGTATGCTAATATGTATGGAATGGTCTGTAGAAGCTTAAAACATCAGTTTAATCTAAAATATGTTCCTGTGAATTGTCGTTATTACAACTAGTATGCTACAGGGGCGCTAGTAGAAGTTCTCATTATCATACTGGTGGGTTTGGACCTCAGGTTTTTGCTGAGTTTTGACAATTAACGCTCAAATTCAAGTCCAAGCTGTGATACAGTTCTTTACTAAACTGCCTCTATATAATATTCCCATTTATTTATACAGGCTGTTAACATTATTGATGTGTAGTTAACCTTACCTGTAACTGAATTTTCTCTCATTGATGGAACATATATGTAAAAAAGTTTGTTTTGCATAATATGCAAAAAGGCTTTCTTCCATTGCTCCTTTATCTTACTGGAAAATTCATGAAATTATTTAGTCACATTGTTCATATCAGCATTTTCTCCTAATCTTTTACTAACTCATCAGACTGACAGAGTGTAAACTCAGGCGAGAAGTATGTGGCAGCTGCAGCAGTGCAGAGAGACTTAGGGAGGTTTTTGTATGACACTTTTTCACTGTGTGAACACATAGCTACCACTGATCTCATGTGTACTTAAACAGTAATAATCTCCAGCATCTTCAGCATGGACTCCACTGATGGTCAGAGAGAAGTCCAGACCATTCCCTCCAGATGAATAACTGCCTCCACCCGAGAATTTAGAGGAAACTCCAGAAGGTCTCATTGTAGTGAAATATATCAGGAGTTTAGGAGCTTCTCCAGCTTTCTGAAGATACCAGAAGATGTAGTAATCTTCAGATACAGAACCTTGTGGATTTCTGAAAACTTCAGAGCTGGATTTGCAGTCAGTGGTGACTGTCTGACCGAGCTGAACCGACTTAGACCCAGACTGAGTGAGAATGACGTCTCCAAAAGCCCCTGCAGATAAAGACAGAAATACAGGTCAATGTCTACACTCAAAAAGTGATTTCAGAAAAAGAAAATTATCCTAGTCTCCTGTTTTCTTCATTAATAAATGGAAAAAAAAAACTTTAAAGCTAAAGAAAATAAATAAACTTTAAACAACAGGTTGCGTTATTGTATGTTATTTTAACTGGTGTGCATTTTATAAGATAATAAAAAAAGACTGTTGGCCACAATTTAATTACTAAAAGAGAAAAGTCTTTACCTTGGATTCCCAAGAGTGTCCAGATGAAGATGGTTAACAGAGTCATACTTGCTCTGAGATTATGCAGAAATGCTTGTTATTATTCAGAAAAGCTCTCAGTCAGGAGGTGTTAAACTGACAGAGCTATAAACTCTCCCAGAGTAAAAGTGTCTTCAGCATGAAAATCATCTTCCTGAAAACAAAACTTTAAATGTCAGACCTTTCACCACTTTGTGCTGCTTTGCAATAAAACAGAGAAGAATAACTTTTTAACCTGATTTAAAGATTCTGTCATTAATGCAACTTGTACATCATATTATTATGAAACTAATTTAAACTTAATACTCAGTTGTTATCTGAATTAATAGTAATAAACAGTAATTAACAGTAATAATACATGGAATAAAAGTTCAGCCGGCTGAATGGATGTTTCTTTAAAGACTGTTTTTTTCTTTTTCTACATAATCGAAAGATTCAAAGTTATGAGACTGTTTGTTTATAAAATACACATGCACTCTCCCCTAAAATGTCCTCTTTGAGGGTTCAGTCTCAGAATGGTACAGCATAACTGTACTGTACTGTTGAAGGCAGTGGTGTAGTTTGTTGGAGGGTAAACTGTGCTCTTGTAGAAACCTCCACCCCAACGTGTGCATCTGTCCACACACTGTAAACACACGCTATGTCTCCATATACTCTATGACTAAAAGAACAAAATCTGGGTTAAAAGTCATAAATTAATACAGTACAGTGTAAGTAAATATAATGAAATGAAAAATTAACTTTGAGTTCATTCAGTTACATAAGTATGAAAGTTAAAAAACTCTTCAAAAGAATTAAATTATAAAAAATCATGTAATGGATCTCAAAACATATTTAGTGGACTGGACCATGGGAGTATTAGTTCTGCAGTATGTATTCACGGGGTTATTCTATGAGGACTCTTATTGTGAAGGTGGGACTAGCTCGCTAGCTGTTTTCTGTTAGATTAGGAATTAAAGTCAGTCTAACGCTGAGGGCAGCGGAAGCAAACATAGCTAGGCATAGAATGAATTGCTAGACCAAGCTTTGTGTACAGTGTGGCCACTGTGGGGCCAACTACAGCCCTTTAATAAATCACAATGACTTCTGCAGAAGCTGTGTGTCTTCTTTTTGTATTGTTTCAACAAAAGTATTTGTTTGGGTTGAATTATTTGTTACCACATGAAATATTTTTTAGATGTTTTTTACAGTAAATGGAAAAAGTAACATGAGAAATAAAAATTACAAAGCAGAAAGGTGTGTGTTTATTTATTTATTTTTTGTTTGTTATTGAACACATGAAGTAAAAAAAAATCCAGAAAATGTACTGGCACAAAAAATTATCAGTACATTTTCCATAACATTACCAGACAATTCCATCCCTCATTTAATGGAATTTTTTGTTAAATATTCTGTACATATTCTGTGAAAATACAGTTTTATCCATATAAACATCCTTTACATTTTTTTCAACTCAAAAAAAGAAAAATCTTTTACATTCTTCTCTAGAACCCCACAAATATATTGTTTAGCTGGTATTAGCTGATTTTGAGAACCTGCAGATTTAGTGATATCAACAAAGATATTTTTGATAATGTGCCAATAATCAGTGATTTGTTTGGGCTGTGGCATCTGCAGAATTCGAACATAAGATATCCTGGCAAAAGAGCAAAACCTCACATGTTTGTCTACTGAGAGCTCAGTTCAGAAGTGTTAAGCTTAAAATCACCACCTGTTTAGTTTTATCACAGCAAGACAAGCTGGACTTGTAAATTTGAACAGAGAACACCACCATGGTGAACAAAGCAAAAACACGTTAATGCATCCAGTCCTACACTTTAGCATGGTGATAATATATTGTAACACAAAATAAATAAATAAATAAAAATTCTCAATCATTACAAATGAAAGATAAAATGGATTCATTACAAATAAATGTTTCTTTATTTTCTTATTTCAGAATGTGCTGCTGTATATCTATCTTGTTTTAAAACATTCTTCTTTCTTAACAAGAAATTTTCAGTGTTTATCAGTGAGGCTAACTAGCCACTGTTAATTGAGATTAGCTAACTGAGCTAGCTGGCTGTCATACACCTGAACTCCTTTCATGCCTCATTTATGGACAAAGCATTAACATTTCTGGGAAACTGTAGCACATGCTGACACTGATTAATGTAGTTAACACTGCTGTAAAGTCATAAGAAAAAAAAAATTGGCTAATGTTATGCTAGCTTGTTCGCTAACTTAACAGCTACTTTAATGAGCCTAACTTCAGGTGATGTTTAACGCTGTAGTCACATGTCTAAGTTAATACTATACCTAACATTTTCATACCTTATTAACAACACAATTAAGCTTATCACTATGGTTAAAAAGTAGGTAGGAACTCATGATGAAGGAGCAGTTTTCTCCATTAATCTTGTTTGATTGTAAGCAGTGGAGTAACAGGTAAATTACCCAGAATGCAACACATGCTTGGAAACATGGAAAAGTGACAGTGAAATGCACAAACAGAAAAATTCTGTTTAAATTATACAGAGGAATAACCTGTAAAAAATAGATCATTTTTACAGCGTCGAAACTAAAAACAGTCAGTATGTTTCTATACAGTGAACCATTTCACATCAAACCCCTCTGAAAGACTTGCTGCTTTGTTTACATCACTATGACTGCTTTATGTTGAAATTTTGAACATTTTAAAAATTCAGTAGAATTCCCCTTTAAATTGTTAGCTGGATAGCTAGGTAGCTAATAACAGGTGATTGTGTGTACATTTGTCACTGAACTACTCCTGAACTGCTGTGTATGTAGTAGTGTTATGAAATTAATATTAAATTCCATCCAGTTTATACAGTAATTGGTCACATTTTTCAGGGGAAACATTACACAGACAGTGCTGCTGTATCTATCACTGTATCCTGTACTCTAACAACAGCTCTGCAGTGGGGTGTTATGAACTAAACTAGAAAGAGGCTTGTGCGCACACACACACACACACACACACACACACACACACACACAAGCATGTCTGGTTTTCTGGTTTTCTTGTAACTGATGGACTTATCAGCACAAATAAATAATATTTTTACACAAAATATGTGTCCTTTTTAAGAGTTCTGGGAGTAGAAACACATTTTGTGTCATATTTTTGGAGCAGTTCTGCTCTGTGACTCATCTCTTCATCTCCCTTCAACACCTGCAGTAGATGCAGCTGCAGCAGTGCAGTCTCTGTATAGTCTGACTGAGGGAGGTATTTGTATGACAGTTTTTCACTGTGTGTTTCCGTCTGTATAAGCTCCCATACAGTAATAATCTCCTGCATCCTCAGGCTGGACTCCACTGATGGTCAGTTGAAAGTTAAGCCCTGATTTTGAACCACTGAATCGGTCTGGAACTCCAGACTCGCGTGTGCTTGCTTTGTAAATCAGGAGTTTAGGAACTTCTCCAGGTTTCTGCAGGTACCAACTCATATCATCACCAACTCCACTAGATCCAGTACAGCTAATAGAGACACTCTTTCCTGCTTCGACAGACACAAACTCAGGAGACTGAACCTCTTGATGGGAAACTGAAGAAAGAGACAAAAAAAATAAAGAATAATATAATATGAAAAATGGTAAAACACTGTTTGCACTTAAAGTACTTTCTTATCAGACTCAACACTTCAGAAGAGTGTAGAAATAAATGTGCTCTCACCTTGAGGAAAGAAGGTCAGTGTGGTCAGCAGTAGAATCAGTGTGGTCATCATTGTGCTGTGTGAGTGAGTCTGAAAGGACTGAAGTCTCCAGTGTTGATCACACCAGCACTCTTAAAGTGTGTGGAGCTGTGATCATGCAAAACCCTCTTCTATCAGCTGCACTTCCTGTCTTTCACATGCAGTAACTCACACAGCTCATCACTGCAGATACTTCTTTCATTAAATTAAAGAATGAATACAACTCCATTTCTGCGGCACGGGGGTGCAGTGAGTGGCGCTGTTGCCTCACAGCAAGAAGGGCCTGGGTTCAATTCCCGGCCAGACGACCGGGGTCATTTCTGTGTGAAGTTTGCATGTTCTCCCTGTGTCTGCGTGGGTTTCCTCCGGGTTCTCCAGTTTCCTCCCACAGTCCAAAGACATGTAGTCAGGCCAATTGGACATGCTAAATTGCCCCTAGGTGTGAGTGTGTGTGTGAATGTGTAGGTCTATCTGTCTGCCCTGCGATGGACTGGCAACCTGTCCAGGGTGTATCGTGTCTTCTGCCTAATGACAGCCGGTATAGGCTCCAGCACCCCACCGCGACCCAGAAGGAAAAGCAGTTTAGATGATGTGCGTGTGTGTGTGTGTGTGTGTGTGTGTGTGTGTGTACAAGCCCATTTCCAAAAAAGTTGGCACAAAATGCAATATATATATATATATATATATATATATATATATATATATATATATATATATATATACACACTACAAGTAAGGAATGATAAATGATAAATTTAACTGTTTCCTTTTTTAAGCTCTTTACCTCTTTTTTGTTTTGTTTCAGCAAAATATATGACAGAATACCAGGTTCCTGCATATGAGCTAAATAAATGAACACTGTAGTTACTATCAGGTAAATACACTAAAGTTCGCCCTTTCTCTCTTTGACTCTTACTGTCTTTTTCCAGTAGGGGGCGTTAAGCTGCCATTAAGTTTATCCTCTCACCAGAGTTCTGCTTGATGTGTCTGTCAGAATCTGTCTGGAGGTTTTTGGATGGTGAGTCAATGGTATTAACTCTCTGACTTTTGGAGGAGCATCCATATTGAATATTGGAGGTAAGTGAGAATATGAACAAAAATGCAAATTTTAACTGAAAGAAATTCAGAAGAATCAGTAATTGTCATAAATGAATCGCATGAAAAGCCTGATTTTTTTTTTATTAATAACTTTTTATTAATTTTGATGGTAAACACACAAACATTCTAAAGCCAGATGTTTTTCAATAGATTCAGAGAGGCGGTAAAAGTGAATGACATGAGTCTACGATCAGAAGTTTAATTAAGTACAGTGTATTTAGTTTTATTCAAAGTCAGATCAAGGAAGAAAAACATATTGAAGGAAATACTCTTTACTAGAGTAAATACCACATGAAGAACTATAAATCATAAATTAGAAACATAATCTGAGATGTGTTTGGGGTTTCTGGTTAATGAAGCTGCTATAAATCATAAATTAGATCATTGTGTGTAGCAGGTTTGAGTTGTTCTAGTTAAACAGTGCAGCTTTAGTGCAGGAGGTTTTTGTACAGACACTGAATGAGGTCGTGTCACTGTGGAGGACTTTTGGTGGAGGAACTCGACTCTCTATTGGAAGTAAGTCATTTTCTTCTTATTATAATGTATAATTTGGTAGAAGATTAAACAGTATAAAAAAGATACATTTTATTAATTTGTTTACTTTATTATTTTGTTTATGTAACTATTTATTTTCTATACATGAAACGATAGTAAAGTTTAAATAGTAGATTATATATATATTATTCATTGCAAATTTATTTACTTTCCAATTTAAAATAATTTAAAATCGATTAACAGTATGTACCTCAATTGCTGAAAGTTAAATTATTAAAGTTAATTCCAAAGTAACGTAATAGTTTATGTCTTATATTGGCTCTAATTACTTTTTCTGTTTCTCCTGAATACGTTTTTACTATTATGATGAATTTTCCATACATCATTACATTTTTACCATAACAGTGACAAACAAGTAGATAATTTTATTTATTTTTTGGGGTATATACATTAATGTATATACATTAATATTTAACATATATACCGTTAATAATTACTTCTTTTTTTTCTAATAACTGTTTTCCAAAATGTTCATATGATCAGCATGTAATATTTGAATATTTTTTGAATATTTTAAAATTTTGCTATTAGTTTATGCTGATTTTGCATCATTCTAATTTATTCTATATATTATTACATTAATAGAGTTGCAGTACTTAATAAATAATAATAATTTCCTTTTGCTAAAGAGTTTTCTACAATTTTTACTTGAAAATTTTAAAATACTCCTATTAGTTTATACTGATTTTTTTTTTCTTTTCAGAAATATCCTTTGTTCTTTAGTTATAATTAAATAATACATCCCACTAACAAATGACTTGAAACAGAGAAAACATGTTGACTGTTTACTATAAATGGCGAAATGTGTTTGAATGATCTGCTGCTCTCAGTTCTGCTTTATGAACATAAAGTCTGATAAAGGGAAGTGAAAGAGTCTCTAGGACTATTTCAGACAACAGAAACTTCTGACTCTCTCTCTCTCTCTCTCTCTCTCTATCTCTCTGCAGGTGATGCTCGGCCCACCCTCACAGTGTTGCCCCCATCCAGTGTGGAGCTGCAACAGGGAAAGGCTACATTTGTGTGTTTGGCCAACAAGGGCTTCCCCTCAGACTGGACGCTGAGCTGGAAGGTGGACGATAGCAGCTGGACGTCAGGTGTGAGTGTGAGTGGGGGTGTGCTGGAGAAGGGAAACGACCTCTACAGCTGGAGCAGCACCCTGAGCCTCACTGAGAAGCAGTGGAGGAACATACGAGCAGTGAGCTGTGAGGCCAGACAGGGCAGCCAAAGCCCAGTCACCTATAGCCTGACCACAAAGCAGTGCACTGACCTCTGAGAGTGTACTATATACACAATTAGCAGTGCACTGACCTCTGAGAGTGTTTGACATGCATACTCTAAATGTTTGAGTTTTTCTCCATTTCAGATTTTACTATCATCAGTTCTGAACTTAATATCTTTTCAGTGCATGAATGCTGTACTAAAAATTGTGTTAAAAAATAAAAGCTTTTTGAATCAAAAGTTTTAGACTTCACTTTGATACAATTTGCATGATGTAGACAGATGAGAATATTATCTGAATTTGAATAGTTTTAAAAAGTATTTGTAAAAAATGTACCACAGTGTGACTGGCGACCTGTCCAGGGTGTATCCTGCCTTCTGCCCAATGACCGCTGGGATAGGCTCCAGCACCCCCTGGGACCCAGAAGGATAGGCGGTTTCAGAAAATGTGTGGGTGTGTGTACTACAGTGTTCTCATATGAATAATTACTGATCTTATACTAAAATAATTTAAAGGTGTACTTACAGAAACTCCACAGGGTTCTGATCTGGAAATCAGTCATTCTGCTCATGCAAATTAAGTTTCACACTATAAACGACTCAACGTCTTGAGACAGCCGTGTGTGTGTGTGTGTGTGTGTGTGTGTGTTTCTATTCAATGGGTCATGTCATCTTTCCCCTCACCACCTGCAGCTGGTGCTGAGCTCTTATGATGATTTTTCACTGTGTGAATTTTGGGTCATTTCTTTTAGTCCATTCATCATGAATAAATACAATGTAAAGGGTAACAGATATTTTCAAATTATGTCAAAAACTGAAAACCATCAAAAATTATATATACAAGGTTTTCTTTTGAAAACAGCGATGTACACATTAATGTGGTTAAAATGGAGTTGGTCCTCCCTTTACAGCTATAACAGCTTCCATTCTTCTGGACTACAAGATTTTGGAGTGTGTCTGTGGGAATTTTTGCCCAAATACAGTGGAGTACAAAAGGCTGAGACCAAACTGAAAATCTAGGTTTTTTTCGTTTAAACCTAAGGAAATAAGTAAAAAAAAAAATTCAGAATTTTTAAAAATCTTGAACAAAAAACAAAAGTTATGACAAAGTGGTCCTGACATGAAGACTATATGTTCAAGATTCTTCACTATTTCTAAGTCTCTGTTCAAATTTAGGCAAATTTGTGACATTGACCATGTTATTTTTACTTGAGTTTGTTTATAATGTAATAAAATCATTTTACTTCACTATTTTAATTTTATTAACTCTTACAGCATAAAAACAAATGCTCATGTCAGCTTGTAACCAATGAGAAGAAAGCCTGGATATATTTAATAGATTCAGTCCTGAAAGACAAACAAAGCACAGCAGTGCCAGCTCCTAACAACACTTCAGCCCTGGTGAGTTTAGAGACATCAAGAGGAGGAAGAGAGGGCACATAGTTAACAGGACACATGAGAAACACACTTTGCCCAAATAGTCATCTTCATTTAATTTCAAATTAACTAAAGAAAACAATAAAATTCGCTGCCAAATCTGCCTCCCAAAACCTGCTGAGATCTCCACTTTTCACAACTCAACTCACCCTAATGAAGCACCAAGCTGACTGTCTAACTAATCCTAGCTCCTTTACCGAGAACACACTTCTGCATATTTTAATGCATGATTACTGTTTATTGAAAGAAAAAGTGGCCTGTGCAAAAGTTTTAATTTCATGTTTTATTTTTTTCCAACATGTTAAACTAAGGATGTGTTAACTTATTTTCATGTTGAAAATGTGTAAGTTTACCAGGGGTGGCCAAACTGGGTGTACAAGTCAGAGTTAACATGAATGTTGTTTGTGTGTGAATAGTTTTGCATGAGTGTTTGCAGGATTCCATCTGCGGCAGTGCAGTCACTTTTTCACTTTTTGATAAAAGATTGTTTGGAATGTCTCAACCACTAGAGGGAGAAATTTAATAAATTAAGTGCTTGAACACAACTGTATTACATGTGAGGACGTGTGTGTTTGTCAAAGCCGATTCCAGCTGCAGCAGTGCAGAGTGACTGAGGGAGGTTTTTGTATGATGTTCTTTGATTGTGTGAACACAAGTCATACAGTCATATAGTAATAATCTCCAGCATCTTCAGCCTGGACTCCACTGATGGTCAGAGAGAAGTCCTGACCATTCCCTCCAGATGAAGGATGACCTCCACCACCACTGAATTTAGAGAAAACTCCAGATTCTCTCTCATCTGAATAATATATCAGAGTCTTTGGCACTTCTCCAGGTTTCTGAAGGTGCCAGGATATATAATAACGGCCCTTGGAAGATACCCATTACTCATTCCGATAAACTACTGTGTTGGATTTGCAGTCAATAGTGACTGATTGACCAGACTGAGCTGATTTAGCTGCAGTCTGAGTGGCCACAACCTGCCCCAAAGAGCCTGCAGAGATAAAGAAACAGTGTGACTACAAATGTTTAGTGAAATAACTGAACGTATGTACTTTATTTGAAAATGCTTCTTTAAAACTGAAACATAAAAAGAATTATGAAGTGAATTTTCTTACCCCAAATAGATGTAACAAGCATCCAGATGAAGATGGTGATTAAAGTCATGAAGGCTTTTTGATGTGTGATCATGTAGATCAGCTCTCAGTCATGAAGTGTTAAACTGACAGAGCTATAAACTCTCCCAGAGCACTGAAGCATGGGCTGCTAATGCAAAGTGACTTCAGCATGAAAATGACCTTACTGACTGCAGAACCAGATAAAAAAAACTGAAGTAGTGAGTGAAAAGCATCATCGCAGATAAATATAGATAGTATAATGCTACTAATAGTAGTAGCGGTTGTACCTGTATGTTATTTAATAATATGTGCTTTAAAGTCAATAAATCCGCCTGTAATAACATCATAATTTCAATATGATATGCTTATTTTCATATACAGCGGCTCCAAAAATTATGAATGAATTGAATGAAGGTAAAAACGTCAAAATTTGGGGCTCTTTTTTTTGCAATCATACCCATGAACATGCGTTCACTGATGGGATCATGAGCTCAGAAGTATACAAAGACATTTTACTTTTGCAAACCTGCAGATAAAATAGCTCAAAAGTACTACCTTTCAGTAGGACATACACTACACATCAGCCACCATTTGAAAGGTCTTGAAGTGGTTTGATAAAAAATGTCAATAGTTTGACATTTTGTTTCTGAACAAAATGAACAAAGATACATACAATATTCAACTTGCTCAAACCAGTTAAAAGTCTGGACAGGCATATGAGGTGATTATCTGCTGAAGTATTTGTGTTTGAGGCTGTTATTGAGGCAAATTGGAGCATTTCTGATGTAATCAAATTTTAGAAAGAATTTTATGCATTACTGATCATTTCTGTGACAATTCCTGTGTCTTGCATATTGTAACATTCTGAATAAGCCATAGAATTCAAGCCTGTATTCTCAAAATTTGACTAGTAGTATATCTGGTATTGATGGTGAGCAGTGTTATAGAAGAAATATAATAATTATAAAAATATTTATAATATTTATTACTGTCATTAAGTACTTTGTTTGGGATATTTTTAGGCAAAACACTGAGTATGTTTTCTTTACCAATATTGATATGTAAGTGTATAGTAGATTTTTTTCTAAATAACAACTGAGAATATGAGACTGTTATTGAAGGCGATATTAAATCTTATCATCTTATCAGAGTACAACCACTTGTTTTACAGTAAAGAAGCAAAGTGGAACTATTGTGTGCTGTATTAGAGCTGGTGGATCTTCAACAGGAAAATCATTAAATCTATAGTCAAATGCATGTGACTTGTTTATGTCTTCTGAAGTCCTTCAGAACTGTTCCTTTTTATCACCAATGTCAGTATGAGAGGCAGTACTACTAGTATAGTCACATATACTACTGTATACTCTTGAATGCAGGCTAATGCAGTCTGCTACCCTTTTGTTAGACCTAGTGTAGCATCAGAGTATATAGAAATAAGAAAAATAGATTGAATCCATTCTCTGATCTTAACTGAATCTCAAATGCAATAGAGACTGAACTGTTTTAAATGCATTAAAACAAACTTTAAAAGATTAGAACTGGTATTACTTCACTGTTGTGCAGATCACAACACACAAACGAAAAATACCGTAACCTCATATCACTACCAAATATTCAAAAGTCTTATTTTTAATTACAGCTCATAAAGCAGCAATAAACTCAGTCACAACTCAAGCAGACACAAAAAACTACAAACACTAACACTATAAACACATCTCACAGTCAAATTTTAAAACACTGAATAACATGATGATTCAGCAATCACAGCTTCTTCTTTTGAGGTCAGTAGACACTGATGTCTAAAATTAGAGATCAGTTAGTACAAAATTACACTCACTGTCCATTTTATTGGACTGTCCACTTACCATATACAGTCTACTCCTGAATTAATGGCATTGACCTGTAATCAATATATTAAATAAACCACACATACAATGAGTGATATTTTGGGCTTAAACAAATGAGTAAGCTGGCATCCATATTGCTAATGTTTGGAAAAATCTCCTCTAGAGAGAGAAACAACAATCAGATGCTTTCTGTAATGTTTAACTAGCTTGGCAGACACTTGTTGAGGGATGTTGGACCAATGATCCATGCAGAACATTTCCAGTTCCTTAATATTCTTGGGTCTTCACTTGTGGACTGCCCTCTTCAATACACACCATAGGTTTTCTTTCAGAGTCAAATCTTTAGACTTGATTTTGTGTTCCTGCAATCATTTTTGTGTGGATTTTCATGTGTGTTTGGGATCTTTATCTTGCAAAAAACTCCCCCACAGCCCCATTTTAGCCTTCTGTCAGAGGCAGACAGATATTCAGGGTAAAATCTCCTAGTATTTAGTGGAATTCATTATGCCTATGATTTTCATATGAGCCCTTGGACCACTAGCAGCAAAACAGCCCTAAATCATCAATGATCCAGCACCATATTTGACAGTGGATATCAGGCTTTACATTGTATTTAGTTTCTTTTTTACCAAATATGACAATGGTGCGCATGACCAAGAAGTTCCATATTTGATCACATCTGACCACATCACATCATTAACACTTGGCAAAGTTCAGGCGCTGCACTTGGTGGCTTACTCTCTTCTTTTGTGGAACTCTGCAAAAAGCTTTCGTTTGTGGAGGTCTGAGAGTGGATTTACAAACTTGAAAACTCCAAGATTCAACTGAACTGTGCAGTTCTGACACTGTAATCTTTGGGTTCCTCTTTTCTTCTGTTTATCATCCTGTGCATGGGTGCAATCTGCTAATGTGTACTCTTTATGGGAAATTTTCAACTGTTCCATGTTTTTCCAACTTTTATATTATCTTCTTGATTGTGCTTAATGGACTAATTTTCTAATCTGAGCAGGTCTACAACCTTCTGTCTCATGTCAGTTGACAGCTCTGTGGTTTAGCCCATGTTGATGGATGGTAAACTCATTTTATACTCAAGTAAAAGAAAAAATAGTCAAAGACAGCAATTTAGTTCCTGGAGACTAAGAGCGATTAAAAGTAAGATTTTTTCCCCAATTTTTTTTTTTTGCAGTATTCTTTAGATAGATAGATAGATAGATAGATAGATAGATAGATAGATAGATAGATTCAGTAGCAAGACATGTAATTGCACATAAACTTACATATACTATGCAGAAAAATAGAAAACAAATAAATCTAGACATAAGTTAAAGTACAAGAGAAATAAAATAAAAGCAAAAATAAAAATATATCTATTTACATATTCACATGGCATATGAGACAGATTTGTTGTATTTACAAGACAGCAGGCACTGAGTGGTATGAGGTAAACTAAAAGCACATATTATAGACAAAACTCTTTAGGGTTATGTGTAATAATCTCATTTTGAAAGAAAACACATTTAAAGTAAAGAGAACACTACTTACAGAATGCATAGTGCCAACAGTAAAATTTAATAAATTTATAAACTTAAATTTCAGTGAAGGGTAATGTTACTTCTACAGCATACAAAGACATTTTGGACAATTATATGCTTTCAACCTTGTGGCAGTAGTTTGGGGAAGGCCCTTTCCTGTTCCAGCATGCCTGTATCCTTGTGCATAAAGCGAGCTCCATAAAGACATAGTTTGGTGAGTCTTGTGTTGAGGAACTCCAGTGGGCTGCACAGAACCCTGACCTTAACCCTACTGAACACCTTAGGGATAAATTGTATAGCTGATTGGAAGCCAGGCCTATTCGTCCAACATCAGTCTGACCTCACAAATGCTCTTTTGACTGAATGGGCACTAATTCCTGCAGACACACTCCAAAATTGGAAAAGCAGAAAGCCTTCCCTGAAGAGTGGAGGCTGTTATAGCTGAAAAGGAGGGGCAGGGTTTATACAATTAGGCAATCTTACATGTTACTTATTAAATTACTAAATAATTAAATAACAAATATTTTTAGAAGCAAAGTCATTTTAGAGGCTGGCCACAAGCTTCACTGCAGCTGATATTTTGCTATTCAACTCAAGAACAAGAAAACTGACAAACGAATGAAAATCCTCTGCAGCTATTGTAATCTTTTTTTACTTGCCAGCTGACAAGTTAGCTAGATAGCTAATGACACGCTATCTCATGTGTGTTTGTCACTGAACAGAAGTGCTTTGCAGTGTTATGAAATTGATATGGAATTCAGTTCAGCATACATTAAAGAGGACCTATATTTTCCTGGTTTATCCCTTTTCTTTAGTGTGTTATGTAGCTTTTTGTGCATGTAAATGGTCTGTAAAGTTATAAAGCACCAAGTACATGCTAAACATAGTAACACTCACCCACAGAAAACACAGCTGCCTGAAATGCCTTTTTGGAATTCTGACCCTTTTCCTTTTGTTAAGGTGACGCAATCTCATAACACAGTCCTTATTGCCCGCCTACCGGCAAGCTTGCCACAACTTCAAACAACACACAGTAACTACTGGAAACCGGGAAGATTGTGTTAAGTTTTGTAGCTGTGTCATGAAGAAGCTGACCTGACTTTCAGGATCGGGCTCTGGCTTCTGATACAGCAGAGCAAAATAGCCATACTAATGTTTACAGTTGCTCAAGAGAGAAGGATCTGTCTGCAGACTGCAAGACAGGGGCGGAACATATAGGGGCAAAACCGGTCTGGCGGTTGAACAGAGTGGGTGAGCTGACCAACCAAAACACACTGGACTCATCAAGAGGGGGGCTTAAAGAAACAGGAGCTCTAACAGAGAGTTTCAGACAAAGATGTACAGTATGAGAAAAATAGTGTGTTTTAGAAGATTGAAGCATGTAAATCAATTCGAGTAGACCCAATAAATAATAATATGTACAGTGAAAAGTCTCCTTTAACTGCGCACTTTTTTTTGAGGTGGAACATTACAACATGAAATTCTATTCCATCTGTTTGTTCTCTCGCTACTCCAACAACAGCTCTGCAGCGAGGTGTTATGTGTGTTCCAAACTGGAAAGCAGCTTGTGCATTTTTGAACATGATTTTTGTTTTTTATTTTGAGAGACATATAGTGCTTAATACAATTATGTGTCATATTTTTGGAGCTGCACAACTGGGATGGTAAGTGGGGTGGCAAACACTGCAGAGGAGAGAGTAGATGCTTCCCTTTTTTCACCCCATAGATCTGCTCCATTTGAGATTGTGCAGTTCTGCTTTATGACTTGTGTCTTCATCTCCTCTTAACACCTGCAGCAGTGCAGTCTCTGTACAGTCTGACTGAGGGAGGTTGTTGTATGACAGCTTTTTACTGTGTGAACCTTCCTACATAAAATCCCATACAGTAATAATCTCCTGCATCCTCAGGCTGGACTCCACTGATGGTAAATTGAAAGTTAAGCCCTGAATATGAACCACTGAATCGTTCTGGGACTCCAGACTGACGTGTGCTCGCTGTATAAATCAGGAGTTTAGGAGCTTCTCCAGGTTTCTGCAGGTACCAACTCATATCATCACCAACTCCACTAGTTCCAGTACAGCTAATGGAGACACTCTTTCCTGCTTCAGCAGACAGAAACTCAGGAGACTGAACCTCTTGATGGGAAACTGAAGAAAGAGAGAAAAAAAAATAGAGAATCAATAAAAACTTAAAAATGGTACTGTATGTATTGAAATTATATTCTTATCAGACTCAACACTTCAGAAGAGTGTAGAAATCAATGTGCTCTCACCTTGAGGAAAGAAGGTCAGTGTGGTCAGCAATAGAATCAGTGTGGTCATCATTGTGCTGTGTGTGAGTGAGTCTGAAAGGACTGAAGTCTCCAGTGTTGATCACACCAGCACTCTTAAAGTGTGTGGAGCTGTGATCATGCAAAACCCTCTTCTATCAGCTGCACTTCCTGTCTTTCACATGCAGTAACTCACACAGCTCATCACTGGAGATACTTATTCCATTAAATTAATATAAATATTGTTATTTGTTCTTTTAATTTGACAGATCTGTAGTATAAAAAGCCTAGTAGTATAAATGCTGTTGAGTGAAAATCACTAAAATACAAGTAAGTAACGAAATACAGTAAACTTTTTCCTTTTTCAGCTTACATTTTCTTTGTTTTTCGCTTTTCTTGTTTCATATTCATGTTTCAGCCATTATGGCAAAATCTTTTACTGAATACCAGCTTCCTGCACATGAGCCAAATAAATAAAGACTGTAGATAATATCTGTTTCCATTTCTCTCTCTCTCTCTCTCTCTCTCTCTCTTTCTCTCTCTCTCTCTCTCTGACTCTCCTCAAATGACCACAGTACAGTATTCCAGTAGGGGGCAATAAACTGCTATAAATTTTATCTTCCCATCAGAGTTTAGCTTGTTGTGTCTGTCAGAATCTGTCTGGAGGTTTTTGGACGGTGAGTGAATGAGATCCACTCTTGGACTTTTTGAGGAGCATGTCAATGTTGTAGGTAAGTGCAGAATATGATCAGAAACATAGAAAGATATTTGACGTAATTGGAAATGTGTGAGTAAATGTACAACAGGATAAGCCAGACTTTTTCAGATACATAGTGTTGATAAAAGTGAGTGACACTCACTTTAAATTTTAGTGGATCTAGGAACAATCTAGACATGTTTTACTGATTATCCTTTTGATGATGATAAAATAAAAACATAGAATATATTTGGTTTTAAACAAAGTCAGACCAAGGGAGAACAAACTGTTGATAAAGCTGGAGTTTATATTGCTCAGCACTCAAATGTGAAGTTAATACCTGATAAATAGCTGTAAATCATGAATCAGAAACATCATCTGTGATGTGTTTGGGGTTTCTGGTTAATGAAGCTGCTATAAATCATAAATTAGATCATTGTGTGTAGCAGGTTTGAGCTGTTCTAGTTAAACAGTGCAGCTTTAGTGCAGGAGGTTTTTGTACAGACACTGAATGAGGCTGTATCACTGTGGAGGACTTTTGGTGGAGGAACTCGACTCTCTGTCGGAAGTAAGTCATTTTCTCTTTATTATAATGTATAATTTGATACAAGCACAAAATATAATATGAAAATTTTGCAAATAAAAAAATCCCCCAATATTTGAAATGAAATGAAATGTAACTATTTATTTATTTCTGAGTGAAAATCTGCTGTTTAAGTTGTAGACTATTCACATACATTCATTCTTTCAAATATCAATGTTTTAATTAAAACATGATGAATTTCAGTTAATATTATCTTTGTTCTGTGTTAATAATGTCACAAAAATCTGTATTTGTATATATGTTTAAGCTAATGTTAGTATTTTTACTCTGTAGTTGAATACTAAGTGATAAAATGTACAGCCGTATGCAAACATTTGAATATCTCTGGCCAAATTACATGTTTTGTGGATTATTTTAAAATAAGTAAACAGGTCCTCTATAGGAAACAAACTTAAATATAACATCCTTTTTAAAGCTCTTTTAATTTGCGTCTTTATTTATTTCATTTGCTGCATTTAATATATTGACAAAAAACAAGATATAAAGACCACATTTAATGTTTTATTTTGTTCCCTAAGGAAACAAATGCAATAATTGTGTAATAAAATGTTTTTGTATTCTGTAGAATAATTTGTGAACTTATTTTCACTTAGAAAATCTACAAAACTTTTTGTATACAATTTACATGTAAATATTTATTGATAATTTTCCAGAATTGCAATTTGTTGTGTGTATAAAATTTGAACATGTGACTTTTTTTTACTTATTAAATTACTACAGCCATATTAATAAACAAGAGATGAAACAGAAAATGTTGATTGTTTACTGTAAATGATGAAATGTGTTTTAATGAGCTGCTGTGCTCAGTTCTGCTTTATGATTGAACTGAATATGACTATTTCAGACAGCAGAAACACCTGACTATCATCTCTCTCTCTCTCTCTCTCTCTCTCTCTCTCTCTCTCTCTCTCTCTTTCTTTCTTTCTTTCTCTCTCTCTCTCTCTCTCTCTGTCTCTCTCTCTCTCTCTCTTTTGTTCTCTCTGCAGGTGATGCTCGGCCCACCCTCACAGTGTTGCCCCCCTCCAGTGTGGAACTGAAGCAGGGGAAGGCTACACTGGTGTGTTTGGCCAACAAGGGCTTCCCCTCAGACTGGACGCTGAGCTGGAAGGTGGACGGTAACAGTCCGACGTCAGGTGTGAGTGTGAGTGGGGGTGTTCTGGAGAAGGGAAACGGCCTCTACAGCTGGAGCAGCACCCTGAGCCTCACTGAGCAGCAGTGGAAGAACATACGAGCAGTGAGCTGTGAGGCCAGACAGGGCAGCCAAAGCCCAGTCACCCACAGCCTGACCCCACAGCAGTGTACTGGCCTCTGAGAGTGTGACATACACAAATTTTCTCTAAATATCTGTGTTCTACTTGAGTTGTTTTGCTCCTTTTCTGATTTTAATATCATCAATTCTAAACTTTACGTCTTTTCAATTGTTTGAATGATGTGCTTCACTGTTTGTTTGCAAAATAAAAGCTTTTTTGAATCAAATCTCTTTTAGACTATCTTCATTTTGATAATATTTGCATGATATAGACAGATGAAAATACTACCTGCATTTGAAAGACAAGAAGTTTTTGGAAAAATAAATCACATTGATCATATGAACAGTTACTGATTTCACATTAAAATCTTTTAAACTTTACTGTAGTGTTGTAGTTACAGAAACTATTGTTCTATTATGGAAATGAATCAGTTGTTCTGCTCATGCAAGTGTGAGTTTCACATCACAAACCACAAACAGACCTGAGACAGCTGTGTGTGTTTGTGTGTGTGTGTGTGTGTGTGTGTGTGTGTGTGTGTGTGTGTGTGTGTGGGATTAGTGAATGTTTGAGGTGTGAAAGCTGAGGAAACGTCTGGAGGAACTATAACAAAACATAAACACTCCAATCAGTCCATAAACAATCGTAATCTAAACCTACAAAACAATGACCCCATTTGCACCTGGTCACTTTATTTGGCTGGTATCTGGATTGTATCCTGATAAGATTTTAGCCACATGCATTTACACTCAAATGTCAAATGTGTCTCCAATTACTCAGACTGAAATTTAATCATGTGTGGGACAGAATGTGCAAATTTGCTCGTTACCAGGCAACCAATTACCATGTGTTTATCCCTTCAGCCTCTTACGCCCAATCCCATTTCACCCCTTGCCCCTACCACTTAGCACTTGGCCCTCTGTTTTGCCCGTTCACGTCTAGGGTTAGGGTGTCCCAATTCTTGTTGAGACAGAGGAGTAGTGTGAATTGTTAGGGCTATATGGCCCTGTTATGAAAAAAAAAAAGAAAAACCGGCAAAATGGCTGCACAAGCGACCAAAGAAACCCACAAATGTAAGTATTTTCTCCGTTATAAAATTACGATAACCATTGTATTATTTTAGTTTAATGTCGTTTCAATGTATTATGGTCGTTTTCTTCGTAACAAGCAAAGAAAATTGTTAAAAGTATGCTAACATCTCGGTAGCTAGCTAGCTAATTTTCCTGTTCCACCTTAAATAGTCCCAGCAGTATTGACGCCTGAAGCGCCAGAATGTAATGGCTGCACCATTTAAGGTGGAACGGGAAAATTGGAACAAGAATAGCTGAATCCAGCTTTGTATCACCAAAGAATTAGCAGTGGATGATAATAAATAATTGTCTTATATGCCCTCTTTGAAAGCATATGATGCCCTTAATGTAACTAAAGCCCAGCAGTGAGGTCACTGAACTGTTCCCTTCTCTCCTATCACTGAAGTCAAGCCGGGTCGCCTACAGAGAACTGCTAATAGCCTGTTAATGAAGCAATGGTTTTTTTTGTTTTTTTTTGAGGGTTGTCCCATTTTATAGGGCAAGATTTTAACCACTACCCTTTGTAACTCCGTTGCAAGGAGTAAGGGTGACACTCGAAAACAAGGGGTGGGGGTAAAAAGAAGAAATGGGATTGGGCCTTAATCTGCAGTTTGTTTTACAGATTACTATGTGCATCCTCCATGATTATCCTACTGGCAGACAGGGATCATGTGCCTGGTAAAATACTGTATAGGGACAAGTTTCGGTTGTACTGGTAGGGGTTTTAGTTGTTGAATGTGTCTTGGAGAGACTGTAACATGTGGCTCACATGTATCTCAGACCACCTCCTGAAGTGGTTTGAGTGACTGGATTTGAATCTGTTCTAAATGTGTCTTGGGTGCATTTACACCTGCAGTTTTATGTGGCTTGGCTTTCAGATATAATCCTCATACTCAAGATGCATGAAATGTCCAGGTGTAAACAGGGTCAATATGTCTACATGACTAAATAAGTATCTTTCAAAATCAAGTGATGAATCTGAATATATGTTGTAACTGTTGAAACAAAACCTTGCATGGAAAATAAAACATTCTTAACTCATAATGTAAGTTAATAGAGCAACATTTTGCATGTTAAACCTGGCCAAGTGCTGAAAACCAACTTCTGGATTATCCTGCAAAATATCAGTTCTATTTGATTCAAAATCTAACTATGCTGTTTTACAGATGACCTAAGTGTTATCTGTCTGAATCTCACCCTGAAATAATGTAAAATCTCCTCACTTTCTTACACAACTGTTTTCTGTATCTCAGAAATCATTCTGCAGTGTAGAAGTAGAAGAACAGAGTTTGTCTCATTTGTCTTCAGAACTTCTTACAGTCAAATGTTTCTGCTGATTTTTTTTTTCTTCTAAAGGGGCTTTAGGAGAGAATTTAGAAAATGAATAATTACTCATTAGAACAAGATTGAGATTGGCTTCATTTCTCCAAAGATAAAGAAGAGTTCATCTGAAGAAAGACATTTTTTCTTTTGGTTATAATTTTTCTTTCGATTCATAATTATCTTAGTGTCAGTTAACGAGCTTGTTAAGATCTATATCTAACGTTAACTGTCACAGCTCACACTCTTACAATAAAGTGATGGAGTGATGCTGTAGAAGAAGGTTTTATAAAGAAACTTTCAGTAGATGTTCTGTCAATAACCATCTAATGGTAATGATAGCCATGGTTTCACTGCAAGGATTTTCTTTTTTATAGCACATAATTGGAAGTGAAAGTTAAGATGAACACTGCATGTTTGTGTCTGCTCTGTGTCTCTTCATCTCCCCTCAACACCTGCAGTAGATGCAGCTGCAGCAGTGCAGTCTCTGTGCAGTCTGACTGAGGGAGGTTTTTGTATGACAGTTTTTCACTGTGTGATCACTCCTCCGCTATAAGCTCCCAAACAGTAATAATCTCCTGCATCCTCAGGCTGGACTCCACTGATGGTCAGTTGAAAGTTAAGCCCTGAATATGAACCACTGAATCGTTCTTGAACTCCAGACTCACGTGTGCTCGCTCTATAAATCAGGAGTTTAGGAGCTTCTCCAGGTTTCTGCAGGTACCAACTCATATCACTGTCAACTCCACTAGTTCCAGTACAGCTAATAGAGACACTCTTTCCTGCTTCAACAGACAGAAACTCAGGAGACTGAACCTCTTGATAGGAAACTGAAGAAAGAGACAAAAAGAAGAAGAGAATAAATATATTCTAATAATGGTAAAATAGTTTGTATTGAAATTATATTCTTATCACTTCAGAAGAGTATAGAAATCAATGTGCTCTCACCTTGAGGAAAGATGGCCAGCAGTAGAATCAGTGTGGTCATCATTGTGCTGTGTGTGAGTGAGTCTGAAAGGACTGAAGTCTTCTATGATGATCACACCAGCACTCTTAAAGTGTGTGGAGCTGTGATCATGCAAAACTCTATCAGCTGCACTTCCTGTCTTTCACATGCAGTAACTCACACGGTTCACCACTGCACATACAGTGGGGTCCAAAAGTCCAAGCCCACACTGAAAATCAAGAGAAAGTTGTAGACTTTTGAAAAAGTTTAAACAAAGAAAAGTCATGATAAGTAAAATTAACACCATGTGGTCAAGATTCTGCACTATTTCTAAGTCTTTATTCAAATTTAGGCAAGTTTTTTGACCATGTTAAGGCATTTATGCAAAAAGGTTAGGTTTTTCTTATTTATTTTTTTCTTCATTGAAACACATGTTCAGACTACTATCAGCTTGATCTGATCTACTCATTAGAGGCTTTTGCACGTGTGTAGTCCACAACAGAGTGTACGCTCTCAATAAAAGAACAGGGGGACCTACCAAATACTAAGAAATGCTGAAATTCATGTAAATATTTTAAAGATTCCGCTCAAATTCAATCACTCAAACTACTATGTTGATAATATAATTTACACTAAAAAAAGTTTTAGTGTAAATGATAAGAGAGGCCCAAAGATTTATTACACACTTCTACAAACTTAGAATAACTCAGTCAAGTTTGCACTGAAGTGAACTGAGTATTGCAAACTTGACTGAGCTATTCTATCACACTTAGTATGTGTTAAGTCTGGGATTTTAAGGGGTTAAGAAACTCTCTGGAACATGAGGTTTTACACCACTGTGGTGTAAGATTGGTGTAAAACATCACAAGGAATTTGACATTTTACACCTCTCTTAACCTCTCTTTGCACACAGTAAGTAAGGGTGGAGATAGACTGTTGAGATTTATGAACAACACGAGTTGGTATAATGTAGTGGACTAACACCACTGCTCTTTATGCAGCAGATTGAGGTTTAATTCTTCTCTCAAGCAAGAACACCATGGGTTACAAATAAGATTCCTTGGCAGAGGTGGACAGTAACAAATTACACTTTTTTACATCTTTTTACAGTACTTGAGTAGATTTTCCCTGTAACTTTTTGAGAACATTACCAGCACACACAACCAACATACATTATCCAATCTGTCATCTTCATTCATTTTCAAATGAACTAAATTAAACAGTAGCAAACTATGCGTGACATTTTAGGCATTCCAATCTTCTTTGTTGGAAAAAGATGAATTTGGAAGCCTTATAATGTAATCATCTAACTATTAATGCACTTTTTTGTCCTTACACAGTACACACAGTTGTGTAAATAATGTACACCAGCACAGCATACTGTAATCAGTCTCAGTGCTCAAAACTTTGAAATTTAGTTTTTTTGTGTTTTGCCATGTTTTTGTGATCTTTGTTTGTATGAATTATTTCCAAAAATATAGCCAAACCAAATCAGAAATTATTCTAATTATGATTGTGGATGTATGAAAAAGTAACTCAAAGTAATTTGAGTTGTACTCATTTAAACGTACCTGAACAATTTCCTTCATTAATATTTTACTCGTACTGCAGTAAATTATCACTACCGTATAACAAAACTCTTACTTAAGATGGAATTTTCAGTAGTCTGTTTACCGCTGGTCCCCGGGCAAGACTATAAACACTACATTTGCCTACCTCTGTAACATGATTGAAATGTAAGTAACGCTGGATAAGAACATCATCCAAATGCCCTAATGCACTGTGAAGGATGGCTGTTCTATAATGGATTTAGTCATATTCATTCACTGCTTTACATGACTATTATTGAATTAATCACTGATTTCTTCAAAGTCCTAGAATGCATTTTGTTTGTGGCTAATGTCCATCATGTTCATTTCAGTAGCATATTGTGCTGGTTTTTGACAGTGGAGAGCATAACTGTGCTTGTATTTTCAGAGGTGTTATGAAATGGGAAGTGTTTATCTGCAACATCTGGTTCACTGTGTTTTCATATAATGTTGCATATATTGTGAGTATTGAGTGCTTCTTTGGCTTTGTACAGTTGTGTGCAAAGGTTTTGGCACTCCTGGTCATTATGATGTTGTTTTTCTTTTTAAAAATAAGGGCACATTCTCTCCACATTTTAATTCACAAGTACTGTTTATTTAAAAAAAGTGACCTGTGCAAAAGCTATGGCTCATTTTATAGTTATTTATTAATTAATTTATTTATTTATATGACTATATACGACTATAAACGTGTGTACAAGTCAAGGACGTGAATATTGTTTGTGTGTGATTACAGCTGAAACAGTGCATGTATTTGACTTATGAGAAAGTCTCTACCACTAGAGGGTGGAATTTAAGTGCATAAACACAACCATAGAACATGTGAGGACGTGTGTTTGTCAGAGCTGACTCTGAAACAGATCATGAGTTCCAGCTACAGCACAAGGAGGTTTTTGTGTGATGCTTTTTCACTGTGTGAACACATAGCTACTACCAATCTTATGTGCACTCAAACAGTAATAATCTCCAGCATCTTCAGCCTGGACTCCACTGATGGTCAGAGAGAAGTCCAGACCATTCCCTCCAGATGAAGGATGACCTCCACCACCACTGAACTTAGAGGAAACTCCAGAAAATCTCTCATCTAAAAAATATATCAGAAGCTTTGGCTCTTCTCCAGGTTTCTGAAGGTACCAGGATGTATAATAACGGCCCTTGGAATCTGATCTTTGCTCATTCCGATAAACTACAGTGTTGGATTTGCAGTCAATAGTGGCTGAATGACCAGTCTGAGCCAATCTAGCAGCAGTTTGAGTGACCACAACCTGCCCCAAAGAACCTGCAGAGATGAAGAGACTGTGTGAATACAAATGTTCCGTAAAATAATTACACGCATGTACTTTATTTTAAAAATGGATCTTTAAAACTGAAATATAAAACAATTATAAAGTGAATTTTCTTACCCAAAGCACATGTAACAAACATCCAGATGAAGATGGTGATTAAAGTCATGATGGCTTTTTGATGTGTGATCATGTAGATCAGCTCTCAGTCATGAACTGTTAAACTGACAGAGCTATAAACTCTCCCAGAGCACTGAAGCATGAGCTGCTAATGCAAAGTGTCTTCAGCATGAAAATCATCTTTTCTTCTGCAATTGTGCAACAAAATGACAAGAGTGGATTTTTCAGAAGAATATCAATCTGAAACACACCAGCAGGTCTTGAAATGGTCTGTTTAAAATAAAGGCCACTGGCTTGACATTTTGTTTCCTAAATAAACATAATATTCCACTTGGTCAAACCAGTTAAATGTCTGGAAAGGCATGTGAGATAACTTTCTGATAAAACATAAGTGTATGCTTTGTGTTTTAGACTGTTATCAAGGCAAATGATGGAATTTTGGAAGAAAATCAAAGAATTTCTTTGACACTTCTTGTATTTTATATATTGTAACATTCTGTATAAGCCATAAGATTTCATCCCCAAAGTACATAAGTATGTGCTTAGTTCTCAAACAGTATGTTTGGGATACATTTAGGCAAAAGCACTATGTGTGTATGTTTTACACCAATAATGCTTATTTTAATTATTATTTTTTAATAATAACTAAGGATAAGTCTTTAGTCAAATGTGTATCTCTTATTCACCCATGACTTGTTTTTGTTTTCTAAAGTCCTTCAGAACTATTTCTGTTCATATCAACACCAGTATGTCAGTAAAACATATCACAATTGTGTTTTACTTGTATAGTCATGTATGCTACTGTATATTTAATACATGACAGTGTAAGACAGGAAGATTTGTAGAAGTGACACCTTATATCCTCACAAAGAATCACAAATAAAAAAGTTAGCTTATTGAAAAAAGTTGCTATATCATCGTTGTTGTCAATGGATTGCAAAGTTGCTACTGAAAAAAAGCTCTTTTACTCTTTGGGTCGTCATTTATCTCTGCTTTCCTTTTACTCCCTACTTTATACACCCTTCACACTTTTATTATCTCAATTTTTTATGTGGACTCATTCATATTTTGGTTGCTTTTGGAGAGAAGGGGTAGATTGGAAAAACACACATCAGCCCATGCAGTCTAGAGTTTGTCAGGGCTAAAAGCTTTTGTTGCTTAAAGGCATTGATTAATTAACTAATTAACTTCAGGCACGTGCACAGATGGACCCCAGGGCTTGAGCCCCTGCCGTTTTGCTATCAAACTCTATAAGTTAGCTCTTGCTCAGCAAGAATAATACATGCTTTTTATATAGCCTCTGCTATTGTTTATGATCCATTCCAGTGAGGCTGGAGGTATCAGTAAAAGCCAATGTATGGGTATTGCTATCAGAATAGTAACCTCTGTATTATCTGGTATTGGACCGGGAAAAAAATAGCTCTTGAGTGCCTCTCTGGTGCAGTACTGGTAACTGTGGAGGTTGTACCTCAGTAACTCTAGCTTGTCACACATTACCACAAAACAGAAAATATTTTTTGCTTATTTTTAACAAACCAGTAGAATGTCAGCAGTAAGAGGCTCTACTAACTTGCTAAGCCAAGTGAAACAGATCTTGAACAAATTTTTTAGAGGTAATGTTGTAATTCCTGGCGTTCAGTTCCCAGAGATTATTAGAGAGTCGTTCTGGATAAGAGCATCTACATAGTGCTGTGAATAAAATCACTTTTCATTCACATTCATTTTGTCCTTCTCAAGCCCCGCACCCCAAAATATCTCGGGTCTGGTTAACATAGAATTTAAACTCAATTTTCAACTGCTGGTGAACAGCAATTTTTTTTTTTTTTCCCCTCAAGCTCCACCCTGACTTTCCGCTGCTGATAAATAGCCATTGTAACATTTACTGATACTGATCTGAAGACGACTGTCATTGCCACTATCGTTGTCTGAGTATGTGTAGTTCTGCATGCACAGTTCTGCTCTGTGGCTCGTGTCTTCATCTCCCCTCCTGCAGTAGATTTCTGTACTGTCTGACTAAGGGAGGTTTTGTACAAGACTTTTTCACTGTGTTAAAACTCTCCACTGTCAGCTCCCATACAGCTCCAGTATCTTCAGCCTGGACTCCACTGATGGCCAGAGAGAAATCAAGACCATTCCCTCCAGCTGAATAACTGCCTCCACCTGTGAATTTAGAGGAAACTCCAGAAGATCTCATTGTGGTGTAATATATCAGGAGTTTAGGAGCTTCTCCAGCTTTCTGAAGATACCAGGAGACGTAGTAATCTTTAGATACAGAACCTTCTGGATATCTGTAAACTTCAGAGCTGGACTTGCAGTCAATGGTGACTGTCTGACTGAGTTGAACTGACTTAGACCCAGACTGAGTGAGAATAATGTCTCCAGAAGCTCCTGCAGATAAACACAGAAATACATACTGATATTTAAATTTAAAACAGTCTTCTGTTTCGCTATAAATGAATTATACTTAAATAACAAATAAACAAAAGTTTTAAAGCTAATGAACATATGTATATATTATGAGATAAAAAAGACTGTAACGGCAAATTCCAATACAAAGCTGGAAAACAAGAAGTCAACTTGAGCCTCGTGGTGAATGTTGCACTTGTTTTACCTGCAGAAGCTGTTATAGAGTGCAATAGAGAGAGCTGTGTCCTGCTATTATGAGGAAAATTTGTAGTTCATCTGGTGAGCTTCTCCAGTAACAGTTTAAGTGCTGAGGGCTTATTGATACTGTTGATGCTTCACTTGTTTCCTGCTTCTGGAGGCGAACTTGAGCTCTAAACGCTTCTCTCGTCTTCCGAAATAAACTAAACTGAGCATAAGCACAGAAACAGACATCTGGCGACGGTGCTGTAGATTCAATTTAAGTCAGGAAACATATTGATTCACTTGGAAAGTAACCGGCTGTATAACAGTCTGCAGTCAGACTCTCCCCACGCTTCTTTCAGAGTTTCGAGTCTTTCCAAATCTTAAGGCTGTGAGTCCCAAGTCTTTCTAGATTTTCTAATTCAAATTTGTGGCAGGAGTCAGACTCGAGTCCAATGCTGCCTTCAAGTCCTCCTCAGAAGTTCCTATTTATGACTTCGGAGGTCGTAAGTACGACTTGATTTGTGTTCAAGTGGTTTTGGTTGGAAATAAGTGGAAACAGTGTTTTTGGTTTACTTTTATTTTTTCTGTTCATAAAGAAAGTCTGTGAATATGCATCTGTATTTCCATGTGTGGATGGTTTCAGTCTGCAGTGTTAATGTTGTGGCTGATGAATAACTGAAATACGACCAACTCGGACACTCAGGGCTGATTGAAAAATTTGTGTTTCACACTAGTAAATACAAGATTGTGGTGCCGTTCACATGCATTCACCTCATAAATATGATATTTCTGACATGACTTGAAGGAAGCAGCACAAGTTATATGACTCAAGTCCAATCCACTGTCAGGAAGGTTTGTGGTGGCAACACCCAAAAAAGTTAAATTGATGAAAAAATTTGCTATATCATTCTTGTCATCAGTGTATTGCAAATTTGCTACTGAATAAGCTCTTTTACTCTTTGGGTCTTCATTTACCTCTATTTTCATTTTACTCCCTACTTTATACATCCTTCACACTTTTATTCTCTTCAAAAAAATCATTAATCTGGGCTCACTCATATTTGGTTACTTTGGGTGGGGGGTTACATTAGCGTATTCAGTCAAAGGGCTATCCGAGCTAAAAGCTTTTGTTGCTTGAAGCTCCTGATTGATGAATTAGTTTGTTAACACCAGGCTTAGACCCCAGGGGGATCGAGAGCTCCTGCACTTTTGCTATCAGACTCTAAGTGTCCTCTTGGTCAGCATGAATAATAACAGCATTTTATATGGCCTCTGCTATTGTTCATCCTCTCCAGTGAGGTGAGGCTCAGGGGTATTGGTAAAAGCCAAAGTATCAGTATTACTGTCAGGATATTAACTTTGGTATTACTTGGTATTGGATCAGAGTAAAATAAGTGGTATAGCCCATCCCTAGCTTCTATGCTCTTGAGTGCCCCCTTCTGGTGCAGTTCTGGCACCTATGAAGATTTCACCACAGTAACTCTAACTTGTCATGCATCACCACAAAACAGGAAAACCCAACAAAACTAATAACTAATAAATAATCACATTATCAAAGAATCACATTAAATACTATGGTTATTTAACCATATTATTATGGTTATTTACACACAAATATAATGATAGCAGTAAGGAGCTGTTCTAACTTGCTAAACCAAGTTGTTCCTTAAGTGAAATGGACCTTGACCAAAAATTTATGAGGCAGTGCTGTGATTCCTGAGTCACAGAAACTGGGGTTTAGTTCCCTCTATTTTTAATTTAATCTGTTTTTAATTAATTTTTTTTTTTTCTTTGGGAAAGATTATTGGACAGTCTTTCTGAATGAGCATCTGCAATATGCTGTAAATTTAATTACATTTTATTCACATTCAGGTTGTCCTTTTTTTCCCTCGAGCCCTGACCTGGTCTGGTTAACTTAGAATTTAAACTTGACTTTCTGCGGCGGATAAACAGCAATTGTAAAATTTTGCTTTACTGGTACTGATCTGAAGATGACTGTCACTGTCACTAACACTGTCTGTGTGTGTAGTTTTGCATGCACAGTTCAGCTCTCTGAGTCGTGTCTTCATCTCCCCTCAACACATGCAGTAGATCTCTGTACTATGTTACTGAGGGGGTTTTTGTATGATGCTTTTTCACTGTGTGAACGCTGGAGTACTATATATCCCCATGCAGTAATAATCTCCTGCATCCTCAGGCTGGACTTCACTGATGGTCAGTTGAAAGTTAAACCCTGAATATGAACCACTGAATCGTTCTGGAACTCCAGACTCGCGTGTGCTTGCCTCATAAATCAGGAGTTTAGGAGCTTCTCCAGGTTTCTGCAGGTACCAACTCATGTAATCATCAACTCCACTAGTTCCAGTACAGCTAATAGACACACTCTTTCCTGCCTCAACAGACAGAAACTCAGGAGACTGAACCTCTTGATGGGAAACTGAAGAAAAAGGGAAAAAAACAGAGAGTGAATATAAACTCAAAAATGACAAAACACTGTATTGAAATTACATTCTTATCAGACTTAGCACTTCAGAAGAGTATAGAAATCAATGTGCTCTCACCTTGAGGAAAGAAGGTCAGTGTGGTCAGCAGTAGAATCAGTGTGGTCATCATTGTGCTGTGTGTGAGTGAGTCTGAAAGGACTCAAGTCTCCAGTGTTGATCACACCAGCACTCTTAAAGTGTGTGGAGCTGTGATCATGCAAAACCCTCTTCTATCAGCTGCACTTCCTGTCTTTCACATGCAGTAAAGTTTAGAATCTGTCATTTTTTAAATATGAATAGTATTTGTCCTATTTATTTGCGCAAGGTCTGTTTTCTTAGCAGTGCTGTAGTACAAAATGATTTTTACATTTTTAAGCTGATTTCTTTGTTTTATTTTTCACTTTTTATTTTCTTTATTTGTGTGTTATGTTATGTTATAACGATTATGGCAACATCTGTCACTGAATACCAGCTTCCTGCTGATGAGCTGCTACAATGATGACCGTAGTTACTATCAACAGCAGATAAATGTACTGAACACTTATCAGTTCATACAATCAGAGATGGATCAGGGTCTTAAGAGAAACAAGTGTCTTTGGAGCCTCTCAATCCCACAGTAACCAACCAGTAATGGTTAACCACCCCTATTTCTCTCTCTTTTTCTCTCTCTCATCTCTCCCTCACCAAGACCTCAATACTTCAACTAGTAGGGGGCGATATATTGCTATACACTTTATCTTCACAGCAGAATTCAGATTGTTGTGCTTGTCAGGATCAGTCTGGAGGTTTGTGGATGGCGAGTCAATGAATTCACTCCTGGATTTTTTTGGAGGAGGATGCAAATTCAGTGTTGGAATTAAATGAAGGATGTGACTTAGGGGTAAAAAAAAAAAAAACACTGTCATTTATTGTTTTAATCAATGTGAGATTAAGCAAGAAGAAAATATTGATTAAAAGGAAGAAGAAATATTTCTTTCTTCCTTAAGAAGAAAATTAATACCTTGTAAATGTCTATAAATCATAAATTAGATCAGTGTGTGTAGCAGGTTTGAGTTGTTCTAGTTAAACAGTGCAGCTTTAGTGCAGGAGGTTTTTGTACAGACACTGAATGAGGTTGTATCACTGTGGTGGACTTTTGGTGGAGGAACTCGACTCTCTGTTGGAAGTCATTTTCTCTTTATTATAATGTATAATTTATTATAAATTATAATTAATGGATATTTTGACAATATTTTAAATAAAATTAATGTAACTATTTATTTATTTTGAAAATCTACTGTTTTTATTACACATGTTCATTCTTTCAAATAACCTCCAATCAATGTTTTAATTAAAGCATAATAAATTTCAGTTAATATTCTCTTTGTTCTGTGTTATTAAATATCACAGAAAAAGGTGTATTTGTGTGCAATTTTCAGTTAATATTAGTATTTTTACTCTGTAATTGAATACTAAGTGATAAAATGTACAGCCATATGCGAACATTTGAACATCTCTGGTCAAATTACATGTTTTGTGGATTTTCTAATTTAAAAGGAGTAAACACGTCCTCTATAGGAAACAAACTTAAACGTAGAATTCTTCTGCAAACTCTTTCAATTTGCTTGTTTATTTATTTCATTTACTGCATTTAACATATCGGCAAAAAGTAAGATATAAAGACCACATTTAATGTTTTATTTTTGTCCCGTAAATAAATAAATGCAGTAATTGAGTAATAAAATATTTAGACAATTGCTTTCTGAAATAATGTGCTTTATTGTTTTTGATTTAAGAGCTTACTTTCACTTAGAAATTTTACAAAACATGAAATATGACCAGAGGTGTCTAAACTTTTGTAAACAGTTTTATATTAGTTTATCAGCAAAAAATGATTTAAATTCAAAGGTTAATTAATAATTGTCCAGAATTTTAATTTGTTCTGTATATAAACATTTAAAGATATTAAAATTGGGCTACAACTTTTTTTTAACTTATTAAATGACTCTACAGCAGCTAATGCTTTCATACTAATAAAATTGTTTGGAATGTCTCAACCGCAAGAAAGTCAAATTTAATGGCTTAAGTGCATAAACACTTAACTAAAAGTATAGAACATGTGAGGACGTGTGTTTGTCACAGCCGACTCTGAAGCGTATCATCAGGTCCAGCTGCAGCAGTGCAGAGTGACTGAGGGAGGTTTTTGTACAACATTTTTTCACTGTGTGAACACCCAGCTACCACTGATCTTATGTTGAGTCATACAGTAATAATATCCAGCATCTTCATCCTAGACTCCACTGATGGTCAGAGAGAAGTCCAGACCATTCCCTCCAGATGAAGGATGACCTCCACCACCACTGAATTTAGAGGAAACTCCAGAGAATCTCTCATCAGAAAAATATATCAGAAGCTTTGGCTCTTCTCCAGGTTTCTGACGGTACCAGGATGTATAATAACAGCCCTTGGTAAATGTCACTTGCTCATTCCGATAAACTACAATGTTGGATTTGCAGTCAATAATAAACACAGAAATACATGTCAATACATTTAAAAAAGTGATTTCAGGAAAAGACAAGTGATCCAGTTCCCTGTTTTGCTTTGAAAGTATTCACTTAATTAACAAATAAACGAAAGTGTCTTCAGTATGAAAATGATTTTGCTGACTGCAGAAAACAAAACATTTTATTTTGATGATCCACTGTAGACACACTGAAGATATTGTTTTTTAAAAAAGCAGCTCGCCGAGTGACGAAATGCAATTAGGCCACTGAGTAAAACTGCCTTTCATGTCATGATAATATTATGTCTGTATAAACCTATTCAAAGGTGAGTAGTAACTTGTTCCATTTATTAATGTTCTTCAGTAACATATTGATGGTTTTTTACTCTCCTGAATATTTTCAAATCATATTACTTTTACTCCTACTAAAGTGATTAAAGGAATCTTTTACTCCGTTACTTTTTAGCCATTCATATTTAGTTACTACTTCCTTTTTTGTGTTTAATTTTAGTTTTTTTTGATGGTGGCAATACTTGTACTGCTTTGTGATTGGTTACATCTCTGACTTTGGAGTTTTTTATTTTAGACCAAAAAATCCCATAAAGAGGTGAGCAGAGCTGCACAATCTTCAGTTCCTATGCTGATAAACGCTGGTTGTACTTAAAAGTTCCACTGCAGTACTCATTTTTTTTTTTTCGACCTGCTTCTTTTGTATTTCTACTCAAGTTGTTGTGGGGAATGTACTTTAATTTTTACTTAATTTCTTTTATGCAAGTATCAATACTTTTACTTGAGTACTGTGTTAGGCTCTTCTATCCACCTCTGAGCCTGATCATGAACAGTGTCAGTGTTTGTTTTGATGCTGCTTCAGTAGCTGCAGCCTTAGATAGCAGTATTTCTTAGCAAACATCTTTGACGAACATCAGGCTGTTTTCATACCCAGTTCATTCTCTAAAGTCTTTTTTTTTTGTGATATTTTATCTCTTTCCTTTGGTGCGGATGGTGAACTGTGAGGGCGAAAGTGGACAGAATTACACATGTGGGTGTTTGTTGATTGACCAGAAGTTTTGCAGGGATGCAACACCAATTTATATTTAACCAATCAGGTCGCTGATGCATGGCTAAAAATATGTTCCATGATCCATGTGCATCCATGTAAAGCAGCAGATTGTGCAGACAGTACAGAGAAAATTTGTAGTGGAAAAAATATCCTCTGGTGTTGAATTCCCTCGTGAACCAACATGGTTCAGTTGTTTGTTGCAGAGTGAATTCAGGTGGAGTCAAATGTCAAAACCAAACTAAAGAAAAGGTTGGACAGATCCGCACCAACCAATGCGGGTCTGAAAGCTCCTCCCAGCTGAAACGGAGATTCTGACTGGCTCTGCCGCTCTGTTTTACTCTGTTTGTTTGTGCTGGTCAGCACTTCATACAGTTAAGGTAGAGCAGAGGTTTTTATGTTCGTTTCCTGAAGTCAAAAATTAGAGGGGCGTCGCCATAAAATGTCAGAAGTAAGGGGCTCTAATAAATGAAGTTTTTCCTTAAGTGAACTAGATTTTAAACAAAGCTTATTGAGGTAATGTTGTAACTCCTGTGTCGTAGAGAATGAGGTTCAACTCTCACCACTGTGAGATTAGGCTTTGGGGAAGATCAATAAACAGTCATTCTGTGCACGGGTCTGGTTAATATAGTATAAGTATATATAAGTTAAACTCAATGTTCCGCTGCTGATAAACAGCATTTTTAGAATTTTGCTTACTGATACTGATCTGAAGATGACTGTTACTGTCACACACATTGTCTGAGTGTGTGCAGTTTTGCATGGACAATTCTGCTCTTTGTCTCGTGTCTTCATCTCCCTTCAACACCTGCAGTAGAGCTTGGTACTGTCGAACACTGTTTTTGTACAATGCTTTTTTACTGTGTGAACACTGTAGCACTATATTTCCCCATACAGTAATAATCTCCTTCATCCTCAGGCTGGACTCCACTGATGGTCAGTTGAAAGTTAAGCCCTGAATATGAACCACTGAATCGTTCTGGAACTCCAGACTGGCGTCTATTTGCCTTATAAATCAGGTGTTTAGGAGCTTTTCCAGGTTTCAGCAGGTACCAACTAATTTCTCTGTCACTTCCACTAGATGCAGTACAGCTAATAGAGACACTCTTTCCTGCTTCAACAGACAAAAATTCAGGAGACTGAACCTCTTGATGGGAAACTGAAGAAATAAAAACAAAAAAACAGACATGAGAATGAATATAATCTGAAAAATGGTAAAACACTGTATGTATTGAAATTATATTCTTATCAGACTCAACACTTCAGAAGAGTGTAGAAATAAATGCGCTCTCACCTTGAGGAAAGAAGGTCAGTGTGGTCAGCAGTAGAATCAGTGTGGCCATCATTATGCTGTGTGTGAGTGAGTCTGAAAGGACTGAAGTCTCCAGTGTTGATCACACCAGCACTCTTAAAGTGTGTGGAGCTGTGATCATGCAAAACCCTCTTCTATCAGCTGCACTTCCTGCCTTTCACATGCACTAAAGTTTATAATCTGTCATTTTTAAATAAGAATAGCATTTGTCCTCTTTATTTCCTCAAGATCTGTTTTGAAAGTAAGTTTTTACAGCTGATTTGTCTGTTTTGTTTTTCACTTTTCCTTTTCACTTATATGTGTTTCTGCTGAGGTTGTAGCAATTGTGGCGACATATGTCACTGAATACCAGCTTCCTGCTGATAGGCTGCAACTAACAAATACAAAAAATAACTAAATAAATGACCACAATCTCAAATATCATCAGTACTTAAAGAACAGACATGAATGTTAAATATGGCATCACTAGTGAATTGTTTCTTTGTGTCAAAATAGAATAATTATATTGTGTATCATCAAAATACATTATATTTTCAAAAGTATTCACTCACCCCCCCCCAATAATTGAATTCAGGTGTTCCAATTACTTCTATGGCCACAGGTGCATAAAACCAAGAACCTAGGCATGCAGACTGCTTCTACAAACACTTGTAAAGAATGGAGCTCTGTGAATTCCAGCGTGGTACCATGAAAGGATGCCACCTGGGCAACGAGTCCAGTCGTGAAATTTCCATAAAGACATGGATGAGCGAGTCTGGTGTGGAAGAACGTGACTGGCCTGCACAGAGTCCTGACCTGAACCCGAAAGAACACCTTTGGGATGAATTAGAGCGGAGACTGCGAGCCAGGCCTTCTCGTCCAACATCAGTGTCTGACCCCACCAATGCGCTTCTGGAAGAATGGTCAAAAATTCCCATAAACACTCCTAAACCTTGTGGAAACCCTTCCCAGAAGAGTTGAAGCTGTAATAGCTGCAAAGGGTGGGCTGACATCATATTAAACCCTATGGATTAAGAATGGGATCTCACTCAATTTCATATGCGTGTGAAAGCAGCCGAGCGAATACTTTTGGCAATATAGAAAAAATGAAGATATAATTTTTCACTGTATTATCCATCCCTAGGCATCAGGGACTTTTCCAGTGCTATTAATTCATCTACTTTTCACATCTGCAGTGGACTGTCCCCAGTCTTTGAGCTGCCTCAAGGCTTGTGGTCTGTGGTCCCCCCTCTCTGGCAGCAAGAGGCCACTGGTCACTGGCCTGGTCAGTAATCCCACCCTGCATATGATGTCTCTTACTGTTTATTTCTCTCTGTCTATCTCTTGTTTCTCCCTACCAAGACCTCAATACTTCAAACAGTAGGGGGCAATAAACTGTTATAAACTTTATCTTCACAGCAGAGTTCAGCTTGTTGTGTTTGTCAGAATCAGTCTGGAGGTTTTTGGCTGGTAAGTCAATGAGATTCACTCTTAGGCTTTTTGGAGGAGGATGCAAACTCAGTGTTGGAACTAAATGAACAATGTGACTTAAATTTCAAGGTACTAAAAAAATTATATTTAGAAATAAATTACAGTAGGAAAAGTGTTAGGTTGGAATGAAGGGTTGGTAAAAGGGAGTGACATAAATCCACTCTAAATTTTAGCTCTAAACTGCATAGAGTTTGTTTGTCTTGTTCTTCTGAAGGCATAGGATTGTCATTTATTGCTTTGACCAATGTGAGAATAAGCAAGAAGAAAGTATTGCGTGAATGAAAGAAGAAGCATTTCTTTCTTCCTCAAGAAGACAATTAATATCTTGTAAATATCTGTAAATCATGGAATGGAAACATTATCTGTGATGTGTTTGGGTTTTCTGGTTATTGAAGCTGCTATAAGTCATAAATTAGATCATTGTGTGTAGCAGGTTTGAGTTGTTCTAGTTAAACAGTGCAGCTTTAGTGCAGGAGGTTTTTGTACAGACACTGAATGAGGTTGTATCACTGTGGTGGACTTTTGGTGGAGGAACTCGACTCTCTGTTGGAAGTAAGTCATTTTCTCCTTATTATAATGTATAATCTACTATAAAGTATAATTAATGGATATTTTGACAATATTTTAAATAAAATTAATTTAACTATTTATTCATTTTGAAAATCTACTGTTTTTATTACACATGTTCATTCTTTCAAATAACCTCCAATCAATGTTTTAATTAAAGCATTAATGTTAATATTCTCTTTGTTCTGCGTTATTAAATATCACAGAAAAAGCTGTATTTGTGTGCAATTTTCAGTTAATATTAGTATTTTTACTCTGTAATTGAATAGTGAGTGATAAAATGTACAGCCGTATGCGAACATTTGAACATCTCTGGTCAAATTACATGTTTTGTGGATTTTCTAATTTAAAATGAGTAAACACGTCCACTATAGGGAACAAACTTAAACGTAGCATTCTTCTGCAAACTCTTTCAATTTGCTTGTTTATTTATTGCATTTACTGCATTTAACATATTGGCAAAAAGTAAGATATAAAGACCACATTTAATGTTTTATTTTTGTCCCGTGAATAAATAAATGCAGTAATTGAGTAATAAAATATTTAGACAATTGCTTTCTGAAATAATGTGCTTTATTGTTTTTGATTTAAGAGCTTACTTTCACTTAGAAATTCTACAAAACATGAAATATGACCAGAGGTGTCTAAACTTTTGTAAACAGTTTTATATTAGTTTATCAGTAGCAAAAAATGAATTAAATTCAAAGGTTAATTAATAATTGTCCAGAATTTTAATTTGTTCTTTATATAACCATTTAAAGATATTAAAATAGGGCTACAACTTTTTTTTAACTTATTAAATGACTTATTAAAAAACAATAATTGTTAACTATAAATGGTGATCTGCTGCTCTCAGTTCTGCTTTATGAACATAAAGTCTGTTAAAGGGAAGTGAAAGAGTCTCAGAATGACTGATAGAACTGAATATGACCATTTCAGACAACAGAAACTCCTGACTATCATCTCTCTCTCTCTCTCTCTCTCTCTCTCTCTCTCTCTCTCTCTCTCTCTCTCTCTCTGCAGGTGATGCTCGGCCCACCCTCACAGTGTTGCCCCCCTCCAGTGTGGAACTGAAGCAGGGGAAGGCTACACTGGTGTGTTTGGCCAACAAGGGCTTCCCCTCAGACTGGACGCTGAGCTGGAAGGTGGACGGTATCAGCCAGACGTCAGGTGTGAGTGTGAGTGGGGGCGTGCTGGAGAAGGGAAACGGCCTCTACAGCTGGAGCAGCACCCTGAGCCTCACTGAGCAGCAGTGGAGGAACATACAAGCAGTGAGCTGTGAGGCCAGACAGGGCAGCCAAAGCCCAGTCACCAACAGCCTGACCACACAGCAGTGCTAGTGTTTCTGCTGATGAGCTGCTCAATAGTTTCTCAGCTCCATTTCAGATTTTGTTGTTCTCAGTTCAAAATCTTATTCAGTGCCTGAATGATGTGCTTTACTATATGATTTCAAAATAAAGCTTTTTGAATCAAAACTGTATTGAGAGCTCTGCGTTTCATTTGAAGTCATTTTCATGATGTAGACAGTAGAGGCTAAACTTACTTGAAGTATTCTTCAGTGTTGTAGTTACAGAAAATCTACAGTGTCGTTCTGATCTGTTCTGCTTATGCAAATCTTTCACACTATAAACAGACTCAAATCTCCTGAGCCTAAGACAGCTGTATGTGTGTTTGCATGTCTTAAAAGCAACTAATGCTTTCTTGCTTGTCCCAAACTATTCCTTAAGTACGATCATGATGTTTTTACATGAACCATTACAGATTTTGTATCAACATATTTGAAGTATTGTGTAGTGCTGTAGTACAGAAACTCTACAGGGCTCTCACCCATTCTGCTCATGCAAATCTGAGTTTCACATCTGAGTTAAACGCACCTCATGAGACGAGGACAGCTGTGTGTGTGTTTGCATGTCTCTCCAGCAGCTAATGCTTTCATACTTGCCCTGGACTTATCGGTAGTGCAGCTCTTTCAAGTGTATTGGACTTATAAGATTGTTTGGAATGTCTCAACCGCAAGAAAGTCGAATTTACTATAGAACATGTGAGGACGTGTGTTTGCCACAGCCGACCCTGAAGCGTATCATCAGGTCCAGCTGCAGCAGTGCAGAGTGACTGAGGGAGGTTTTTGTACAACATTTTTTCACTGTGTGAACACCCAGCTACCACTGATCTTATGTAGAGTCATACAGTAATAATCTCCAGAATCTTCAGCCTGGACTCCACTGATGGCCAGAGTGAAATCAAGACCATTCCCTCCAGATGAAGGATGACCTCCACCACCACTGAACTTAGAGGAAACTCCAGAAAATCTCTCATCAGACAAATATATCAGTAGCTTTGGCTCTTCTCCAGGTTTCTGAAGGTACCAGGATGTATAATAACGGCCCTTGGTAACTGTCACTTGCTCATTCCTATGAACTATAGTGTTGGATTTGCAGTCAATAGTGACTGAATGACCAGGCTGAGCTGATTTAGCTGCAGTCTGAGTGATCACAACCTGCCCCAGAGCCTGCAGAGATGAAGAAACAGTGTGACTACAAATGTTTTACAGATGTTTTAAAATCATCACATGTATGTACTTAAAAATAAATAAATAAAAACCTGGAAAATAAAGCAATTTTCAATTGTAACTAATAGAAATATTCTTACCCAAAGTTCGTGTAACAAGCATCCAGATGAAGATGGTGATTAAAGTCATGATGGTTTTTTGATGTGTGATCATGTAGATCAGCTCTCAGTCATGAAGTGTTAAACTGACAGAGCTATAAACTCTCCCAGAGCACTGAATCATGAGCTGCTAATGCAAAGTGTCTTCAGCTCGAAAATGATCTTCCTGACTGCAGAAACAGATGGATTGCAAAAGTATCAGGTGCCTTTCATTGTGTGCAGTCTTTTTTTTTTTTTTACAATATGTGACAGTAGTGTGCAAGACTAAAAATTCAGTTTTGTATCATCTAACCACATTATATCTGATATTTTGCAAAGTTCAGGCATTGCATTTTGTGGCTTACTCTTAGTAAAGGCTTCTTTCATTAAACTTTCTGTCATGATAGTGTCATCTAACTGTGAATTTTGAAATTTGAAAACTCCCAGATTTAGCTGTTCACTTCTGACACTATGATCTTTGAGTTCCTCTTTGCCCCTTTTATCATCCTCCTCACTATATGTGGTGGCAGTATGCTAATGCATCCTCTTCCTGGCAAATTTAATGATTTTCAAGCTTTTTCATTATCTTCTCAATTGTGCTCAATGGACTACTATTTTTTTCATGACCATTTCCTAATCCATGCAGTTCAACAAACTCCTGTCTCATTTTCGTTCATTAAGAATATCAAAATATTCTTTAGGACATTGTTTACCAACCCAGGTCCTGGAGATCTGCCTTCCTGTAGGGTTAAACCAACCACAATTGGCCACACCTGCTCCAGCTAATTAACTTCTTCATAAGTCTTCAATTGGCTGGATCAGATACATTAGTGTTAGGAAACGTGTGGGATGCATGTTAGATGCAGTTTGGAAATAAAATCTGCAGGAACATACACTATATTGCCAAAGGTATTCACTCACCCATCCAAATCATTGAATTCAGGTGTTCCAATCACTTTCATGGCCACAGGTATATAAAACCAAGCACCTAGTCATGCAGACTGCTTCTACAAACATTTGTGAAAGAATGGGTCGCTCTCAGGAGCTCAATGAATTCCAGTGTGGTACTGTGATAGGATGCCACCTTTGCAACAAGTCCAGTCGTGAAATTTCCTCACTACTAAATATTCCACAGTCAACTGTCAGTGGTAGTATAACAAAGTGGAAGCGATTGGGAACGACAGCAACTCAGCCACGAAGTGGTCGGCCACGTAAAATGACAGAGCCAGGTCAGCGGATGTTGAGGAGCATAGTGCGCAGAGGTCACCAACTTTCTGCAGAGTCAATCACTATAGACCTCCAAACTTCATGTGGCCTTCAGATTAGCTCAAGAACAGCGCGAAGAGAGCTTCATGGAATGGTTTTCATGGCCGAGCAGCTGCATCCAAGCCTTACATTTGGCGGTTGCCAGGAGAACGGTACTTGACTGACTGCATCGTGCCAAGTGTAAAGTTTGGTGGAGGGGGGATTATGGTGTGGGGCTGTTTTTCAGGAGTTGGGCTCGGCCCCTTAGTTCCAGTGAAAGGAACTCTTAATGCTTCCGTGTACCAAGAGATTTTGGACAATTTCATGCTCCCAACTTTGTGGGAACAGTTTGGGGATGGCCCCTTCCTGTTCCAACATGACTGTGCATCAGTGCACAAAGCAAGGTCCATAAAGACATGGATGAGTGAGTTTGGTGTAGAAGAACTTGACTGGCCTGCACAGAGTGCTGACCTCAACCCGGAAGAGCAACTTTGGGATGAATTAGAGGGAGACTGCGAGCCAGGCCTTCTCGTCCAACATCAGTGTCTGACCTGACAAATGTGCTTCTGGAAGAATGGTCAAAAATTCCCCTAAACACACTCCTAAACCATGTGGAAAGCCTTTCCAGAAGAGTTGAAGCTGTTATAGCTGCAAAGGGTGGATATATATTAAACCCTATGGATTAAGAATGGGATATCATTCAAGTTCTTAAGAAGAAATTAATTCTTAAAACCCACAAACACAGTTTTTACAAAGATGATGACTTTCACTGTTTTCTTACTTGGGATTTGTTATTAGGTAAGAATCTACACACACTCAAGAGCCCAAAGGTGTGAACAATTCTCCGGTTTAAGAACACGTCATGAATCTGACAGACTTTTTCTTAGGATCTTTCTCAAGAACAAATTTAAGAAAAGTTAGGAAGATATTGGTGAATGAGGCCCAGTGTTCAAAGCAGCATTTTCTCCTTATTACTTAGCAATCCAACAAACTGAAAGAGCATGAACTGACATGCAGTAGGTGGCAGCTGCAGCAGTGCAGAGTGACTGAGGGAGGTTTTTGTATGACACTTTTTCACTGTGTGAACACATAGCTACCACTGATCCTATGTGTACTCAAACAGTAATAATCTCCAGCATCTTCAGCCTGGACTCCACTGATGGTCAGAGAGAAATCAAGACCATTCCCTCCAGATGAATAACTGCCTCCACCTGTGAATTTAGAGGAAACTCCAGAAGATCTCATTGTAGTGAAATATATCAGGAGTTTAGGAGCTTCTCCAGCTTTCTGAAGATACCAGGAGATGTAGTAATCTTTAGATACAGAACCTTCTGGATATCTGTAAACTTTGGAGCTGGATTTGCAGTCAATGGTGACTGTCTGACCAAGCTGAACTGACTTAGACCCAGACTGAGTAAGAATGACGTCTCCAAAAGCCCCTGCAGATAAAGACAGAAATACAGGTCATTGTTTAGATTTTTTTAAAGTGATTTTAGAAAAAGAGAAGTGATCCAGAAGACTGTTGGCCATTGTTTGATAACTCTTGTCTTTAAGTCTTTACCTTGGCTTCCTAAGAATGTCCAGACGAAGATGGTTAACAAAGTCATACTTGCTTTAAGATTATGCAGAAATGCTTGTTGTTATTCTGAAAAGCTCTCAGTCATGAAGTGTTAAACTGACAGAGCTATAAACTCTCTCAGAGCACTGAAGCATGAGCTGCTAATGCAAAGTGTCTTCAGCATGAAAATCGTCTTCCTGACTGCAGAAAACAAAGCTGAGGGTAACACTTTATTTTAATGATCCTCTGTAGATGCTGTGTAGATGCTCGGTCAGTCTTTAACTAAATATTCGACTAGATACCTATTCAATTCAGCTGAATTTGAAGTTGAGTGTAAAAGATTCTTTTAAATATAGTCCTAACCCTAAATCTAACCCTGACTGTGGATCATCTATAGGGGACCAATTTGATGCAAACATGATGCTCACAGTACATCTGGTGCTGCAAACTGACGAGGTCATGAGATTGTTTATAAAACACCCTTGAACCTTGAAATGTCCCTTTTGAAGTCTGGTCAAAATATACTGCACCAAAACTGTACTGTTGAGGGCAGTTGTGTAGTGGTGGCTCCGCAGGTGGGTGTGTTGTGCTTTCTCAGAGACCCTACCCTAATATGTGTGTCTTCACACTGTAAACACCCACCATTTCCCAAATACTCTACAACTAAAAGAAGAACATCTGGGCTAAAGAAATGTCATAAAGTTAATACAACATAGCACACTGATCAGGCATAACATAATGACCACCTCCTTGTTTCTACGCTCATTGTCCATTTTATCAGCTCCGCTTACTATATAGGTGCACTTTGTAGCTCTACAATCACAGACTGTAGTCCATCTGTTTCTCTGCATCAGGACCCCCATGGACCTTCACATAGCAGGTACTACTTGGGTGGTCTATCATTCTCAGCACTGCAGTAACACTGATGTGGTGGTGGTGTGTCAGTGTGTGTTGTGCTGGTACGAGTGGATCAGACACAGCAGTGCTGCTGGAGTTTTTAAACACTGTGTCCACTCTCTGTCCACTCTATTAGACACTCCTACCTTGTCAGTCCACCACCTTATAGGTGTAAAGTCAGAGATGATAGCTCATCTGCTGCTGCCCAGTTTGTGTTGGTCATCCTCTAGTCCTTCATCAGCGGTCACAGGACGCTGCCCACAGGATACTGTTGGCTGGATATTTTTGGCTGGTGGACTATTCTCAGTCCAGCAATGACACTGAGGTAATGAACTCCACCAGCACTGCTGTGTCTGATCCGCTCAGATCAGTGCAACACACACTAACACACCACCACCACATGAGTGTTACTGCAGTACTGAGAATGATCCACCACCCAAATAGTACCTGCTCTGTGAGGGTCCATGGGGGTCCTGACCACTGAAGAACAGGATAAAAGGGGGCTAACAAAGTATGCAGAGAAACAGATGGACTACAGTCTGTAATTGTAGAACTACAATGTGCACCTATACAGTAAGTGGAGCTGATAAAATGGACAATGAGCATGGAAACAAGGAGGTGGTATAAGTCATGGTATAAATTTGCTACGTGTGTTTATGCCAGCCGCTGTATGTAAGATGCTTTAAGTTCATTTTCATTTGCAGGCCAATATCTTTTTACATATCACAGATCTGTTTAGTGCAGATTTATGAACAAATTAAAAAAAAAAAAAACTAAATAACAGCAACCAACATGCTTATCTAAATCATTTTCTGTAACATAGTAACATTATACAACTTGGTAGATTTCACTGCACTGAATTTGTCCCTCTGTCCTTCCAAAGTATGTCCACTATTATAAGACAGAAATAGGCTACATTACATGTTTAACCAAAACAATTTTATAGGCTGGCCAAAAGCTTGCAATTTGCAGTTGTAATCAAGACTCATGAATTAAACCACACAAACGTTTTCTAATCATGCTTTGAGATGAATTCAACTGTAGTGAAACTGAGAACGATAACTGAAGACTGAATGCAGCTCTAATATAGTTCTCTCTTTTCATCTCGTACATTCATTTAGACGGCTTGTGTGCATATTTGTCAACTACTTGCAAACTATATTGTTATACAACAAACAACAGCCATGACAACTTGGCTCTGATTGGTCAGCCCCCTTCTTGATGCATCCACAAAACACAAATCTAACTAGGTCTGTTTACAACTTCATAATCATTCAGCTTCAGAGTTCATGTGAAAAATATGTTGTAGCAAATCTTAGTTGCTCATTTCTTTCATTTCAAACTTAACACAAAAAAGTTATTGTTTCTATCTGTATTCACTTTTCTTCAGTGGCAGCTCTGCACTCTCATGAGTTTTGTGGAGTATAGTCATGTTGTATTTAACTTAATACATTGTACAATTTTGTGTCATATTTAGGAGCTTCAGAATTGGGGTGGTGAGTCTGGTAGTAAAAGTGTGCCGTGGAAGGGATGGCAGCTGCCAACCCTTGGCACCCTGTGGATCTGTCCCTGGGGTACTGAAAAGTAGTTGTATGGCGGTCGAGATATTAACCTCGGTATTATCTGGTATTGGATCAGAAAAAAACTTCTCCTTGAGTGCCCCCTTTGATGCAACACTGGTACCTGTGGAGATTTTACAAATGTAAAGTCAGCAGTAAGGAGCTCTAATAACTTGCTAAACCAAGTTGTTTAAGTTTGTTCACAAGTTGTGGAGCAGATCTTGAACCAAGCTTTTTGAGACAATGCTGTATTCCGTGAGTCACTGAAACTGGGGTTCAATGCTCTCCACTGTTACAAAAAAAAATTGTTAGGCTTCTTTGAAAAAGATTATTAGACAGTCTTTTTGGATAAAAGCATTTATCATAAGCTGTAAATTAAATGACATTTCATTTACATTCAATTTGACCTTTTTTTCTTCCTCGAGCCCTGCCCCCCAGAATATATGGGCATAGGTCTGGTTAAAATGGAATTTAAACTCGACTTTCTTCTGCTGATAAATAGCAATTTTAAAATTTGCCTACTGATGCTGATTTGAAGACGACTGCCATTATAACTAACATTGTTTAAGTATGTGTAGTTTTGTATTTACAGTTCTGCATAGTGTCTCGTGTCTTTATCTCCCTTCAACACATGCAGTAGATTCAGCTGCAGCAGTGTAAATACACTCTAAGTACACTGAGGGGGGTTTTTGTATGACACTTTTTCACTGTGTGAATGCTGGAGTACTATAGAAACCCATACAGTAATAATTTCCTGCATCCTCAGGCTGGACTCCTGTGATGGTCAGTTGAAAGTTAAGCCCTGATTTTGAACCACTGAATCGGTCTGGAACTCCAGACTGACGTGTGCTCGCTCTATAAATCAGGGGTTTAGGAGCTTTTCCGGGTTTCTGCAGGTACCAACTCATATCATCATCAACTCCACTAGTTCCAGTACAGCTAATAGAGACACTCTTTCCTGCTTCAACAGACACAAACTCAGGAGACTGAACCTCTTGATGGGAAGCTGAAGAAAGAGAGAAAAAAATATATATAGAATCAATATAATCTGAAAAATGGTAAAACACTGTATGTATTGAAATTATATTCTTATCAGACTCAACACTTCAGAAGAGTGTAGAAATAAATGTGCTCTCACCTTGAGGAAAGAAGGTCAGTGTGGTCAGCAGTAGAATCAGTGTGGTCATCATTGTGCTGTGTGTGAGTGAGTCTGAAAGGACTGAAGTCTCCAGTGTTGATCACACCAGCTCTCTTAAAGTGTGTGGAGCTGTGATCATGCAAAACCCTCTTCTATCAGCTGCACTTCCTGTTTTTCACATGGAGTAAGGTTTATAATCTGTCATTTTTTAAATAGAAATAATATTTGTGTTTTTTATTTGCTCAAGATTTGTTTTTAAGCTGATTGATGATACTTTCAACAGCAGATAAATGTTCTGAACACTTATTAGTTCGTATAATCAGAGAGGGATTAGGCACTGATAAGGAACAAGTGTCTTCAGAGCCTCTCACTCCCACAGTTCAGAAAATAACCCATAGTAAAGATGCCAACAACTACCAAATAAAGGAAAAATAAACACAATCTTAAACATTGTCAGTACTTAAGTAACCAACAGTAAGTTTTATTACAAAGAGCACATAATTAATCCTGTTTAATTGGATTTAGAGCAATGCAGTGTGTGAAAAGATGAATGAAAATCAATGTGCCCAGAAAATAGGGTAATTTATAGTGTGTATAATCAAAATATCTTTAAAAATGAAGATCATGTGTTGCTTTATTATCCACCCTTAGGCACTGGGGGCTTTTCCAGAGCTATTCATTCATCTACTTTTCACATCTGCAGTGGACTGCCCCCAGTCCTTGAGCAGCCTTGAGTCTTGTGGTCTGTGGTCCCCCCTCTCTGGCAGCATGAGGCCATTGGTCACTGGCCTGGTCAGTAATCCCACCCGGTATATAATGTATGTTGCTGTTTATTTCTCTTTCTCTCTCTCTCTATCTCTCTCTCTCTCTCTCTCTCTCTCTCTCTCTCCCTTACCAAGACCTCAATACTTCAACCAGTAGGGGGCGGTATACTGCTATAAATTTTAACTTTACAGCAGAGTTCATCTTATTGTGTCTGTCAGAATCTGTCTGGAGGTTTTTGGATGGTCAATGGATTCACTCCTGGATTTTTTTGGAGGAGGATGCAAACTCAGTGTTGGAACTAAATGAAAGATGTGACTTAAGGGTTAAAAAACACTGTCATTTATTGGTTTAATCAATGTGAGATTAAGCAAGAAGAAAATATTGATTAAATTCTTCCTTAAGAAGAAATTTAATACCTTGTAAATATCTATAAATCATGAATTAGAAATATCATCTGAGATGTGTTTGGGTTTTCTGGTTAATGAAGCTGCTATAAATCATAAATTAGATCATTGTGTGTAGCAGGTTTGAGTTGTTCTAGTTAAACAGTGCAGCTTTAGTGCAGGAGGTTTTTGTACAGACACTGAATGAGGTTGTATCACTGTGGAGGACTTTTGGTGGAGGAACTCGACTCTCTGTTGGACGTAAGTCATTTTCTTCTTATTATACTGTTCAGTTTGGTACAAGAACAAAACGTGTTATGGAACTTTTGTCAATGGCTTGAAGTAAATGGATTTTAACTATTTATTTTTGAGTAAAAGTATGCTGTATTTAAGTTGTAGACCATTTACACATGTATTCATTCTTTCTAAGAATCTCTGATCAATGTTTTATTAAAAGCATAATGAATTTCAGTTAATATTCTCTTTGTTCTGTGTTATTAAATAACACACAAAAAGCTGTATTTGTATGTATATTCAGTTTATATTAGTATTTTTACTCTGTAATTGAATACTAAGTGATAAAATGTACAGCCGTATGCGAACATTTGAACATCTCTGGCCAAATTACATGGTTTTGTGGATTTTCTAATTTAAAAGGAGTAAACACGTCCACTATAGGGAACAAACTCAAGTATAGCATTCTTCTGTAAACTCTTTTAATTTGCTTCTTTATTTATTTCAGTTGCTGCATTTAACATGTAGGCAAAAATCATGTATAAAGACCACATTTAATGTTTTATTTTTGTTTCATAAATAAATAAATGTAGTAATTGAGTAATAAAATATTTAGAAGTTTGTTTTCTGAAATAATGCATTTTATTGTTTTTAATTTGTGAACTTAATTTCACTTAGGAAATCCACAAAATATGTAATATGACGAGAGGTGTCTAAACTTTTGTATATGGTTTTATATTAGTTCATCAGTAGGTGAAAATTAATTACAATTAATGTTCCACATTTTTCCAGAATATTAATTTGTATATATTAATATATTAAAATTGGGCTTTAACTTTTTTGTTACTTATTAAATTGCTTATTAAATTACTACAGTCATATTCATAAATAAGAGATTAAACAAGAAAAAACATGTTGATTGTTTACTATAAATGGTGAAATGTGTTTAATGAGCTGCTGCTCTCAGTTCTGCTTTATGAACATAAAGTCTGTTAAAAGGAAGTGAAAGAGTCTCAGAATGACTGATAGAACTGAATATGACTATTTCAGACAACAGAAACTCCTGACTATCATCTCTCTCTCTCTCTATCTCTCTGTCTCTCTGTCTCTCTCTCTCTCTCTCTCTCTCTCTCTGCAGGTGATGCTCGGCCCACCCTCACAGTGTTGCCCCCCTCCAGTGTGGAGCTGCAGCAGGGGAAGGCTACACTGGTGTGCTTGGCCAACAAGGGTTTCCCCTCAGACTGGACGCTGAGCTGGAAGGTGGATGGTAACAGTCCGACGTCAGGTGTGAGTGTGAGTGGGGGGGTGCTGGAGAAGGGAAACGGCCTCTACAGCTGGAGCAGCACCCTGAGCCTCACTGAGCAGCAGTGGAGGAACATACGAGAAGTGAGCTGTGAGGCCAGACAGGGCAGCCAAAGCCCAGTCACCAACAGCCTGACCCCACAGCAGTGCTAGTGTTTCTGCTGAAAAGCTGCTCAACAGTTTTCAGCTCCATTTCAGATTTTGTTGTTATCAGTTCAAAATCTTATTCTCTGCCTGAATGATGTGCTTTACTATATGATTTCAAAATAAAGCTTTTTGAATCAAAACTGTATTGAGAGCTCTGCATTTTATTTGGAGTTATTTTAATGATGTAGACAGTAGTGGTCATTATCTGCATTTGAATGAAATTAGAAACCACTTCTTGAATGAGATCACAGTGTTTTTAGATGAGCCATTACTGATACTGTATTAACTTATTTGAAGTATTTTGTAGTGTTTCAGTTACAGAAACTCTACAGTGTTCTAATCTGTTCAGCTCATGCAAATCTGAGTTTCACCATAAACAGACTCAAACCTCCTGAGACTAAGACAGCTGTGTGTGTTTGCACATCTCAAAAGCAGCTAATGCTTCCGTACTTGCGCCAGACATAAAACCTCTGTTGAATAGCTCCACCTACAGGCCACAGAAGACAGGCAAGTGTTGATTTTGCCAATGAAAGTTTTTGAAAGACTGATTTGTTGTCATCTCTCCAGTGTCGGGATAGATACATACCAGTTTGCATATAGGGTGAATAGCTCTGCTGAGGATGCTGTGTCACTATTCTTACACTCTATTTTGCAATGCTTAGAGGCGCCATATACATATTGTAGCATTTTGCCGAAGAAGGAGACATGGGTGAGGCCATGATTTCTGCTATGAGAAGTGCTCTTTATTAACACCAGCATACAGGGCATGTACACACTGCAGTTTATTTTAAAGGTCCAGCAGTACTTTCTCATTTTACCCAACATTTTAAATTGTTTGGATGTCATAATTATCTGCATATTTTTGTTTCAGCAGTGTTGTGCACTGGTAAATGTGATTTTCCTCAAGTAGGACGTGTTCCTGGATTAACATCCTAATGTTGTTCCTGGAGCAACGTTCCTGCCAATCACTGCCATGTGATGTAATCAATGTGTTCTGCCTGCTCCTCTCACTCCCCTCTGAGCTGCTAGGAAACATCAGTTGATTTCTTTTTGCACAGGTAAACTATTGTGTTATTCATTTTAAGTCATTAAAATAGGCAATAATTCCTTTAAGACCAAACAAGCTAACCAAGTAATTAGTTTAACAGATTGCTAGCTAACTTTAGTTGAGGCATTTTAAAAAAAATCCTCTAAAATTTATAGTGTTCCACAGTGAACTCCACAGATAAATAGTATTTAGCAAAAACTCTATGCAATCAAGTTATTGAAATTGCATCTCTTTAATCGCTCATTTAAATGAGGATTCTCCGCAGTTGTTCTTAGCCTGTCTAGCTAGGCTGCTTTTTGTAGGGCATGACCTCAGCTGGCAGGTCATTCTTGTTTTCATTGCCTCCTCTGTTGTTCGCTCCCCCATTATCTCCCACTGTAGTACTGCTTGTACCACTGTTCACTGTCTCTCAACACAAACCAGCACCGTATTAAGTCGTCAGTCTAATTTCTGTAGCTTTCAGGGTACAACTTAAGATAAAACTTAAGACAATATGGATTTAGTTATGTGCTTGATTTATATACATTAAAGATAAATTGAAGTTGAAGTTGAAACGAACCAAACAACTTAAACTACTCAAGTTTCTACAAGTTAAACTATTCACTAGGCTACAGTGGTTAGGTGTACTCATCATCTGTTTCTCAGACCAGCTTAAATAGCAGACCAGACAAATAGCAGGACAACAGTTTCCTTTCTCATTTCTTTTTCCATTCTTCTTTGTGGACATGAACCCAAACTTCTTGATTGACCAAATCTGGATCAAACATTTTTAGTGAGTTTTCCAATATTTGTTATATCCAATATTTTGGATACAATTTTCCCTTTTTGGGAAATTTCTGCAGGTGACTGAAATATATGAAATACTTTCCTGAAATCATTATTTTTGTCAGTGAGTCATGTCTTCTACTCCCTCAGCATGTGCAGCAGTGCAATCTCTATACCGTCTGACTGAAGGAGGTTTTTGTATGATGATTTTCACTGTGTGTTACTGTTTCCAGTGTCATGTTCACTCTGACAGTAATAAACTCCTGAATCTTCAGGCTGGACTTTACTGATAGTCAGAGTGAAGTCAATGTGGTTTCCACTCTCACTGCCACTGAATCTAGAGGAAACTCCAGAAGCTCTAACATCAGTATAATATATCAGGAGTTTAGGAGCTTCTCCAGGAATCTGATGATACCAGGACATACAGATCTTTTCTTCTTCTTGATTATTCACACAATTAACCTCTGGATCATGTTTACAGGTAATAGTGACAGTTTGATCAGGCTGCACTGTCTGATCTCCAGACTGTGTCAGCACAACTTGCCCTAAAGAGTCTGAAGAGAAAGAGAGAGCACACAAATATAGATTATTAAAGACGATACTCTGTGATATAGTGAAAACAAATAAAACATTATAAAGTTTAAAAACACAAATGTATTTGTTAATTGTACATTATTCTGTTTCATAATCAAATAGATCTTTTACAAGCTAAGATGTTTTGAATTGTCCACCAAGAGATTCAGCTGAGTTTAATGATTTGTGCTAAAAATTGAAATGCAATTGAAATGTAATATCTTCTTACCCGAGGTGCAGGTGATGATCATCCAGATGAAGATGGTGATTAAAGTCATGATGGCTTTTTGATATGTGATCATGTAGATCAGCTCTCAGTCAATACTCAATAGCATATCAACAACATATTAATGATGTAGCAGCAGTGAACACATTCAGTAGACTATCAAGAGACTTTTAATGAACTGTGTAAATAAAATTTGTCATAATCTGCTGAATTCAGCTGTTTTTCACTTTATTTGGAGAGTCTGAGTTCATATCTGTAGATGTTACCTGAGAAGTCACTAAACATGTAGCAGGTTTTATACAGACCATCTCAACAACCACAACAAGCTGTTATAGGCCTGCTTCTGACACCATTCTGTAACTGGAGCTTAACTGGATTAGGTTTTGATTAAGGTTAAGGTTAGGATTAGGGCCAGAGTGAGGGTTAGGATTAGGTTTTGAGTTGAGGTTAAGGTTAGGGTAAGGATTAAGGCCAGGGTAAGGTTTTGGGTAAGGTTGAGAAGGTTAGGTTTTGCTTAATGGAAGTAACATATAACGTCTGCTTCACATAATATATCAACGGCACATCTACTTAATGTAAGTAATGTATCAACAGTACATCTTGAAGATATTTATTTCAGTGTATTCAGATGCTTCACTACTGCTACGTAACTGATATGCTGTTCATGTGTTGCTGATACTCTGTTAGGGATTTATTAATCATCTACAAAGGACTCAAAATAAAGTTACTCCAGATTTTTACCTAAAAAAACACACTACATCCTTTCAAGGGTTGCGTAAGTGTTTGTTTATGGTAGAAAAATCTTGAATTACGTTAACTATTTTTACCCATGATGTTGCTACAAACCAATGTTAGTGCATAATGTTGGCTAAAGATGGTGAAAATGTTAGCTGTTATGTTAGCTAACTTTTTTTGCTTAAGTTGGGCTTAAGTTTGCATCTTGACATTTCCATTTCACCTTAATTGGTGTATCAGAATGCAGGCATCTAAATGTAACTTCTGCTTTGGGATTATTAGTTATTTCAATGTATTGTGTACTTTTAGAATTAAAACACTAGAAAGTAACACATGATCTGATGGAGGTGCTTTCAGATATATTTATTTGTGGGCAGGTGTTAATTACTAATTCAATAATTAATTAAATGTTGCAGCAGCCTTGAGTATTATGTTGTCTTGTTTTAGCTCATCATATATATATATATATATATATATATATATATATATATATATATATATATATATATATAGTGCATTGTATTATGCATTTAAATAAAAATACCAAGGAAGAAGTCAATTTAAGCTCTGACAAAATAAGTAAGATGGTATATGTACCATCTTATAGCCAACAACTGATGAGCTTATGTTATTATGTTACAACCTTGTACAACAGTGGTATGTAGTAATGTAATGGGTAAAAACAATTAACATTAAAATCATTTGGGCATTTTTCAGTATAAACAAACATTAACATTAGGTAGTCTAACACTAAACCCAACCAAATCTGCCTACTATTGATGCTGCTTATGGTACAGCACAGGTTACAGCACAGTTATGGATTACAAATCAATTGATGTTAGTCTTTATCATTAAGTTGTCTAAGATGTTGTTAATTTGTAAAAAGCCACAAGAGTAAGATGCCTAAGGCTTTTATATATATTTTACCTTTGATTGCAGCAACACACTCTTAATACTATCTTCTTAGCTTAGCTCCAGAGGTAGCAGTACACAAATCCCTTACCTAAGTAAAAGCACTATTAATCTAGTAAAAAAAAAATAGAAAAACACAGGTTACTGCCACAGCAGACAATATGAAAGTTAAATCAAACAGCTGATGTGTAAAGATGAGGGCAAACAACACAGCAATCTTTAAAAACCTAAACCTAATCGTCATTGTAGACAACAGCATACTGCCACAGGGGGCATGAAACATCTTTACTGTCTGTTTCTGTCTTACCTGTAATGACTTCATGCACTGACGTAACGTCTGTCCAGGCATCTGAACATAACTGCTACATCATTTAAGGTGGAATGGGGAATGAAGCTAATTTCAGCTTCATCTAAGCTCTGTCCACTGTTTGAGTCTCAATTACAGTCAGTAAACCGGGGCTGCATCACCTGAGACGCTGGTTTAACCCCTAAATTTCTACAGATACACTTGGGTGTAACATTTACAGTTTGAGCGTTTTTGTACTGTGAGTTTATTTACTCTCCCGATCACCCACTTCAGGATTAAGTGAGGCTGTGGATGCAGGTTTTTTCAGAGACATTATCCATATTAAGCGCTGATTTAATGCAGTCACTTTCTGTGGATTTGACTGTCTCATCTGTTTGTTTATCTTCCTTTTCCCATATGCTCACTGGATCTGTAAGCTGTGAAAGTAGCCAAGCACGGTTTCACACTGTTAGCTTTCACGGTGCTGATTTGTGCTTCATTAGATGCCTGAATACAATTGCTTGATAAAATTACATAATGAAAAAGAGAGATAAAATAAAGAGATTTTTAAAACTACAGTAACAGGTCTGTTTTGAAAATGTAGTTGAAATTTAGCAAGCAACAGTAAAAAGGATTATGTTACAGAAATACTCAAGTAAAGTACAGATACCTAAAAAAAGACTTTAGTATAGTAACAAAGTGCTTGTACTTGATGACTTACCTCCTCTGCTTGGCTCTAACAATTTGAAAAGAATAGATTCCTTGAATCTGACTCCAGCATGTCTGGGAATTAAAGTTGATTCTAAGCCAATAACTCTGAGAGTTGCAATGCTTAGAGTCGACTCTTATTGTTTATATTTATTATATTTGATTCCTCTATTATTGTGTGATTGTGCTTCACGTGCAGTGTGAGCACCCACGTCTCATCATTTTAATCGGACTGGGCACTTTCATAAAGTGTGAGCATATAATTATAGACATTGGTGGTACACAATGGGTGGTTCAAACAAACAATGTGAGTTGTTAGTAAAGACCAAGATTTCTCTCACACAGAGTATGATTGGCTTAAAGTGTACTTAACAAACTGACTCAACTCAAATTCAGCAGCCATCCAGCAGTCATTCAGGTTCAATCTCCTGTGCCACATTACGCCACATTATTATTAGATTTCAAAAACACATTTGAAATCACTGGTAAAATCTGACAAAAACAGTATCCATACATTTGTATGTGCATCTCCACAACTTCAACCTACACCAGACAAACAAGCTAGAAGGGAGAGAGCTAATAGGCCTTATCATAATAATAATAATGGATGGAAAATGATAAAGAATACAAAAACCCCACCTTTTCCTCTTTAAAAAAACACTGGAAGAAATACAGTTATAATGTTATGGTGTGAATATTTAGTAACCTCACAGAATATTAGACATGCACTTAGTTTCAGGTGCAGACGTGCATCAGAGGTTTTTGTATGACGCTTTTTCACTGTGTGAACACCCAAGTGCCAGTACTATCATGACTACAAAAACAATAATAATCTCCAGCATCTTCAGCCTGGACTCCACTGATGGTCAGAGAGAAATCCAGACCATTCCCTCCAGATGAATAACTGCCTCCACCCGAGAATTTAGAGGAAACTCCAGAAGGTCTCATTGCGGTGTAATACATCAGGAGTTTAGGAGCTTCTCCAGCTTTCTGAAGATACCAGGAGATGTAGTAATCTTTAGATACAGAACCTTGTGGATTTCTGTAAACTTCAGTGCTGGATTTGCAGTCAGTGGTGACTGTCTGACCGAGCTGAACTGACTTAGACCCAGACTGAGTAAGAATGACGTCTCCAAAAGCCCCTGAAGATAAAGACAAAAATGCATGTCAGTACATTTAAAAAAGTGATTTTAGGAAAAGAGAAGTGATCCAGTCTCCTGTTTTGCTGTAAATGAATTCACTTAATTAACACATAAACAAAAGCTTTAAAGCTGATAAAAAAAATATGTATATATTACAAAATAATACAAAAAGAATTTTGGCCATAGTTTAAGTCTTTACCTTGGATTCCCAAGAGTGTCCAGATGAAGATGGTTATCAGAGTCATGCTTGCTTTGTGAAAAGCTCTCAGTCATGAAGTATTAAACTGACAGAGCTATAAACTCCCCCAGAGCACTGAAGCTTGAGCTGCTAATGCAAAGTGTCTTCAGTATGAAAATCATCTTCCTGACTGCAGAAAACAAAACATTTTATTTTGATGGTCCACTGTAGACACACTGAAGATATTGTCTAAAAAAAAAAAAGCTCGCTGAGTGACGAAATGCAATTAAGCCACTGACTAAAACTGCCTTTCATGTCATGCTAATGTTATGTCTTTATAAACCTATTCAAAGGTGCATAGTAACTAGGTCCATTTACTAAAGTACATTTCTTCAGTAAAATATTGATGGTTTTTTACTCTCCTGAATATTTCCAAATCATATTACTTTTATTCTTACTAAACTGATCAAAGGAATCTCTTTAATCTGTTACATTTTAGCCATTCATATTTATTTACTACTTCTTTTTTTTGTGTTTAATTTCAGTTTGTTTTGATGGTGGCAATACTCGTACTGCTTTGTGATTGGTTACATCTCTGACTTTGGAGTTTTTTATTTTAGACCAAAAAAATCCCAAAAAGAGAAGAACACAGCTGCACAATCTTCAGTTCCTATGCTGATAAATGCTGGATGTACTAAGAAGTTCCACTGCAGTACTCAGGATTTTTTTCAACCTGCTTTTGTATTTCTACTCAAGCTGTTGTGGGGAATGTACTTTTATTTTTACTTAATTTGTTTTATCCAAGTATCAATACTTTTACTTGAGTAATGGTTTAGGCTCCTCTATCCACCTCTGAGCCTGATCATGAACAGTGTCAGTGTTTGTTTTGATACTGCTTCAGTAGCTGCAGCCTTAGATAGCAGTATTTCTTAGCTAACATCTCTGAAGAACATCAGACATTTTCCTTTCCCAGTTCATTCTCTAAAGTCTTTTTTTGTGATCTCTTTCCTTTGGTGCAGATGGTGAACTGCAAGGGCGAAAGTGGGCTGAATTACACATGCAGGTGTTTGTTGATTGACCAGAGGTTTTGCAGGGATGCAAGTGCTGTGTTACTCTCACATTCACCACCATGAAAACAGAGAAACAGAAAATAGAGATGCTTATCATCTTTGTGAGCACCAATTTATATTTAACCAATCAGGTCACTGGTGCTTGGCCAGAAATATGTTCCATGATCCATGTGCATCCATGTAAAGCAGCAGATTTACTGTGCAGACAGTACAGAGAAAATGTGCAGTGGAAAAAACATGCTCTGGTGTTGAATTCCCTCATGAACCAACATGGTTCAGTTGTTTGGTGCCGCATGAATTCAGGTGGAGTCAAATGTCAAAACCGAACTAAAGAAAAAGTTGGACAGGTCCGCACCAACCAAGGCGGGTCTGAAAGCTCCTCCCAGCTGAAATGGAGATTCTGACTGGCTCTGCCACTCAGTTTTACTCTGTCTGTTCGTGCTGGTCAGCACTTCATACAGTTAAGGTAAAGCGGAGGTTTTTATGATCGTGTCCTGAACTCAAAAAGTAGTGGGGCATTGCCATAAAATGTCAGAAGTAAGGGGCTTTAATAAATGAAGTTTTTCCTTAAGTGAACTAGATTTTAAACAAAGTTTATTGAGGTAATGTTGTAACTCCTGTGTCGTAGAGAATGACGTTCAACTCTCACCACTGAAAAAAAAAATATTAGGCTTTGGGGAAGATTATTAGACAGTCATTCTGTGCACGGGTCTGGTTAACATTAAACTCAGCGTTCAATGTTCCGCTGCTGATAAACAGCATTTTTAGAATTTTGCTTACTGATACTGATCTGAAGACGACTGTTACTGTCACAAACATTGTCTGAGTGTGTGTAGTTTTGCATGCACAGTTCTGCTCTTTGTCTCGTGTCTTCATCTCCCTTCAACACCTGCAGTAGAGCTCGATACAGAGAGAGGTTTTTGTATGATGCTTTTTTACTGTGTGATCACTGTAGCACTATATACCCCCATACAGTAATAATCTCCTGCATCCTCAGGCTGCACTCCACTGATGGTCAGTTGAAAGTTAACCCCTGAATATGAACCACTGAATCGTTCTGGAACTCCAGACTCACGTCTGTTTGCCTTATAAATCAGGAGTTTAGGAGCTTCTCCAGATTTCAGCAGGTACCAACTCATATCATCACCAACTCCACTAGTTCCAGTACAGCTAATAGAGACACTCTTTCCTGCTTGACCAGACAGAAATTCAGGAGACTGAACCTCTTGATGGGAAACTGAAGGAAGAAAAACAAATACCTAACATGAGAATGAATATAATCTGAAAAATGGTAAAACAGTGTTTGTTGTGAATTTACATTCTTATCAGACTCAACACTTCAGAAGAGTGTAGAAATAAATGTGCTCTCACCTTGAGGAAAGAAGGTCAGTGTGGTCAGCAGTAGAATCAGTGTGGTCATCATTGTGCTGTGTGTGAGTGAGTCTGAAAGGACTGAAGTCTCCAGTGTTGATCACACCAGCTCTCTTAAAGTGTGTGGAGCTGTGATCATGCAAAACCCTCTTCTATCAGCTGCACTTCCTGTCTTTCACATCCAGTAAAGTTTAGAATTTTTTTAAAATATGAATAGCATTTGTCCTTTTTATTTCCTCAAGATGTTTTGAAAATAATTTTGAAAAAGTTTTTAAAGCTGATTTATCTGTTTTGTTTTTCACTTTTTCTTTTCACTTTCATAGATGTGTGTTTTGCTCAGGTTATAGCAATTATGGCAACATCTGTCACTGAATACGAGCTTCCTGCTGATAAAAAAGCAGCTAACAAATACAAAAAAAAAATAATAAATACAATCTCAAACATCATCGGTACTTAAAGAACTGAAAAGAATTTTAAATATGGCATTACTAGTGAATTGTGTCTGTGTGTCAAAATAGAATAATTTATATTGTGTATCATCAAAATCTCTTTCAAAATGAAGATATCATTTTTTGCTGTATTATCCACCCCTAGGCAACAGGGACTTTTCCAGAGCTATTCACTCAACTACTTTTCACATCTGCAGTGAAGTGCCCCCAATGTTTGAGCTGCCTCGAGCCTTGTGGTCTGTGGTCCCCCCTCTCTGGCAGCAAGAGGCCACTGGTCACTGGCCTGGTCAGTAATCCCACCCTGCATATGATGTCTCTTACTGTTTATTTCCCTCTGTCTATCTCTCTCTCTCTCATTTCTCCCTCACCAAGACCTCAATACTTCAAACAGTAGGGGGCAATAAACTGTCACAAACTTCATCTTCACAGCAGAGTTCAGCTTGTTGCATCTATCAGAATCTGTCTGGAGGTTTTTGGATGGTGAGTCAATGAGATTCACTCTTAGGCTTTTTGGAGGAGGATGCAAACTCAGTGTTGGAACTAAATGAAAGATGTGACTTAAATTTCAAGGTACTAAAAAAATTATATTTAGAAATAAATTACAGTAGGAAAAGTGTTAGGTTGGAATGTAGGGTTGGTAAAAGGAAGTGACATAAATCCACTCTAAATTTTAGCTCTAAACTGCATAGAGTTTGTTTGTCTTCTTCTTCTGAAAGCATAAGATTAACACTGTCACTGTCATTTATTGCTTTAACCAATGTGAGAAAAAGCAAGAAGAAAGTATTGTGTAAATGAAAGAAGAAGCATTTCTTTCTTCCTCAAGAAGACAATTAATGCTTTGTAAATGTCTATAAATCATGAATCAGAAACATCATCTGAGATGTGTTTGGGTTTTCTGGTTAATGGAGCTGCTATAAATAATAAATTAGATCATTGTGTGTAGCAGGTTTGAGTTGTTCTAGTTAAACAGTGCAGCTTTAGTGCAGGAGGTTTTTGTACAGACACTGAATGAGGTTGTATCACTGTGGTACACTTTTGGTGGAGGAACTCGACTCTCTGTTGGAAGTAAGTCATTTTCTTGTTATTATACTGTTTAGTTTGGAACAAGAACAAAATGTAATATGGAAATTTTGTCAGTAGTTTAAAGTAAATTAATTTTAGCTATTTTTTTATTTTTGAGTGAAAGTATGCTGTATTTAAGTTGTAGACCATTTACACATGTATTCATTCTTTCAAAGAACCTCTGATCAATGTTTTATTAAAAGCATAATGAATTTCAGTTAATATTCTCTTTGTTCTGTGTTATTAAATATCACAGAAAAAGCTGTAATTGTATGTATTTTCAGTTAATGTTAGTATTTTTACTCTGTAATTGAATACTAAGTGATAAAATGTACAGCCATATGCAAACATTTGAACATCTCTGGCCAAATTACATGGTTTTGTGGATTTTCTAATTTAAAATAAGTAAACACGTCCACTATAGGGAACAAACTTAAGCACAGTATTCTTCTGTAAACTCTTTTAATTTGCTTCTTTATTTATTTCAGTTGCTGCATTGAACATATTGGCAAAAATAATGTATAAAGACCACATTTAATGTTTTATTTTAGTTTCATAAATAAATAAATGTAGTAATTGAGTAATAAAATATTTGGGTTTTTTTTGTTAGTTTGTTTTCTGAAATCCATCCATCCATCATCTAAACCGCTTATCCTTCTGGGTCGCAGTGGGGTGCTGGAGCCTATCCCAGCTGTCATTGGGCGGAAGGCAGGACATACAGGATTATTTCTGAAATAATGCATTTTATTGTTTTTAATTTGTTTAATTAATTTCACTTAAAAAATAAATAAAACATATAATAGGACCAGAGGTGTCTCTGTATAACACTGTTTTTATACAGTGTTTTATTTAGTTTTTCAGTAGATAAACTTTACATTTAATTTTTTTTTCTGTACATAAAAACATTAAATATATTAAAATAGGGCTGTAACTTTTTTAAATTACTTATTATATTACTTATTAAATTACTACAGTCATATTCATAAATAAAAGATTAAACACAGAGAAAACGTTGATTGTTTACTATAAACGGTGAAATGTGTTTGAGTGATCTGCTGCTCTCAGTTCTGCTTTATGAACATAAAGTCTGTTAAAGGGAAGTGAAAGAGTCTCAGAATGACTGATAGAACTGAATATGACTATTTTAGACAACAGAAACTCCTGACTATCATCTCTCTCTCTCTCTCTCTCTCTCTCTCTGTCTCTCTCTCTCTCTCTCTCTCTCTCTCTGCAGGTGATGCTCGGCCCACCCTTACAGTGTTGCCCCCCTCTAGTGTGGAGTTGAAGCAGGGGAAGGCTACACTGGTGTGTTTGGCCAACAAGGGTTTCCCCTCAGACTGGACGCTGAGCTGGAAGGTGGACGGTAACAGCCCGACGTCAGGTGTGAGTGTGAGTGGGGGTGTGCTGGAGAAGGGAAACGGCCTCTACAGCTGGAGCAGCACCCTGAGCCTCACTGAGCAGCAGTGGAGGAACGCACATGCAGTGAGCTGTGAGGCCAGACAGGGCAGCCAAAGCCCAGTCACCAACAGCCTGACCCCACAGCAGTGCTAGTGTTTCTGCTGATGAGCTGCTCAACAGTTTTTCAGCTCAGTTCAGTGCCTGAATGATGTGCTTTACTATATGATTTCAAAATAAAGCTTTTTGAATCAAAACTGTATTGAGAGCTCTGCATTTTATTTGGAGTTATTGTCATGATGATGACAGTAGTGGTCATTATCTGCATTCAAATGAAACTAGAAACCACTTCTTGAATGAGATCACAGTGTTTTTACATGAACCATTACTGATACTGTATTAACTTATTTGAAGTATTCTGTAGTGTTGCAGTTACAGAAACTCTACAGTGTTCTAATCTGTTCAGCTCATGCAAATCTGAGTTTCACCATAAATAGACTCAAACCTCCTGAGACTAAGACAGCTGTGTGTGTTTGCACATCTCAAAAGCAGCTAATGCTTTTTTACTTGCCCCAAAAATGTCCTTGTTTTCTGAGTTCTACATGAGGGGTTCTTAACCTAGGTGTCGGACTCCCCTTGGGGTAGCGACATGGCCCCGGGGGGTCATGAGAGCAGTGCTACAAGAGATATGCACAGAGAAAAAAAAGCTGTGCTGAATGGCTCCACCTACAGGCCACAGAAGAAAGGCAAGTGTTGATTTTGTCGATGAAAATTTTTGAAAGACTGATTTGTTGTCATCTCTCTATTGTTGGGATCGATATACACCAGTTTGCATATAGGGTGAATAGCTCTGCTGAGGATGCTGTGTCACTATTCTTACACTCTATTTTGCAATACTTGGGGGCTCCAGTTACATATTGTATCGTTTTGCTGAAAAAGGAGACATTGGTTAAGCCATGACTTCTGCTATGGGAAGTGCTCTTTATTAACATCAGCAGAACAGCTCACTAATGAACTAAAATATTACACACTGCAGTTTATTTTAAAGGTCCAGCAGTACTTTTTCATTTTACCCAACATTTTTAATTGGTTGGACGTCATAATTATCTGCATATTTTTGTTTCAGCAGTGTTGTGCACTGGTAAATGTGATTTCTTCAAGTAGGACGTGTTCCTGGATTAACATCCTCGTGTTGTCCCTGGAGTGACGTTCCTTTTAACCAACCGCTGCTATGTGGTGTAATCAGTGTGTTCTGACTGTTCCTCTCACTCCCCCCACCCCTGAGCTGCTGGGAAACATCAGTTATTTTCTTTCTACACAGGTAAACTATTGTGTTGTTATGCATTTTAAATCTTTAAAATAAGCAACAATTAATTTAAGCCCAAACAAGCTAACCATGTAATTAGTTTAATACATTGCTAGGTAACTTTAGTTGAGGCATTTAAAATTTCCCTCTTACATTTATGAGTTTTACACAGAGAATTTATTTTTGTCAGTGGGTCGTGTCATCTACTCCCTCAGCGCCTGCCTTTGCACGATGATATATCAATGTATGAACACAGTTTTTGTTTCCATTGTCATTTAGACTCTGACAGTAATAAACTCCTGAATCTTCAGGCTGGACTTTACTGATGGTCAGAGAGAAGTCAATCTTGTTTCCACTCTCACTGCCACTGAATCTAGAGGAAACTCCAGACTCTCTCTCATCTGTGTTTTGAAATCCTTGAAGAGATTCAACTAAATGTGATGATTCATGCTAAAATTTAAATGTAATTGAAATGTAATGTTTTCTTACGTGAGGTGCAGGTGATGATCATCCAGATGAAGATGGTGATTAAAGTCATGATGGCTTTTTGATGTGTGATCATGTAGATCAGCTCTCAGTCATGAAGTGTTAAACTGACAGAGCTATAAACTCTCCCAGAGCACTGAAGCATGAGCTGCTAATGCAAAGTGTCTTCAGCGTGAAAATCATCTTCCTGACTGCAGAAACAGGCAGAGCTGTGGAGTTAAAGATAACTGAACTGCTTTTATAAAGGGTTGCTATGTGTCTTTCACTGTATGTGTGACATGACTGTGAGTCTGCATTATACTATTTTATTACTCTGTTGCATTTTCTTCATTTTCTATTGATGTGGTTGAAATTCTTCTGATCTACTGACAGTTGGCTAAAGTTGAAATGGCTCGAGGTAATGCTGATGGTTACTGCACTACAGGTGCCTCGCTGTGTCTTTTTCTGTTTATTTATTTGTATGTTACACTGCAATCTAGGTCTATCAAACACTTATGAATGATGAATGAATGATATACACTTGCCAGCAATGTCATTAATTGTCATAATTAAAAAAACATTGAAACTGCTAACAGTACAGCACAGGTTACAGTGCAGTTTAAAATGGATTACAAATCAATTGATGTTAGTCTTTTTCAATTAACCTGTCTAAAATGTTGTTAATCAGTAAAACTTTTTTCACTTCTTTTCAAACTTTCATTGCAGCAACACAATCTAAATGCTGTTCATCTCATTGGCTCTTGGCTCTCTTGTCATTGATGGCACTCAATAGGCAATTCAAACACACAGTGTGAGTTGTCACTAAAGAGCACTATTTCTAAAATCGCACAGTGTATGCTTGGATTTAAGTAAACCTAACAAAATAACTCACAATTCATATTCAATAGTCATCTTTGTAATGCCCCCATGGCAGTTATTTCCTGTCATACAAGTTCAGGCTCCTACGCCACATTCACATTTCATATTACAACATGTTAAATAAAACATATTTGAAAACATTGGTAAAATCTGACAAAAATAGCATACATACATTTCTATGTGCATATTTCCACAACTCACTTATGGATTAACATACAAGTTGATTATCTCTTTTTATTTAAGGACAGATTTTCCATAATACAGCCACCACATTAAGCGTTAGGAGCTATCCCATTCATACTTCAACCAGTGAAGTGTCTCCTCCTTTATAATGTCTCTGGTCATGTCTTTATGGATACCATTTAAGGTTTATTTCTCTTTTATCCTTGGTTATTTCAAAGTGCTGGCAGGTAAAACCCCTTTACATCAGAAGTTACAGACAGAGACATCAACACATTTGCAAAACTTTGGCTTCAACCTACAGCAGACAAAGACGAGCTAGAAGGGAGAGAGCTAATATGCATAGAGCAACCTTTTCTAGTTATCTTTGTTTTGGCAATATAGTTAATAATAATGCATGGAAAATCATAAGGAATTAAAAAAAAAAAACACATTTTCCTTAAAGGAAAAAATGCAGTTACATTGATTTGGTATGACTATTTAGTAACCCAACAGAATATAAGAGCGTGAATTCAGACATGCACTTAGTTCCAAAATATAAAATTGTGCCATTAATACAACTTGTGCATCAAAGTATTATAATGCAAATAGGAGTTCGATACCCAAATGTTTTGATGAGCTAAGACCCTGTTTTTATGATGCAAACACATCATATATCTCATATGGTGCAAAGTCATGATAGCATTTATAAAATGTATTAAAGCACTATGTATAAAAAGTTTGGGAGCACCAGAACAGAAATAAGAAAGTGTGGAGATTAATTAATTTCTCTTTAGTCAACAATTTTAATCATTTTGTATCTTTTAAACAGCTGCACGGAGGGGAATTCCTGAACGTGGAAATGTAGCAGTAAAAACACGACTAAGAAAGATTCAGATAGGCATGTTTGTGTTTAAGGTGCAAGCCTAAATGAGCAAATATTTAGAACTTTCTCCAGTTTTGCTTGCATGTGTCTCAGGTGAAGAGAGCAGACTAAATTCAGGTGCTCTGTGATCAAAACAGTTCACTGTATGTGTGGATGAACTAGCAGCAGCCTGAGGTTCACCAGCAATCAAGTCAAGGAAATGACCCTTTAGTGCATCTAGATTAGCATGTATACAACACTTCAATATTTGTGTTATTGTGGTATAAAAGCTTATATTAGTTTACAAAGTGATTGTTTGAAAGCATCACTGGCACACATGATCGAGGAGGTAAGGGTGGTGTTTTTTTTTAGCGGCTCAGGGTCAAACCCCTGCCTAAATTAATAAAAGCCTTTTTAATGAGCTCTAAATGCCTAATATGCTGCTTTGCAATACCTGTGTTAAGCTAAAAAATGTCCCTGATTGCAGTTTTCGGCCTGTCGCTTTCAGTTTACATCATACAACAGCACCAGCGGATCTGTGTGAGACTGTGAGGTACATTGCTCTTAATTGTTATGTATGGCAATAAAGATGTGTCATAAAACAAAAGCAATGCAGTTTGATACTAATATCAAGACTGAGCTTTTTTAGGTTTCATGGCATTTTAATTACTGTTATAAGCAAGTTTGGCCAAAGTTTTCCTGGCTAGCTAACTTCTGTTGTCACACAGTGTATATGCATGGGTTTCCTTTTAGAGTATGTCATTGTCCTCTTGTCTACACTCTTAAAAATAATGACTCTTCCAGGTTTCTTTAACAGAACATTTTATAGCACCAAAAATGATTCTTTTACTGTAATGACATCGAGCTAGTAACATCGTAACACTTTTGCAGTGCCATATAGAAGCCTATTCCAAAAGCCATCTACAGGACATTCGCAGTCAATCTGAAGAACACTTTCATGATGCAAAGAACATTTTAATCATGCAAAGGGTTGTTTGAGTATTCATGGGTCTATACATAATCATTTTCTTCACTAAAGACTCCTTGAAGAACCATCATTTTCAAGTGTGTATCATAGCCACCTAGCCATAGTTCTACATTTTGTAAAATGCTAATGATGTTTGGTTGATTGGATGAATTCCAACTTCAGTTTGTCACAACACACAGTCCAACCCCTGCCAGAAAATAAAAGCTTAAAAAAAGAAACCACAGAACCGTTTTTTGCAGTATTCAGAAAAAAACAGAACATCTCTCACTATTACAGGAGACTGTCCATTTTAAACACACTCTTTGGTTAACTACTAGTTGTGTCAGTCAATCTAAATCATAGACACAGCAATCACAACACTGGAGATTTATTTACTATTGCTGTGGGATTTTAAAGAGACAGGTTGTTAGGTTTTTTTTGTTGCTGTTGTCATTTTTTATAGTATAATAAATAAACGATGCTTATACTGAATTCCCCATTCATCCAACATCAGTGTTAGAATTCTGAATCACAGAAATGGCATAAGACGTCTTGCTTTCTGGGTTATTTTTGACTGGGTTTATGGACTTTGGGACCCCTGTAGTTGCACTGGCCACCCAAACACCACCCCATTTATATAGTCAGTCAGCACAGCCACTATAGGGTCACATACAGGTGCCTTGCCATGCTTCTGTATTGAAAAAAAAAATATTTCATACATCCAGAATAGATACAGAATCACTTTAAATGAAGAATGATATCAATCAGCTACAAGCATGTGGCTATTATTATAAAAAACTATTATTGTAAAAAATGACAGTTAAAATTCAGTTAAAATATTTTCAGTTAAAAAGAACTCCTAATAGTAAGTCTTACATTCTGTTAACTATTTGAAGTTTAATTAACTGAAAAATCTTAAGGAAAGCAGTTTGTTTTCTTTTTCTAGGTTGAAATACTACTGAAATAATACTTTTTCTGACAGTCAATTTATTTTTTCTAAGATAACATTGCTTTTTTCCCTTCTGACTGGGTGCCTAGATTTAATTCCCAAGGGACTGTGTTTTCTGCATGAATCTTTATCTCTACTATTTTAATAACTATCTCTTGCTAACTGGAAGTGATGGCTTGTTTAACTTCAGATTCATGGTAAGAACAGTGATAGATTACTGACCAGGCATTGGGGCCAGTGCACATAGGCCTCTGACTGCCAGGGGCCAAGAGTGGGTGCAGATCCACTGCAGTTGCAAACATTAAGCCCTTGAATATGTGGCTATTAATAAATGAAATAAACAAATAAATATTGTCTGCTTTTAGGCCCATTTTTAACATTATCATCATCACTCTTGGTAAGTCAAACTCGCAAGTAAACACCAATTCAGAGTGGTCAAGAAAAAAGTAAAATAGCCTCTACAGTTAGAGCAGCACCCTTAGCCTCACAGAGGAGCAGTGGCGGAACATGTGAGCAGTGAGTAATGTTTGCCAAGAACATTATTCTTAACATCACTGTATTAATTGTACAGCACCAGCATGCATTTTGTTTGTGCTTAACATCCAGCAACTTCAAAACAGCAGACTGAGCTGATTTTACACTATGGAGACGACAGAGCGTAACTTTGTATGTATTATCAGCAGTTAAACTGGTAAGCATTCATCTGTTACATCTGGAGGACTTTCTAATTTTTTTCATAAAGATCACATTATATGCAGTAAATATCACTGTAGCTGTTTGCATGGAAATAAAAGTTAACATGAACATTGTGTGTGTGTTTGTGTGTGTTTGTGTGTGTGTGTGTGTAGGTGTGTGTGTGTGTGTGTGTGTGTGTGTGTGTTTGTATGTGTGCAGTTCTGTTCTGTGTCTCGTCATCTGCCTTCAACACCTGCAGTTGATGCAGCGGCAGCAGTGCAGTCTCTGTATAGTCTGACTGAGGGGGGTTTTTCTATGACGGTTTATCAGTGTGTGAACACTCCTCCACTATAGAAACCCATACAGTAATAATCTCCTGCATCCTCAGGCTGGACTCCACTGACGGTCAGTTGAAAGTTAAGCTCTGAATATGAACCACTGAATCGTTCTGGGACTCCAGACTCACGTCTGTTTGCCTTATAAATCAGGAGTTTAGGAGCTTCTCCAGGTTTCTGCAGGTACCAACTCATATCACTGCCAACTCCACTAGTTCCAGTACAGCTAATAGAGACACTCTTTCCTGCTTGACCAGACAGAAACTCAGGAGACTGAACCTCTTGATGGGAAACTGAAGAAAGAGAGAAAAAAAAAAAACATATTAGAGAATCAATATAATTTCAAAAAATGGTAAAACACTGTTTGCATTGAAGTTACATTCTTATCAGACTCAACACTTCAGAAGAGTGTAGAAATAAATGTGCTCTTACCCTGAGGAAAGAAGACCAGTGTGGTCAGCAGTAGAATCAGTGTGGTCATCATTGTGCTGTGTGTGAGTGAGTCTGAAAGGACTGAAGTCTCCAGTGTTGATCACACCAGCTCTCTTAAAGTGTGTGGAGCTGTGATCATGCAAAACCCTCTTCTATCAGCTGCACTTCCTGTCTTTCATATGCAGTAACTCACACAGTTCATAATAAAAAGGGTAAAAAGAAAGAAACAAAGGTTTGATTTTAAACCAAAGTCAAATCGAGGGACAAATAAATGTTAAGAAAAATGAAGGAGACATGTTGTTCAACAATACAGTTGTTGATGACAGTGTGAATTAGAGAATTAGACATATCATCTGAATGAGGTTGTATCACTGTGGAACACTTTTGGTGGAGGAACTCGACTCTCTTCTTTAAAGAAAGTATAACACATTTCAATTCAATTTTCTAAAGTTTGCAATTATTCATAATTTAATTTAAGTATCATTCAAATTGTTTTACTATTGTTTTACCACATATTACCCAGGTTACTGGAATTATTAAAGTGAACTTCAGGGTAACATCAAGATTTACATTTTATACAAGCCTTTAAATGTGTTTTCTCTCTCTCTCTCTCTCTCTCTCTCTCTTGCTCTCAGTAAATGTCATATTTTACTATACACTATTAATAACAATTATAACTACTATAAAATTTCTTCAGTTACACCAATATATGTATAATACATGGTCTTCTAGTTTAACATATGAAATATTTTAAAAATACTGCTACTACGTTATTCATTTTTTTCAGAATTCATCTTTTGTTTTTCAGTGTTTATTAAGTTACTACAGTCACACAAATAGAAGATTAAACACAGTGAAAACATGTTAATTATTTACTATAAATGGTGAAATGTGTTTGAATGATCTGCTGCTCTCAGTTCTGCTTTATGAACATAAAGTCTGTTAAAGGGAAGTGAAAGAGTCTCGGAATGACTGATAGAACTGAATATGACTATTTCAGACAACAGAAACTCCGGACTATCACATCTCTCTCTCTCTCTCTCTCTCTCTCTCTCTCTCTCTCTCTTTCTCTCTCTCTCTCTCTCTCTCTCTCTCTCTCTCTCCAGGTGAAACTTGGCCCACCCTCACAGTGTTGCCCCATAGATATAAATACATAGATGCAGCGTTGTCTGTTATTCTCTATATGCAGCGACACGTCAGCATGTCTGCCATGTTGAAGCAGTCAAGATTCCTTTGTAAACATATAGACCTACACATGTACTGAGATGAGCTCTTTCAATTAAATCGGCCATTAGTTTCTTAATACCCAAACAAAATTTGTTATGTTATAATTCTCAGACAGTTAGGCACATTGCTGATTATTTAAACGTATGATTTATACGGCACTATATTTGAGATTCTTCTCAGTTTCCTGCCAAATTCAAATAAGGAAGCTGCTACAGCCATAAGAAGAGTCTGAATAAATTAATATTTAGATTTACATTTACCTGATGCTTCAGGCAGCAGATCAAGCACATAACTATTAATATGCTTATATATCTAGATTTTAAAAATCTGAACATTAATGTTGAACTGGCTGTCATAAAAATACATACCAGATGCAAATGTAAGTGTATTTACGGTCAGATGGTGGAGCTCAACTATCACAAAGTACAAAGTAGATTTCATTGTTTCGACAATTTGCTTACACTTGTGCACAGACTATGTGCCAAAAATAAACTCAAATAATCTAGGTTGCTTTGATTGCTCTCTGTAGCTTTTACTTCATAACTATGAAAGGTCTGTCTGGAGCAGCAGGAAAAGTATTCGGTCACCTGATGGTAAAGACTGAGTTTAGCAAGCTCCATCAGAAACACAATCACACACACATCAGTAAATAGGCCAATATGTGAATTGGTTCCAATCTCCATGCACATACAAATGCAGTAAACCCCCCAAAACACAGTAAGAAGGTGCTAATCTAATATGAATATCTATACGGATTAAGGAATGCTGTACCTACAGTGCTTATTTAGCACTGACAATCATTGTAAATTAATTAACTATTTCACATCAAGTTAAGATTCCCTATACAGGTTATTAATTGAAAGAAGCTTAACACAGCGGAGGAACATACAAGCAGTGAGCTCTACATAATCAGCAGCACACTGACCTGAGAGTGTAGCCTACTGTACATACTTAATTATACAAGCATATTCTCATGTCAGTCTGTGCTGTTTCAGTGTTTCTGCTGATGATCTTCAGATTTATTTCATATTTTATTGTCATCAATTCTGACCTTTATATATTTTCAATGCTTTAAAAAGTACTTTATATGGTTGCATTATAAAGCATTTTGAATCAAAAATGTCTATTCTGATATTATTTGCGTGATGTAGACGTTAGAGACTTTTTTCAAAGACATTAATAATTATTTGGATAAAGTCCTTGTATTTGGACATTTGGATATTGTTATCAGATGAACAATTACAAATAATTACAAATATATTAAAATCCTGTACAAACCCAATTATACAAAACCAAAAAAATGCTCAGTAGGTAAAATGCAATAAAAAAAAGCAGTGATTTGTAAATTCACTCTGACCTGTATTTAGTTGAAAGACAAACCTTATCTGTAAGCAGTCAAAACACAAGATCTGTTTTTTGTAAATATGCTCTCATTCTGAAATTTATGCCTGCACCTCGTTGGGCAACTGGGTAATTTAAGACAAGAAACTTGGTGAAAAGTCCAAATCTTACAGTTTTTTTTTCTAACCTGCATTTTTAGTACTGAGTTCTCTTTTTCAAAACTCTTCACACAGTTAGCACAACACTCTGTTTGTGTTCTAGTCTATTTGCTTGTTTTTTTTTTCCTTGAGTGAATACAGAGTGCATTTAGAGACCATAATTTCCAAAACTCTTTAATACTCAGCCTTTAACAAAACTGTACACTTCTGTGCCTGAAACTGCAAATGCTTACATACACTGTTACAAAACTGTTAACCACATCACTAGAAATTGAAAATAAACTGGACATTCTTTTCAACAATTTGCTATTGGACAAAAATCAAAGCCCAAAACCTGCTTTATCTGTGCGTAAAGGGCATAGCAGAAAACCACAACTGCATGCATGTGATCTTTGATCCTGCAAAAGGCACTGAATTACAAATCGGCATGCTTCTGTGATGGATATAACCGCATGGGCTCAGGAATACTGTGACATAGTGTTATCAAGAAACACAGTTCCTTACTGCACCCACAAATGCAAGATTAGACTGTACAGAGTTCAAGGGATACCATATGTCAATACAGTCTAGAATGCTGCCAACTTCTCTGGGCTTAAGCTCATCTGAAATGGACTGATGCACAATGGAATCGTGCATTGTGGTCTGACAAGTCAACCTTTCAGATTGTTTACGGAAATGAATAGAGATGTCATGTTTTCTGGGCCAAAGAAGAAATAGACCATCCAGATTGTTACCAATGTGAAGTTCAAAAGCCAGAGTCTATCATGGTATGGGGGTGAACTGGTGCCCATGGCATGGGTAACTTGCGCATCTGTCAAGGCACCATTAATGGTGAAAGATATGTACACCTTTTCCATGCTTATTCAACATGACAACAAAAGGATATATTCCGTACATATTACAACAAAAAGAAAAATATGTAACAGGCTTGTTACTTTAGTTTTAATGATCTCTTTATTTATTTTATCTCTGTATTGATTCATATCTTTTTTTAATCAGGCAATCATTTTCAGGCACCTAATGAATTGGTGCTGTGAAATGGGAAAGGGGGAGGTGGGAGAGGAGTGAACCTGTGATTGGCTACTTTCACAGCTTACAGGCCCCAGCAGAGCATGTGGGAAAAGGAAGAAAAACAAACAGATGACACAACGGAATCCACAGAAAGTGATGGTGTTGAATCAGCGGTTAACGTGGATGATAAGTATAAAAATCTGTATCCATGGCCTTACTCAGTGCCAGAGTGAGTGACTGGGAGAGTCTGGAAATTCCCAGTGGGCCCGTTTTGGGCTGGTTACTGGGAGCTAATGAATACAGTCTTGTTACATCCAAGTGTGTATCTGTAGTAATTTAGGGGTTAAACCAGAGGCCCCGTCTAAGGTGATACAGCCCTGGTTTACTGACTGTAACTTAAATTCAAACAGTGGATAGAAATTAGACATTAGCTTCATTTCCCGTTCCACCTTAAATGATGTAGCAGTTATGTTCAGACATATGTACGGATGTTACTTCAGTGCATCAAGTCATTACAGGTAAGACATAAACAGACATTAAACATGTTTCATTCCTGCCATGGCAATATGCATTTGTCTACAATGATGATTAGGTTTAGGTTTTTAAAGATTGCTGTGTTGTTTTTCTAAGTCTTCGAACATCAGCTGTTCGATTTAACTTTCGTGTCACCTTCTTTCGGGTCTGCCCGCTGTGGCAGTACACTGCGTTCTTGGCTTTGGGAATTATCAGGTTTTAAGTTTGTACGTCTTTAAATTTGTAGGTTACCTTTGCATAAGTCTCAGTTGTCTGATTCAAAATTTTTGTTTGTTATCTTATCTGGGCAGAAGTTGTGTCTGTGTTGAACATGCTTTATAGTGAAGGTGCTGCAGTGTTGATTGTGTTTGTGTCCAGCTTTTTAATTGGCTGCTGTTGTTTTGTATCAGGGTGGAAGTGTTGGAATATGCAGGGTGATGACTGTAAGGCTGTTTGGAACAGCCTATAGCTGGATGTAATGACATTGCAGGACATTAGTGGATTTTGTGTGTGTGTGTCTGTGTGTTTATGTGTGTAACTCCAGGTCTGAAAACAAGTCCCACTCCGGCACTGGTCTTACTTAAAGGAATGATTTGATCTCATGTTCAGTATTGACTGAAATAAAAATCTATTTTTTTTTCTTAGTAGAGATTCCAACAATATCCATCTCTAATTCTTCTAAAGGAAATCAAACACATAAATGTGGGTGCTCTAGATGTGTGGATTTTTGTGGATGATGCATGCAGTTCCACTATAAACCATTTTGTGTGCTCAGTTTGATGGATGTTTACCTCTAACTCTCAGTAGAAAGATATCCTCTTTAAAAAATTTCATTAGAGATGATTTTTAAATAAATACTTTTACTTTTTTACTTTTAGTACATTTTGAGTATGTACTTTTATATTTCTACTTAAAAGTAAAGTAAGTAAAAATTAAAAAAAGTAAAAAATCTGCCATACTTTAACTTGTACTTGAGTATTTTTTTTTTTACTAAATTACTTGTTGAGACAGTAGCTTATCTGTCGCTGCACAGTTTGTGTTGGTCATCCTCTAGTTCCACAGTGGTCACAGGATGCTGTTGGCTGGATATTTTTGGTTGGTGGACTATTTCCTTTAGTGCTTTAGAAACGAATGACGTTTTAAAACACTAGAAGATAAAGATTTGGATTTCTGTCCCCCAAAACACAACAGACTTCTAGCTGCTGTTCAAGCTTTGAGTAATTAACCTTTTTAATGCAACTGAAAGAAAATATCCTTGCAGATGTCATTAGAAATCAGTAAAAAGGCAAAGGGAAAGGTGGATACACTGAATTTTCAAAAAATATATCTATATATTTTGTTTTATATTTAGTTATTGAGCCTTTTATGTAACTTTCTATGTAAGTGTGAACTGTATCAGTGTTATCAGAAGTTGTGCTCTGCTATACCAGTGATTAGACTAATGACAGCTCTTTTAAACAGCTCTCTGATGAACTAAAGTGAGACTCTAGTTTGTTTTTAAAGTTCACACATCCTGAATCTGTCCTTCTGCACACGAACTCAAACCTACTGAGATGGGTGTGTGTTTAGTTTCCTCCTCAGTGGGTCGTGTCACATTCCCCCTCAGCACCTGCAGCTGCAGCTGTGCAGTCTCTGTACCGTCTGACTGAAGGTGGTTATTGTATGATGATTTATCACTGTGTGAACACCCAGTATCCAATGTTAAGAGCACTCTTACAGTAATAAATGCCTGAATCTTCAGGCTGGACTTTACTGATGGTCAGAGTGAAGTCAATGTGGTTTCCACTCTCACTGCCACTGAATCTAGAGGAAACTCCAGAAGCTCTATTATCAGTAAAATATATCAGGAGTTTAGGAGCTCCTCCAGGAATGTGATGATACCAGTACATACAGCGCTTCTTTGTATTTGTATCAATACACCAAACTGCTGGTTCATGTTTGCAGGTAATAGTGACAGTGTGATCAGGCTGCACTGTCTGATCTCCAGACTGAGTCAACACAACCTGCCCTAAAGAGACTGTGGAGAGAGAGAGAGAGGGAGAGGGAGAGGGAGAGAGAGAGAGAGAGAGAGAGAGAGAGAGAGAGAGAGAGAGAGAGAGAGAGAAAGGCTGAAACTGAGACTGCATTGATACACATTATTAAAGAAGATTCCCTGTGTTACTCTGATGATGAGAATGCAGGAAATAAAAATTTCTATCTTAAACACAAACTCACAGGTGGAATAATAGTAATAATTACAGTTCACTTTTTATGAAAATACTTTCAAAAAGTCTACTATATAATCTACTGTATGATCCAATTTAAGTGAACATTAATAATAAACATTGTCTTACTCCGAGTGCAGGTTATGATCATCCAGATGAAGATGGTGATTAAAGTCATGATGGCTTTTTGATGTGTGATCATGTAGATCAGCTCTCAGTCATGAAGTGTTAAACTGACAGAGCTATAAACTCTCCCAGAGCACTGAAGCATGAGCTGCTAATGCAAAGTGTCTTCAGCATGAAAATCATCTTCCTGACTGCAGCTTGGTAAGATGTTTATTATCTTCGATTTTATTGGTATAATAATAGCATTAGATGCTTTTCCTTTTTTTCCTTTTGTATTCACTATTCATTCAGCTGTATCTTATTTTCAAAGGACAGATAAGACAAAGCTAAAATAGTCATAATGAAACTGGCACCTGCAGTACTGCCAGTGATGATGCTAACGCTCTAAGCTCTATGGTTTATTATGTAATTCCTCATTATGTACACAGATTTAGGAGACAGTGGGCCAATATTCACCAAGGCTTTGTTTTGGTGGAAAATGATAAGCACTTCACTAATTATAAGTATTATTATTCCTATTATTATTATTGTTGTTATTAAAATACAAAAAATACAAATATATTTACCTAAAATGCAACTCAAGAACTTTGACTCCAGCAGAGATTTTTAGTCTTTTTCATTACTGGGTAGTTGTGCAGTTAGGCCTGGAAGGTGGTTAAAATTAAAACTAAATTCCCATAATATAATGATACTGGTAATGAGACAGTTGGATCAAGAAGTGGTTAGAAATGAAACCTTGATGGAAGAAGATCCACAATAGAATATATCCTAATTGTCACCACCAGCATTCTGAAATACAAACATTAGGTGCTTTACAGTCCGGCTGACTGCTGTAGTAAGTGAAGGTCGGCGGGTCAGTATAAAGCGTAGACACAAAACTCGGGCTCGTCCGGGATTTGAACCCGGGACCTCTCGCACCCAAAGCGAGAATCATACCCCTAGACCAACGAGCCAACTAGTGATAGGACACCTAGGCACGTAGTTGTTTGCCGTCGTGTGCCGGGCTGTGAGTCATTCTAGTCCACGTTGTGCGGTAATGTCCAGGATTATTCGCCTGCCATCTGGTGGCGGAAAGCGTCATTACACCAACGAGGGGAACCAACACTGCACAGATCTGCTGTAGAGCAGCGGGAGACGCATAATACACATTTAGTGAATATTGTCAGAATAGCACAGTTTGTCAAAATAGTGAATAAGGGACAATTGTTCTGACTGATGTGATCTCTAGTTTCATGGTTAATAAGCTGCATCATGATTTCTTTTTAAAATAGTTGCCGGTTGACTATACGGCCAAAGTCAGTCGTATCAGCTGCCACGCCAGCAGTGCTTTGCACGTTTTGTGTTTTCCTTGCTCTTCACACCCGACCGAGCCAACGAGGAGCTTGTTAATTAGTTAATGAGCTGAATCGGAAGTGCTAGATGAAAAAAAGCACAAATGTATACATACTGTGGGGTCAACTGGACAAGGAACTCTTGGAAACTCTTGCTTTAAACGTCGGGACGCACTACATGCAACTGCCGCTAGATGTCGCCAAAGCAACGTAGGAGAATCAGCATAATACGGTCATATGTCCTTAATACGACCACTTATGCAACGTGGCAGTACTTTCAGAAGAGTTTGCTCTGTGCTGGACTTCAAGTAGGCTCGTTGGTCTAGGGGTATGATTCTCGCTTAGGGTGCGAGAGGTCCCGGGTTCAAATCCCGGACGAGCCCACCTTTTTGTCGTAGATGTAGTATGGAAAGGCTTTCAATAGTTTTTCACTTGGATGTAGGCAGGCCTTAAGTAATTTACTCTGTGTGTACCTCAATAGCAATTCAGGTGGTGGACATTCTCATATACATAGTGCAAATTCCCAAATGAACAGTATGTACACACACGCACACAAACACTGCAGGCAAAACAGGTCAGCTTAATATACTCTTTATAAAAAGACATTTGAGACATACAAATGAAAACAGATGATATAGTTATAATATGCACACTGGTACAAATCACTGAGAGGGAGTATGCAAAATACACACCATAATAATCCAATCTTCATTTTGTGTGGGAGCCCAACCCTTTTACGTAGTTATAGATAAGATAGCGTAGATACAGTGTTAGATCTAGACCTTAAGCTTCACGTACTTAGAAAAAAAAAGTATTGCTGCTGAAGCTGTGTTTGCATTAGATATGGCTGCACAGGAGTCACATGGTAGAAAGACACCCCATCCTATAGACTACTGCAGAGCACCAAGAACGTGTTGCATATTGTACTTGACTCTGTTCTTTCCTTCTCTGTTCTGCTGTTGGGATTTCAAGCTCCTGTTGTAGCCATCTGCCCCCTAAGCGCATCTGCCTAGTACTGCTGTATACTCAGTTTACGGAAGCCGGACTAGAGAATGCTCCACACAGACCATGCCTTACATGCTTTAGACTTAAACTACTACACGTTCTGTTGTTTGTCTGAAATGGAAAGATGCGCGAAGCGTTTCAAAAGAGTGAGGCGTTAAGGTGCAACTCAAAATAGCCAATGCCAAGATGATGATACACTACTGGATAAAGAAATAGAGATGTTTGTTTGGTGTAGCCCCAGAACTTTGTCTGGAAACCAGAAAAACAGATTCCTTGAGTAAATATATTAAAAGGGAGCTCATGTAACACTGCAGAGCATCTCCCGATCGTTGCGTCCATCTTGTGCTCTCTCTCGTCCATTAGATATGTGTACTTCGGCATCAGCAGTTTAACAGTCAGCTGTCGGAGTCTAGCATATCGAACTGTGAGAGGTTGTCATAGCTTAGTCTTGCTGGGCCCAGTGTAGGGAGGGTGTCAGAACTGACTTAAAATATGAGGAGACTGCCGCAGTGCTGTGTGTGGCTCGCACTCACTCGTCAATTCACCTGTAAGCTGAGGCTTGAGCCCCTAACCTTCTCGAATGAAGCAATGTGCGGGAGCAAATCTCCTCAATGCATGATGTCACACAGCCCTAGAGGATTTGCAGTCACACCAAGGAGTCCTGACACTGCAAATGCTCCACCTCTCCAGAGAGTGTGTGTGTGTGTGTGTGTGTGTGTGTGTGTGTGTGTGTGTGTGTGTGTGTGTGTGTGTGTGTGTATGTGTGTGTAGATGTTCTCTTTCTCCAGCTCTGCCACCTCTCAGGTGTTGTTGTGGCTCAAGGACATCACAGTGATGTAAAGGCAATTCTTAATTATAGCTATTCCAAAGTGTTTTCCAACCCCAGTCCTGTAGAACCCCCAGCACTGCACCATTTGCTCCTTAACCTTAATTATAAACAGGCTAATGATCAAGTGCTTCTAAGGCCCACAATATAAATAAGAACATCATATTGCAATCATATTGCTAGTAGTGGTGTTAAAGTTAACGCATCAGTAACGCATTAATGTGGTAAATTATTAACGCTGTTAACGCTTTTTCCTAGTTTGACCCTTGTAATCATCCACAGTTTAACAGTGAAGCCCAGCTGCAGACTATGTAGGTATGACTCCATGACTGTAGCTCTCTGTAACATTTAAAAGGGCAAGAAGTTCCACTGATGTTTCTCTCGACAAAACCAAAGTTGTTTCCAGCTACTGTCATGCTGTGAACTGATCAGTGAACTATGACTCATCTTAATTAAGTAAAACAGAGCTGATACTGGCAATGTCAGTAATATCAGTAACAGCAGCACTGGAGGACGCCTCAGGAGACTGCACTGAAGAGTGCTTGCGGGAGACCAATGGATAAGCAGCAAATTAACAAAAGCAACAGCAAAATGGAAAAGCTGCAGTTCTTCTCATAAGACATAACGTAAGGCTAAGAGAGCTGGAAGTCTGCAGTCGTGGAGGAGTTGACTGTACAGGCTACCATTGACTGTACGGGCTATGTGATACATGATATACATTCACTGGTTGGAACATGCAGCCAGTGTTGCTTTCAGTGGATGTTGGTGATGAAATTTGGATTTGGATGTTCAGACTGAACTCTGCGTGTACATGATAAAAATAATGCCAGTGAAACAAAAAATATATCTTGTCCACTCATACAGCTATGACAAAATGCACTGCTTTATAAAGGGAAAACAATCTTTCTTTAGGGTTCAATCTGACCAAACACAAATACGATTATTCGTGATTAACTACACAAAATTGTGATTAATCGCATTTATTTTGTTGAATCCCTAATTACTATATACGGCAAGTGAAATATGCAGAGCTTGCCCAAATCATTTGGAGTCTTTAGTATTTGTTTATTTGGTTGGTATTTGTTTCACGTACAAGTATTAAGTATTTGGAAGCTTCATCTTTTTTTAAGCCACCAAAGTTGTTGCTTTAATATGATACATTTCATCAGTAATGGCCTTTCTTACTGTTAATATATGAAAAATGTTATAAGTAAATAAATTATATCTGGTTAATTTGAATGCATTATAAATTTATATCAGGCATCCCGGTCACCTCGCCTCAGAGTGCTACAAACTGCACATGGCAAGCAACCATGCGTCCAGTCCACATCGTCTCCAACCTTAGGTGTGTAACCACTTCAGGTGGGAATATTTACTCTTATCTCCCTTTATTTTCTAATCAAACAGTTGTACAGCAGGCTTAAAACTTGGTTATTTTGACAAAATCACCAGTTTTACCACTTTATCTATGACGTTTAACCTCCACACAGGATTAGTACAGCGCAGTAGCTGCTCTGCGACAACTAGGCCACAAAGATAATTTAGTAAATTATTTTAAATATAGTTTAGGACTCCATGAAAAGCAGGAATGTGTGATTTGACTAGATTGATAGGAAGCTTATGCTTCACTCGTGTTCAAGTGGAAAAACAATATGCTCGTGATTAAAAAAATAAATAAAAAGGTCGGAATAGCCGTACCGCCTTTGTGAACTGAAACACTGATTAAAAGGCAAGTATGTCTGTTCCATAAGATGGACAACAAAAAGCACTTTAAATATTATTATAGGAATGATGGCCCAGCCCCAAAAATGCCTTATATATTATGTATTATAACACATTAGGGTGATGTGAAATGACTAATGACGTTTGTCTGGATATCCTGATTCATTTAATCACCCACAGAAACTCATCTGAAACCTCTGAGGCTGTTAAAAGCAAACAAAGCCATTACTAACTTGATAGTACATTTGCATATTACAACCTTCTACAATATCGTACTGCAAAGGCCAATATCACAATAACAATAAACCAAAGATATATTGTGCATTCATAGGTCGTTCTTGAGGAGAATCAAGTGTGTTAGAACAGAGAAAAACATGCAGGGCTGGTGGGCTTCCAGGACTGTTGTTGGAAAACACTGATATCCAGGATTGTACAGAAATTAAATAAAGACTGCTACATATTTAGGGGCTAAATCATTAATCTCAGTGATTGTGCTCTGGGCAGCCAACCTCAAGAAGTTGAGCATGGGTCAAGTTTTGTTTTTTCTTTTGTGGCCACATATGGCCTGGGTCAAGTTTCTACGGCCCCCCATAGGCTATACTTAAACAATATTGCACTTTTAATTAAAAGTAAACCATTTTTGTCCTCCTGACTTTACTGATTTAATGTGTGTCAACAAAGACTCAGATTCTAATTGTTCCAGCCAAATGCGCAAGTGACCTGGACTGTCGCTGAGCAGCCTCTGCCTCTGGACTGAAAGAACTGATCAGAGCTGAGTTACTGCAGCCTTAGCCCAATGCCCTCATATCTCCATTCTCTCTTAAGGCAAAGAGAACTGGGTGAAGAACTACTTATACTCAGCACAATGAAGCAGATGAGAGATGTGTCAGTTTGCTGATCCACAATTTTGCTAGCGTGTCGGCCGCCAGGTATAACCTTGGCAACAGAAAGCTCTGTCATGGCTCTGTGGATGTCCTGTGCTGTAATCCAATCAACATGCAAGGATTCCCCATAGAGAGCTTACCAAGGGACACGGAGAAACAGAAGGGACGGCAAGAGTGCAAGGACGGACAAAGAGGGTCATTTTACCGGTCAAAAAAGTGGGGCACCTGTTTTCAGCTTGAGAGTGCAAAATGTTGCACAGGTATGAAAACATCAACACCACAGCTACAAACCAAATGTAATCAAGTAATTTTACAAGATTTTTTTTGCAACTGTAGAAGTCCTGAATGATAGCATCGAGGTGACTGACACCGTCTCAGAAAACGAGGACCTAAGTGGCAGTGTCATAGAAACTGGAAGGAGGGGGGACTTCCAGAAAGTGTGTGCTTGTCAGAAGATCATTCGCAGCAGTTCTGCATCGATTCCCAGAGCCAAAATATGAAAAAAAAAACAAAACCGAAAGCGTCCTCCAGGTCTGAGGTATGAGTCAGCTTATCACTGATGTGGGACAGGGCCAAAAAAAAAAATCCAGTTTCTCAGCCATGTGTATGTAGAGATGTGTTTGTGTGTGGTGTAAGTTAATTTGTTGGGTCACGAGTGGGTGAGGGGTCATAAGGCCACCATGGTACAGGGGTGTTTGAGTTTGCAGGGCAAGACTCCTCTGTTGAGCTGGTAGAACTCCACCAGGTGGATCAGGTCTGTGAACTTGGTGGAGCCATCGTCAAGGCTGAAGAAAATCTGACCGTCCTCTTCATGCTGATGACAGCAATGAAAATGATGGAAATGAGCAAATGGGAAAACAACACAGATATACATATGTGGAGAAAACACATTTTGAACTGTGAATGGACTAAAATCCTTTTGCTTTGAGAGACCCTATAGCTTGATTATATTTATTTAATTAAAACAAATGACTTAACATTCCATTCTGTCACTATCAAAACATATAATAACTGTTTGCTTAAGGTGAGTAAAAAGGCACATGGATGCTACAATACAGCACATTGGGGTTCATTCTGTAACGTAAGAGCACAAGACAAAATATGTTCATTGGTATTAGAAAACTTTGCTGAGCAGTCAGAAATCTGGGGGACCCTGGCTTCCAAGTGATATGGCTGGCCCCCCCCCAAGATCACCACCCTGGTACAGTTATAAACTATAACACATTGTTTGTAACTAATAAAATGGCCAGTAAGTGTTAATACAAAGGACCTAATAAACGGCAACTCTGAGTAGACGGCCTTAGATTTTAAAAAGCAATTATTTATAATTAAATTAGATGAAATTGACTAAATTTGTGTTAGAGAGGAAGCGATAACTAGAGACTTACAGGTAAGATTTGGAAGTGTCTGATCTTCTGATGATGGCACAGTGTGAGTACAAAAGCCTTCGGGTTGCTCTGACTATCCCGCAAAAGGAACAACCTTCAAAGAAAAAACACTATACTTAACACATTGACCTGTCTAAACAGCTGTGCATTTGTTCTGAGAGGGACACATTGATTTGTGGGCAATGTAAGTGGCCTACCCATCCACTTGACCCTGCTGCATGATCATACGGTGGGACTCTTCTCTCATGATGCGACCGTGGAACCACAGTTGTGTCCGGTGGATCACTTGAAACAATAAAAGAAGAGGAACCAATTTAGTTGCTAAAGCACAAAAAGGCATTGCCTGTACACAGTCTTGTGGTGCACAAAGACAAGTGTTCTGGCAGTAAGATGGCTACCATATGCTAAAGGCTGTTCCTACCTGAACTTAAAGAGGAGGGATGCAGTGGACTAGGGTTGCCCAATGCATTCATTCTCTGACTCCGCTTCTACATAGATGGAAATCAGCGTATCATATACAGGGGAAAAGAGACATGGACTCTGCATGTGTGTGTGTGTATGTGTGTGTATAAAACTCACTCTCCAGTTGTGTCCCTCCTCCATTGCTGCACTCATTGCCTCCTCAGGATTGTCAATCACACGGCCTGTCCTTCCCGAGAAGTCCATGGCAACCAGAGAATTCTCGGACACACTCCGCTACAGAAAAATATCACAATATTACTATAAATTATACACTGTCAGAAAAAAGGTACTTTACCGGTGCATTTCAAGGTACAAAACAATAATTGAGCGTTCTTTTAATTTGGTAGAAACATTCTTGTATTTTGTTGGATGGGCATCTCTGAGGAACTACAATGGACAAAACAAAACATAAGACAAGCTTTTTTCAGGTGTTAAATAGCGCGCAGAATCATCTAGTCATTATTTAATAATTAAACTTTGGTAAACTGGAATAGATGGTTCATTATAAAAATATTCTTCTAGTATTTTGTGGTTTGCGAGGGAAACACTTGTAGGCACATGTGCAAAGATTGTATGATCTTATTATAGGCGCTAAAGAGCTGTCACACCTATATGGCTCATTCTACTGAGTTTGCTTGAAGTCAGAGTTTTATGTATAGAAAACACATTTCTATACCTTATGTTTTTTTTTTATTTATTTTAAAACACTTATTTACTTTATTAAACATTATAATGCTGGGATGTGGCTGAAAAAAGGTTCAGCCTATGGACTAAAACTCTGTTTTGCTGGTGACATGAAAAGACAGCATTTTTTTGGATAGTTTGAAAAGTTCTTTTTACTCATGATAAATCTACATCTTTTGACTTTAAACAAAATCAAAAAGATCATTTTAAAACAACAACAAAAAAAAAGTATTATTTTCACAAGAAATTGGGTCTGGGACAGTCACCTCCCACCAGGAAGCACCCTATAAATTATGATTTTACATGTCAATTAATGTTTTGGGTTTAAATAGATCATAACAAACAAATATCTATGATCTGAATACTTAACAGTTTTTATTTTAAAACTGTGCCTCCACAGTTTGAAACAAATCAGTAGAACGGTCTGTATGGTAGATAACCACAGTCACTTTAAGGCCAAAATAGGGTTTGTGACAGCACAAATCACTGGTAAATCTGCCATTAATGCTCACTGCACTTTTTGTGTGAAATATTTAAAATTATTAACTGTTGGTATCTGTATCTACTACAACAAACATTAATTATCAGTTGTCATCTGTCATGTGTATTGGTCCTGAAATTTCATATTAGTGCATCCTCAACAAAACCAGCTGCAACAATAAGGTTGACAGTGAACACTTTTTGTCATGTAGCTCTAAAAGCTTCCTCACTGGAGTGTGCAGTCTTGCTTGTTTTAAAATACCTTTGCTGACAGCCAACAAACTTTTGTTGCTGCCAGCTTCAGAAGCACACCAACTGCGAGGCAAACTAAACCTTACTAATTACCTGTGATATTAACGGCAGCTTCTTAAAGACAACTTGTCTTGTTGTTACCACAGAAACCCTTTGTGGTAGCCCGGTCATGCCACATTATCGAAAAGCTCCCGATGTAGAAAAAGGCATGAAGGAATCCACAGCTATGCGCCTCATTTGCGTTGGCGCTGAGTGTTTGCACGGCATCCTGCACCACTGTGATCTGATGAGCTAATATCGGCTTCATTTATCATACTACGGCGAACTAGGCCAGGCATGAACGGAGGATATTTAGCACAAAACTGTACTCAAGACCAAGCGATCACGACGGCTTAATGTAAGGCAAAAGCATGCACACATGCACACACTCACACTCTTAAAAAAAGAAGAGGCGGAACTCTCACCACGGGTGTAGTGAAGTTCGAGTTGCCCGACTTTCTCTGGTGAGGGATCTTGTAGTTCTGGTAGAGCAGAATTCCATACTGCACAAAAACAAATTTTTATTTATGTGAGGAGTGCCAGCTATGTATGTGAGAATGAGTGTCTGTGAGAGCGAGGATTTGAATTTTCTGTGTGGAGAATCTGACAATGGAGCATTAAGCTGTAATCTGAATTCGGCTCCCTGTAAACATCGAGAATTCCAGTTTTATTTAAATGATGATCTTTTTTTACATAAAAATAGAATGCATTTAAAGCTGCATGGGAGACGAACCTTAAAGAGGAGTGGGGGGAGGATTTATGTAGAATTCATGCATGTTCCATCAATGCAAGGCTTCAATTAATTCAATTAAATTTTTTTCATAAATCTACTATTCAAAAGTAAACCTGAATAAATCTATTCAACACTTGGAGCTCTGGTCCTGTTCAAATTTACACAAATTTGCACATTTGTGAATTTGATTCAAAGTGTATGATAGACTGATTTCTCCAGGCATGAGGCTGGTTGTTTTTGGTTATTCAGATGCTTACCTCACATTACCTAGCTGCTAGTTCCAAAGTCTTTTGACTTAGTAATGGTAATAGCTAAAAAAGCTTTCAGAGGTGGTTTCTGCTTTAAAACTAAAGATGACACAGTACTACAGAACTGGACCACAGGGCGAATTTGTCTGGAGCCCTTTCCTCGACTGCTAGGCCTGTCACGATCATGAAATTTTCACTGATGATCAATTGTCATATAAATAATTGTGATGAATGATTTGATTGTCTTTTCGTTGTTTGCAAGTATTAAAAGACAAACCTAAAGTCAACCCATGTCAGTGTCACTGCAGTGCTGAGAATGATCCACCACCCAAATAATACCTGCTCTGTGGTGGTCCTGTGAGGGACTACAGTCTGTAAATGTAGAACTACAAAGTGCTTCTATATGGTAAGTGGAGCTGATAAAATGGACAATGAGTGTAGAAAAAAGGAGGTGCACTTAATAAAGTGGCAGGTCGGGGTATATATGTGTTTTCTTGCCATCCGCACCAGTCCTAACTATGACTGCGATGGCAGGTCTGTTCAAATGCTTGTTTTTAATAAGACACTAAATATTTTTTTTAAAATAAGTGAATATCGGTATGAATATTTGTGTGTGTGTGTGTGTGTGTGTGTGTGTGTGTGTGTGTGTGTGTGTGTATGTGTGTGTGTGTGTATACCTTAAGCACTCTGAAGGCAGTCATCCAGCACGTTCTGCTCTGCTCATCATCAGCACAAAGCATCTTCAACTCCTTCACGTCAGTCCTGCTTTTACTGGGCTGTGAGTCAAACAACCAAACGATGAAGTCAATAAGTCAATTACTTAATTCAGCTTTTTCCACAGCACAAGCTTTACCCAAATCAAGCTTCAGCTTAAAAATATTTCTGAAAATACTACTCTATCAAGAGAAAATCAATTTAAGTGTATATTTGTTGAACAAAATGTACTAAATGTATCCAATACAACATTTTGCCACATCAGTATCATTAAGAATGTTTTTAATGCAATTTTAAACATGTCTGGCCACATGTTAATGTGGCAACACCTCACACACTCCTACTTTTTAAGTAATACATCATAGGGCTGAGTGATATGGCAAAAACAGATCAAAGAAAAAGCCCCAGCACTACCCCATTTAAAAATAATATAAAAAAATATGACTACAATGACGTTTTTTATACTGTGCTGCACTAATCTAATTATACAGAATTAATTATGCTCTCTTTTTAAACTCTTCAGTGTCCTTTAAGAACTGACATTACTGTTATTGTGGTAAACTGCCATGTGTCAGAGGAAGTTAAATTGGTGAAACTGCCGAATTACATTAAAAGGCAGTGTTACTAAAAACTAAATGACTGTAATTTTACAGATTTTACCCTCACTGAGAAAACATATTTTCACTGTTAATTAATGGGTTTTGTCTGGTACCTCAGGTGCCAGATTTTTTATTCTTTTTGTGTAGAAGTCTTACTACCAAATGTGTTACTGTGTACCAAAACCTAACCTTTGATTGGTTCAGAGTTACCTTAATGCAGAACTGGTAGTCTGCTGGAGCGTTGTACATTTTCCTGCCAGTTGTCACGGTGAACACGTTACTCTCCTCCAAGTCGGATATCAACTGCAAATGCCTGGGCTCCTGAACAACCCAAATGAAACATAATCACAACATTTCCACAGTCAACTTGTACCTCGACCTGACACTAAAATCTCAGAAACAAAAGGAACTGTCACTGGGGTGGTACTCTCAAGGATGTGTTCAGTACCTTTAGTTAGGCAACATAACTGTATTATAATTCACTGCAATTATATATTTTTTAATTGCATTGACTATACTTGCCTTGTCGAGTTCAGACATTTAATTAAAACATGAGGTTATGAAAAGTTGAATCTTGATTAATTAAAATGTACCTGTACAGTACCTTTCTGATTGTGTAGAATCAGATGATTAGCACTGTCCACTGTAATACTCATCACAATAATTAGCTAATAATCCACTACCAAATTTCAGAGAATGTGCTCAAACTGGTTTGAAGCTCAAATTAAGATATACAGGCCAATTGTAGAACTCCAATAACTGAGTGTTTGCACAGCTGTAAGTCTGTGTCCAGGACGGGAATCAAATTTGACTTTAATTTCACATATCCGATGCATATCTGACCCATATCTGATCTTTCCGCTGACGTCCAAACATGTGGAATCAATTCCGGCTTGGACCACATTCAGCAAACCATGCATTTTTTTTTGTTTTGCACACATTATTATCAGGACATAACAACAAATTCGATCTAAAAAAATATGGCCTCTTTTGAAAATGCAGACAAACGTAGCCAAAAGCTCAGCTTGCCTTGGACGTTCCTTTTGTGGAGTAGTAGAGGCCGGAGCGCCGCAGAAACATGTAAAGCTTCTTCCAGGACTTTCGGCCTGTCTCCTTCATGTAGAGGAAGCCCTGGATCTCCGGGCAGCGGCTGGAATTTAGGAAATTCTGCACAGGAGAGGAGAGCCGGCGTTATTTAGTCTGAAAAGCTTTCGGTTCCTCCACAAGGAGGCCTCTATACTCTCTCATTTTCTCTCTCTCTCACACAAGCGCTGGCATGAGGCCATATCTCATAAAGATGTGAAAGCACACACACACACACATAGCAAACAGTGTGACACACAGAATTTGCCAAAAGTAAAACAGTTTGAGTGCAAGGTGGGAGCTGACCTACATTTGCAGTGTCATGGACTTAGGGCTTTAGCTGAGTCATATTTCACAAGATTGTAGAGCACAGATAATTAGGGCTGGGATGATAAGCAATTTTGAATGACTGATAAATTGGGATAAAATCATGGGATTTTTACAGTGACGTACACAGTACATCTAGAACAGTTTGCATTTTCACAGACATCATTTAACTTCACACATAATGATTGGTACGTGAGAAGTACAATGATTCTGGGGCTGAGTAATACACATGACTTCTACTATAACCAAAGTCCAGCATCCCGCTGGACTTTGCTCGTATACCATTAAATAATAGCTCGAGTTTCCATATTACATAAAAGACCATACAATTTTATTAGCTAATATCACAGCAGCTAATTAGCACAGTGCTGGCTCCTACCGCACTACCTGAGGTAAGAATTACTTACCTGTTTTAAGATCACGTTTTTTAATTTATTTAAATGTGGCTTGATTAGTATTTTTATTATTAGAGACTTTGTATGATTTCTGCTGTTTATTTAACATGCAATTGACAAGTGACAAACGTTTGACAACTCATAGTCATATCATGTTAAATATATATATATATATATATATATATATATATATATATATATATATATATATATGTGTTAAAACACGTTCAGTCCGAGACCACTAGAGAAAATGCTCCTATTCTGCATTTGTTCTTAATTTAATACAATTCTTTAATGACAAATTATCATTGCTGAATCTTGAATATTTCTTTTCCATTTTGCCCATAATAACTATTCTTTGTTTAAACTTTTTTCAAAATTTGAAAACTTTGTTTAATTCCAGGTTTAAATGAAAAAATCCAGATTTTCATTGTGGTCTCAGACGTTTAGACCTCAGTGTGTGTGTGTGGTATGTACATATGTCACCTGCAGAAGCTGAGATGGTGGGATTGTGACATTGGACTCCTGACACCATGCTACCATCTGCTCTGGGAAGAAATTCTAGAAGAGTGAAAGAGACAGAAAGAGAACTGGTTATGTATCTTACCTGTGCGTAACGTTAGCAGCTAGCAGCAAGTCTAACATAGGATGGAAAGAATATGCCAACTCTTTGTTAACTATTGTAGATGAACGATGAATGATGTGTCGTCTTTATATTGAAATTGCAAGAGTGCAACTTCCAGTACACAAGAGCTGCAACTGTAATTATATCTTAAATTACTGAACATTATCTGGTAGGCCTGCAGTACTCAAGACTCAAAACGTTGTTAATAGTCACAGACTTGTCTTGGACTCCACAAAATTTGTACTTGGACTTGTCTCGGTTTTGGCCATCAGTCCCACCAAATGTATTTTCTGGTCTCAACCAAGTCTAACTACCATTTAAAAAATAGTTTCTTTCTCTTAACTGTCACAAGCACAAGCACCTCAGGGATTAACTGGAGCGAAGCTTCAGAACTTTTAGCTCGTCTTGACAGCAGAGCTCCAGTGCTGCAATCTGACGGAAATGTAAACCATTTTGTATAAAATCTTTGTTAAATCCATTTAACTATTTAGTGTGATACACCACTACGAGAAATAACCACTAAATAGTTAAACGAGGCAGCTGATCCAAGAAGGTAAATAGACTGAAATGGTTCTTGACATCATATAGGTGGCATTACTGATTGGAATCAGAAAATACCTTGATATAATTTTGGGGCACAATTTACTTTAACAGCCAAGTAAACTGACATATTAAGCCATAAAGACTGTTAATTTTAATCACATTTTCATGACGTGGCATTGATTGGATTCATTCAGAGCAGGCACTGATTGGATTCATTTAGAGTGGGCATAGGTTGGATTCATTTAGAGTGGGCATTGGGTAGACTGGTTGGATTTATTCAGAATGGGCATTGGTTGGACTTATATAAAGCACACATTGTTTGGATTCATTCAAAGCAGGCATTGGTTGCATTTATTTCAAAAAGCATTGGTTGCATTCATTCAGAGCAGACACTGAATGCCAAGAAACTTTTAATCCATACCACATTTGTACATGTAAGTAGTATGGTATTTGATTCTGATTTGAATTTGATGAAATGTATTTTTGTACACACTGTTTTTGTTTTGTGGAAAGAAAATCCTTCCTTTATATGTTTTCAGTAATTTGTGCTGGAAGGAAAAAAAGAGTAAACTGTCCCTGGGCTTGACTTGGTCTCAATCTTAATTGAACTCAATCTTTAGTCTCAGACAATCTCGACGAGTCATGGTCTTGGACTTGACCGAGGTGGTCTTGACTACAGCCCTGTTATCTGGCCAAGTGTAAAGTGGATAATTTAACCTAACAATGCAGAACTTGCAGCCTAGCATATCACATTCAACGTTCAAGCCTCAAGTCTGAAAAAGGGAATGTGCTGGTCTTGGTGACAAGAGAAAGGTCTGGAGCTAAATAATTGATAGAAAGTAATCACATTCTGGTTGGAAAAATCACAATGAGGTATTTTCCTTAAATTATTCAGCCTTACTCCAGTTCCAGATATATTTCTGCTCAAAGCAGAACCACTGACAGTGATGGAAACCACTCTATAGCATCTCGGCATGAGACCTCAGCACCTAATGAAACCCAGTATGGGGTGCACGCATGCGTATTGGTTACACAGCAGGCCTGTGCATGAGGTCATTCTGACGTAACCCCTCCAATGTGTTTGTGCGTGTGATCCTGCATGTTTCCCTCCGTTTTTCGTTAGATGAGATCAACCCAATTTCCATGAAAACAGTGTTAAATCATAATGACAGGTCAAGCTCTGCTAGCATACTGTACTCGCTGCAGAACATCCACACACACACACACACACACACACACACACAAACCCACACTGGCACACAGATTTTGTCCCTTCTAGAGCTGATTTGCGTGAGGTGAACTAAGCATGTGGCTATACCAGAGATTACCAAGACCAGTTTAAGTGCCCTGGTCAAAAGAGAGTCTTCATCACTTAACTACAAGAAACACGCAAGCACACATATTGCACATACCATTCTAAAGCACCGGATCTAGACAGATTAAGCTTTTGTCTGAACACTAGTGTTCAAAAGTTTGGAATTACTGGTCTCTACATAATAAAATCCATTTGGTTGCACAAAAAAGTCCTGAGACACTTGAAATAATTAGTTGGAAACTAGGAAGCAGTCAAAAATTAGGACATTTTAAATGTATCCTGAATAATACTGCAGTGCTGCAAATGATCCTAAAATAACACAGAATGCTGTAGAACAATCAAGAATTAAGCTAAAATACAAATATGTAGAATGCCTGTTTTTTTTTTAATCAGTTTTTAAGGCAGACAAAAATGACTAAACAATTACAGTAGGGCTGAAAGATTAATCGTTTTTATATCGAAATTTAAGGAAGTGCAATTTTCAAATCGCAAGAGGTGCTATTTCTAAAAAAATTACAGACTACATGATCAAAAACGCTGTCCTAAGTTTTAAGAGGGAAAATTTAACCAAATAACATAGACTATGGAACTGTCTGTAGATAAGGTAGACCAATCAAAAGGGAACCGAACCTCCATGTTTTGTGACATCACCACCACAATTTACTGGCAGTCTGGCACACTACGTACAGGGATCAAGATTCAAGCTAGGACAGGTCAATATTCTGGTCTGGCCTGAACCACAATTTATACCATATAATTTAAATCCCAGTGGCAACATTAGTACGAAAAATTGCAATTAGATATTTTATCCAAACCGTTCAGCCCTAAATTACAGTATGTGATGTATCAATTAATAAATTTCTGTTGATCACAAAATACTCTAAAACATCCAAAAACTTCATTTGGTGTCTAGTTTATTAGATGTAAAACTATGTTATATAAGTTATCATTGTATATAAAATAGTAAAACTTATGATGAGTGACATACTTTTCCACAAGTATTTCTGTCCATGCTTCCACTGTAGGAAAACAACTCAACTCTGTGGATCTAAGAGAATGTGTAGCTGTCAAGAAGCTGCTTTGAGATGAAAATCTGCTAAACCAAGAAGCTGCTGGTTTTCTCAGAACAAGGTACTGGCCACCCTAGAGTCCAGGCCTCAGTGAGTGGGTTTGGGATTACTTGGATTGTGAGATGCAGAAAATTCAACCAACTTCTAAGATTAAACTTTGTAGGTGCAGAAAAAAAAAAACACAACCAAAAAACGTCTGAATGGTAGTGTACATTCACCCAATCAGACAGAGTAAGGGGCTTAGAGAAGACAGCAGTTAAAGGAGGAGTTAAACTCTCATCTGAGACAAATTCATGTGCTCTTGACAAAAGTTCTTGTTAATCAGTGACGCATGCAGAATTATGGTAAACAAAGAGGGTTATAAGATGGGAACTATAGGGACATGACGGGTTAAACAGCTATATTTCAGCTCGGACAAAACTGAAGTTTAGGACCAAATTTGGGCAGTTTGGAGCCACAAGAACACACACAAAACCAGAGAGAACAGATTTCTTACCAATGGGTTTCTGAAGAACTCGTACTTGGCATAGTTCTTTCTGAAGAGGAACTTGCTCTCTGGAGGCATGCAGGCCTGCACCTGAACCACCAGCTCATGGTCCTCCAAACACCTCTCTACAAACACATACATACAACATGAACACAAGAGCAATCAGTAACAGCAGATGAGGACTGCACTAAAGCCCTGATACTGTGAAACCCCCAAAAGATGTTAAAGATGTAAATAGTTCTGATACTAAAATATAACTAGTTCAGCCACGTTCACAGCCACTGTGCATGCTGCTGTATGCCCAAATGACGGCACACAGCAATTCAGTTCAGTATTAATTAAGTAAGTATTAATGCGCCAAGTTAATCATTAAGACCATTACTGTTAACAAGCTCTATAGCTTGGTGAAAGAACTTAATTCAGTTATTTATAGACTATAGATTTATAGAACACTGGTTTAACAGATTATATTTTGTCAGCATTGTATAAGAGCAATAAGCCACATGAGGCCAAATTCACCATAAAGCATTGTGGCTTTACAGATGAGACCAAGGGTTTGAGAAGTATATCATTTGGTATCATTGCAACAGGCTGAATAAAGGCCCTTTTGTGGAAAATATATGGGTGTGATAAACAATTTGACCCTAGGTATCTTAGGATGGTGGTCTATATTACAAATTTGTGGCTGATATTGATTTATGGGACTAAAAATTTGAATAACTGGTAATGTTGGCTGTATATTTTGTATATGTATATTGTATATTTAGCTTTTAGATTTTAATTTTATCTTCCAAAAGCTTTAGTTAAACACTGCTTTACTGACGCACGTGTCACGATTCTATGTAAGTAATATAAATATTGTACCTTTAGGGACGAAACTACCTAGAATATTTAGTTTGAATACTAGTTTTGGTTTCTCTTAGTTACAATTTGCTTGGTTTAGGGACATTTTACGTGTTTTAGTTATTTCAACCATTTAAGTTCAGAGTCATCATTTCAGACCTGCATTTACAATGTAGCCGAATTACAGGAAAAACAAGTGACTTAAAAAAAAGAGAATTCTGTAATAATAAAAGCGCAACAAAGAAAGTGAATAAGCGTAAGGAAATAATTAAGTAAGAGAAAAGAACATTTTTAGACACTTTTAGAAAATTATGAAAACAAGCAAGTGAAATTATTAGTAGAATAATGAATAAAAAATGTACATACAATATCAAAATAGGATTAATATGAAGACGGTATAAAATAATAAAAATAATAATTATAAAAAAAATAAATAAATGAAGAGACAAACAACAATAAAACAATGAATAAAATCAACTAAGATCAACTAAAAACTAAAAACTAAACCTAAAATCGACTAAAACAGTTGCAGGCTGAGTGGAGGTGGTTAGAGATTAGAAGTGTAAAAAGGTGATGCCTCATATTCAGCTAACAGTCTAAGGTTTCACCCTACTGTTGAGAAGCTGCACGTTTGAATCGCAGTGATGCAGCAACCAAACAAGTTGCTAATTATCAACAATATTTTCAGAACTAATGACAAAACTGTGGGTCACTTATATCAAGCCATACAACATCAGCCAAACAATATACTAGTCGGACTCCAGCCCATATAAACTGTAGAAGTACGGCAGCAGGTTGTAAGAGTAAATGGGCATAGAGTTCCATTTTTGCCATTAAGAGTTTTACCATTGCTGGCCTTGCATCCTAGTTTTGGGGTCAAGTGAACTGGGTCTGTGCTTTAGACTAGAAATGGAACTACAGGTCTCTCTGGGATCTGCCCTCTGTCTCACCACACTCACTCTCATCTAATAAGAGCTCTGCCACTAGTGCGTGCGTGCGCACAGACAGCTAGAGGGAGGGAGGGGAGAGGGAGGGAGGGAGAGAGAGAGAGAGAGAGAGAGAGAGAGAGAGAGAGAGAGGGAGAGAGAAGAAGACGAAGAAGAGAAAAAAAATGCAGACAGCCTCAGTATTAGCTCTGTCTATTCATATGAGACTTCTGCCTCAGGGCACAGCTAAAATGAACAGAATATTTATTGTGTGTGTGTGTGTGTGTGTGTGTGTGTGTGTGTGTGTGTGCGTGTGTGCGTGTGTGCGTGTGCGTGCACAAGTCTGTCTGTGTGTGTATGTAAGGAACAGTGGATCCATATGAAAAAGCAAAGTAACAGTGGAGGTGTATTAGTGATAACAAACAGGTTTTAACAGCTGAAACCATATTGTGCAACGGCCTACATGTGTATGTGTGTTTCAGACATTTCTGTTTTTTTGATAGCGTGCGTCTTTGTGTGTATGTGTTCCAACGAAAGCAGCCAGACAACTCCACCCTGCCCCCAACACAAAATGCAAAGGGAGAGAGAGATCTTAAGAGACAGAGAAAGAGAGAGAGAGAGGGGAAAGCATTGCAGGGAGATGAGGTCATGTATTTAGCTTGATTGCATTGAGGAGCAGGGCTGATCATAGCGCAGTCAGGAGCCTCGCGGCTAATGGCTTACGTAAGACGAATGCTGCTGGAAGGTTGCTGTAACGTTGGGCTAGCGTTAGCGCCCAGATCAAATCTAAAGTGTCCCGAACTATCGGGAACATGGCCGAGTGCACTGCACACAATGTTCGGCCTAACCAGCAGCCCCGGCCAATCTGGTGTCAGCTGACCAAAGCAGACCGCCCCACCCCACGTCATCACATTGGGAACCCAGTTTTGAAAGGCTTCTGTTTTACAACACAAGGAACTAGCAAAATGAAAAAAAAACTCTCCAGACACTAAACTAGCATTAGCTTCTACTCAGAGTTAGGCCTAATTTTTGGCTGGTGAACTTTCGGATAACTTTAGATTATTCTTTATTCTCCCAAACATCAAGACAGTAAACTACAACCGAGGCAGCAAGCTACAGCTCCGTTTCCTTGAAAGGAAATGCAGCTAGCATCAGACTTTCCAAATGCCAAACTAGCATTAGCTTCTACATGGATTTAGGCCTACTGATTTTAGGCTGGTGAAGAATCAAGAGAGCAAATTACAGGGGTTGTATGCAAATGCTGATACATCTCAAACAAAACTCAACAAGACAGTGAAAATAAACCATCTTCTTCTTCTTCTACTCTCTTAGATAAGTGGTGGTGTGACTAGCATAGCGGCGTGATTCAGATGTTCTCCCTTGGCTCCATCTCCGTGGCAATGGGGGTGGGGCAGCAGGGCTTTAATCTGTAATCGGACTGTGAAATGGTTGGCCACACACACGTGTCCTCATTGATCAGCATCCAGATTAGCAGCTAATTCCTCCCTGGCCCTGAGTCCTCCTCCTCCTACTCTTCTCTTTCATGCTAGCTTCCCCTCCCCTTTCCGTTACGCTCCCACTTTTCTTGCAACCTCTTCTCTATCTGACACCTCTCTGCTCTGCTTATCTAGTCTGACGCCTCCTCACATCCTCTGCTTTCCTCTTTTCCACTTCTATCCTTTCCACGCCGTCCCCACAGCAACCATAATGCTCCTTCTAAACTAGTATAGAGCAAAAGAAGAAGACTCATAGCAGGCACTGTATCTACCGTATATGAGGACTCAATGACAGGATTAGTTTGTGTGTGTGTGTGCTGCATAGAGGTGATTTCCTGTTGCATGAGCTCAAAGAGCCTGGCAGGTCTGCACGAGACAGAGCTGTTCCAGGACTGGGCGTTTATGCTCTCTCCCTAACACACATGCAGAATTTAAGCCTAATCCTAAGCCTAACCTTAACCTTAACCACAGTATCCCAAAATAAATGGATTTGTTTCAGTTTTAAACAGGGTTGCCAGCTTTGGTGAGATGACTGGAGTGAGTTTTTAGGATGGCTAAAGTGAGACCCGAGTGAGATTACCAATTCAACAAGTGCATATTCACTGTTGCAATGGTTAGAACATTAATTTGTACTCAAAGTCTAGACCCGTGGTTCTCAACCAGTCAAGTACCCACGAATGGTCCACATTTGCTCTAATCCAGCTCCAAATACACCTCAAGCAAGCCATTCAGAATTTTCAACAATTCATCAATTTTCATCTTCATAACTGCCTGTTGTTCAGAGTAAAGGCAGCAATTAGTAACATACTTTTTAAATTATGTTTATTATGGTTACTAAAACTAATTTTCCCTTGTACTTTTAAGTTGGTACAGACCACTATTGGTAATTCAGAAGGAAAGAAATTAATAGTGATATTACTTTTCAAGTAATCTTATTACACTTTGAGAAATAATAAGTAATTTGGATTCCCTTTTCGAGTAAGTTCCCCAACAGGCTGCAGATGATGGGGATACCAAGTTAAACCGAACAAGAGTTTAAATTCTAAATTCAGGGATTCAGATCATCAGCTTTCTGGACATGCTAGTGACAAACAAGGAGACACAGCCCATGTCTTCTCAACATGCTATGATGTGACTCAGTCAGACGTCATGACACTGAAAGAACAAGTTGAAAGCTTTTTCTGAGCACATGGTTTGAAATTTCTTTGCATGGCGTGAGAGCATGAGAAAAGACCCACAATTACGACTCTCATGCCAAAATCATTTAAAAAATATTTTTGTAAAGAAGCACTTTACAAAGTCAAGAGCATTGTTGTTGTTGGTGCTGACAACGTAGGCTACCCTGTTTTTCTCTGGTTTTCCCACATCATCAAGATATTCTCATCCTTAAAGAATGTACAAAAATACATACATACGTTGTGCACTTACCAAGTCCAAACAACGGATGATGCTCCACCAAAGTCCAGCAGTTGTCATCCAGACAGTGGCTCTTATACACCAGGAGCTGACACACGTCTCTGGCCGTCATATCAGCAGGAACTTCCACCACCTTTCCAACACCATCCTCACTGAAAACTTTGATAATCTGGAGAATATACACCCATATTTTCACAGTTAGAATGCAAAGCTGAACGAAGACAATAATACTAATACAGAACATTTTTATGTTATACTTTACAACATATATAATATAATGTTACTTATTCATATATCATGTTTATGAACTACAAATAAATATTCTGAAAAAATCTTCATCCGGTCTCAGTCTTGACTACTACAAAGTCTTGGTCTCGATTTGGACTCAATGTGTCCAGGTCTCGGCCTTGACTCTGACTTGCCTTAAGTGGTCTTGACTACAACACTACACAGTTAAAAAAAAATTATTATTCAAGGGTTCTTTAGTAAAGAAAATGGTTCTATATAGAACCATGAACTCTCTGAGAATGCTTTGCATGATTAAAGGGCTCTTTGCATCATGAAAGGTTATTCAGAATGATGGAGAATGTGTTGTATATGGTTCTATATAAAACATTTTTTGAAAAGGGTTTTATATAGCACCAAAAAGGGTTCTTTTATAAGATAAGGTAAGGTAATTCTTTATTAGTCCCACAAACGGGGACATTTGTTGTCACATTGCTATAATGTCAAGCTTGTAACAACAGAAGAACACTTTTGGTGCTATACAGAACCCTTTTCCAAAAAAATAGACCCATCTACAGCACATTCTCCATCAATCTGAAGAACCCTTTCACAATGCAAAGAACCCTTTAATCATGCAAAGCGTTCTCTGAGTGTTCATGGTTGTATATAGAATCATTTTCTTTACCGAAGAACACTTAAAGAACCATCTTTTTTAAGTGTGTACAACACATAAAGCCACTGTATCACATTTGAGTTTGAGTTCTGCATTAATGTGCCAAGTAAATGTATAACCATCTCTGACCTCTGTGTTGCTTGGCAACCACAGACTACTGTTAAAGTACATTGCTTGATGGAAAAATCACTCAGTGATTATTATTATTAATAATAAATTATTTATTGAACATGAACAGGGTGAATTTCATCATATTTGTGAAAGCAATAACCCATGAGAGACCATGCACTACAATGATTTTACCACAGTAAAGGGAGTTTTATTGCTTCGCTTTATGCCAACACCCATTAACAGTTGTAAAACCACTGTCTATTACGGTTTATCGCTTTGATTTACTATTGTCATAATATTCAGGTTAACCCCTTAAACTCTCAGGAACCCATATGTGACATGTCAATGCCTCACTTTCATAACTACAGAGCTTGTATATTCATTGTGTAGTGTAGTCTTACTCTAGTAAGACATTGCTTATGAACAAAAATGTTCAAAACGTTCAAAAATGGATATTTGTGTATGCGAGAGCATGTCTGTTCCGTCATCAGCTGTATTTGAACAGCTCCAGATCACGTTTAGACATTAGCCAGGTCTTGCGTGCTCAGAAGCCTGAGTTTTACAGATACACACACACACACAGTTCTAAGACCCAGAACTGCCTCTTAATGCCAGCGGTCCAGAAAGATCACCACGCCAACCGCTTTACATTTTTGTTCATAACACATGCAAACATGCACATGTATACATACACCCCCCCACACACATACACATCCACTACTGTCAGCAACCAACATGTACACATTTGCACATCTATGAACACAACTCTTTTGTATACTTCTATCAGCAAAGAAACAGGTCCTCTTGCATGAACAAACACAAAATACAGTACTGTATGCATACGACATATGTGCACACACACTTTACAGAATAAACTGTTAATGGCAGCTCCACAAAGAGAACTACATAAAATCATACAAGTTTAAATTAAGTTACAGCGCTCAGAAGTACCTGTACTTTCTCTTCTAGGTAAAGCTAATTATACATGCTCAGGTTAACTGCAGTTTTATATAAAGGCCATGTAAAGTAGTCAGTGGTGAAGGTCTCGGCCTATATAATTTGTGAAGATGTAAAAAGTGCCTGCAAAGTGTATGTGAAGACGTAAAGCGCACGCGAAGTTAGCCAGAAAGTCTACGATAATTGTCAGCCTTACCTCTACAGCCTGGTAGAGGCAGCAGTCCGGAGAGCACGATGGCATTTTCACACTGAACCAACCTTCACTCGCTCAGAGAGAGAGAGAGAGAGAGAGAGAGAGAGAGGGAGAGAGAGCGCAAGAGAGCGACAGAGTGGGGGACGGGTGGGGGAGGGGGCGGAGGGAAGGAAGAAAGGAGCGGCTGAGATAGGAGTTGGGGAGAAGGGTGAGATTTGCTGGAAAGAGTGGTGACAGAAAGGAAGGACTGGAAAAAAAAAGAACAAAAGACAGGAGAGAGAGAGAGAGAGAGAGAGAGAGAGAGAGAGAGAGGGAGAGAGGGAGAGAGGGAAAGGGAGACAGAGGGAAAGGGAGAAGGAGAGAGAGAGAGAGAGAGAGAGAGAGAGAGAGAGAGAGAGAGAGAGAGAGAAAGTCTGCTGATGAACAGCCTGAACTGCATGCTACTCCATTTCTAGTGGATTAAGCTGTGTGGAATCGACACCTCCTGCAGAGTGTGTGTGTGTGTGTGTGTGTGTGTGTGTGTGTGTGTGTGTGTGTGTGTGAGAGAGAGAGAGAGAGAGGGATTTTAAGGCCACAGGAACGAACACCTCGAGAACTTTTACTTGATGATAATGCCTACATATTTTCTTTCTAAGTTACTTTTAGAACTTCAGCTTACATAACGCTGTTGTCGGAACAAAACCTTGTATCTTCAAAATGATAACGTTACAGGAGAAGGAAAAAACATACTTTACTCTTAATGCAAGTCATTCCAAGTCATTTTGGGCCATTTCTTTTGGTTCAATCATAATGACATTTACACACAATGTAAAGAGCAACAGGCATTTTCAAACTATGTCAAAAACTGAAAAAAGACAAAAATGGAAATACGAGATTTTGTTCAGACAGCAGTAATATATATGACAAATGGCACTTAAATGGCAGTGACAGCATTCATATACAGCACATACTCAATTCATTATTATCTTCTTAAACTGCAACACAGACTGGCTGAAGTAATAAACTGGTCAATTGACAAGAGATAAGATATAAGATAATGGACATACAGGGTTACCAAAAGGGTCCAAAATTCTTAAGACTACTAGTTTTTTGCATTCTTTTCTAATTTAATACAAAATGTTTTATTATAAATTATATTATCAGCATAACAGTCTGAGTGCAAAGTAGAATCGTTGAGAATCTCATAGTGTTGGACCTCCCTTTCGTTTAATGGCAGCGTGCACTCAAGCTGGCACAAAGTCTGATCAATAACAGTGACAAAAGCCTTTGACATGTAGATCAAAACCACCTCAGAGAGTCGTCTACATAAGAGCTTCAATGGAAAACGTAAGACTCAACAGAAATCTGATCTTTTGGTAAAAAGTCCTTAACATGGCCATTTGCGTAAATTTAAATAGCGAAACTTTAACCTTTCGTCTTCATTCCATTTTCAACTTTTCTTTATTCTCATTTTTTTCAGAATTGTAAAATGTTCTGTTTATTTCTAGAAAATAAATAAAAACAATCCCACATTTTTAATGTGGTCTTAGACATTTGGACTCAAACATGTAATATCATCAGGTGTGCATTTTTGCATTTGACTGCACATGTGTATATGTGAAAATATATAAACGTCATACATGCGCACACACATTCCAGCTGTGGCAGTAAAAAAATCCCGAGCTGTAAAAAGGCTGAGTGTATCTGCTGTAATCATTCCCCTCCGCATGCATACACATACACACTCACGTACTGCAAACTTTGCCTTGGCTCTGTAAAAATTTCAAATTCTCTCTGCTTCTCTGAAAGCCCTGAGAGCAACCCCCACGTCTCGCTCTCACCACGCAGACACACACACACAAACACACTGTGAGATTCGGCTCCTTTTCTCTTTTTTTCCAGACCATTTCTCCCCTGAAGTTTGGCTTTGAACTGCACAGCCAAAGAAAACCTTTCCCTCTCTCTTTCTGAAAACTCAGCATATCAGAATGTTACTGCTCTCTCTACACACACACACACACACACACACACACACAGACACTCACACCACACATGCCCTCTCAACCCAAATCGCACCCTGTAATATCCCTACAATGCAATGCCTTCAACACAAAAGGAATGAGCATTTGTTTAAGCTGGCCACACTGAACATCTGATATGACCAGTACTAACGGCTGAAGTGCATGTTCAGAAGGCCAAAACAGTTTATATCAACATGCACACATTCAAACACTCACACCCTTAAGCTGCGGGAGAACAATATCGTGTAATTTGACTCGACACTTAGCGCAGAAAGGCGTTGGTGGGGGGTTACTGGCAATCCTCTTTCATAGTAGCAAGCAAACGTTTGCGGAGCGTTGGTAAAACGCCCTCTTTAGGTTTTGCATACGCTCCCCTATTGATTCCAGGGTGTCTCTGGGTCAAAAAACCCTTCCCAAGGGTGTTTGCTTAAGGCTTTGCAAATGTATAGCCACAGTCATGTGACCGCTAGCAAATGTTTGCTCAGGACTGGTCAAGACATTATTCTTCTTGTGTTGGTCACGTGGGAGGGAGCTGACGCTGCTTAAACTTTTTATAAAAGGTTTTTCAAGTGTTCTGAAGATCATGTAGTAGTCAGTCAGGTAGTTATTAGAAGATACCTGAGGGTTTCTGCAGACTTGTTAGGTTGCAGAGACATTAGAAGGTGGGATGGACCATTTGAGTTTGATATTGCTGTTGGAACAAACTGGTAACTTTACAGGGGAAGGAAAAACTCACTTTAGCATAGCTAGAGTTGCTGCAATTGCAAACTGTAGTTAGTTACAGTAGCCTTAAATGTGAGATGACAGCTTTTTAAAAGGTCCGTATCATTTTTCATTAAAATGTGTCGCCACTGTGACCAGATCCGATTTTACTCAAAAGTGCATCAACACATACATCGTACATACATTTCCCCCATTGCGATAAGAGTCGTCAAGCTCAGCTCCAGTGTTGTGTATCCTCCATCTTTTGTTTCCCTTTCATCCTCTCACCTGCTATCAAACCTTTCATA